GCGAGTGTGTCGGTGTTGTCGCTGCTCTCCCCGCGACTTCCCACTCACGCGACGCGCCGCGCGGCGTGTCGCGCACGGAGTTCATAACGGCACGGCACTTTATATTTACCCGTGCCGTGCCGCCGTGCCGCCGTGCCGCCGTCGAGAGAATTCCCCCGCTTCCCGGGGATCCTGGAAGGGGTAGGGGTTGCCGCCGGGGCCCGGGGCCTTTCTCAACCAGGTTTCAACCGCTTTATTTAGTTTCAATATCGCCGCCGAACTTTTGTCGTCTGGCGCACCGTGTTTTGGCACGCGGCGGCGGGCTGGGGGAAGGGGCGCAGTGGTGGTGGCGCTTGGCAAAGTGGCGGGGCGGGGCGCGCGAGGCGAGACACGCCTAACCGCTGTAACGTGAACGTGATACCGGTCCCCGCAGCCCCGGGACGGGAACAAACGGACGGTCTGCCGAAGTCCTTCGGGAGCATCGGCGGACCGCTGGCCACCTGAAAACAAAAAAAAAGGATTGGCGTCAAACAAAGTATCGGCCCCTTCCGTCCTCCCACCGAGGAACGAGTGCTGGTCGAGACCGAGACCCCGAGACTCGTCCTCGGCGGCGCCCTCGTTCGCGTCCTCGGGGGGCTGGCCCCTTGGCTGGCCCGGGCAGCGCGGTGCGACGGGTATTGGGTATCGCGTCATTACGCCGTGGCGGCGCTGCGGGCTGCGTCCAAAACTCGCGCTGTCTCTCTCGCACTCCTACGGGACGCCCCACGAGTGCGAGAGAGACAGCGCGTTTCGCAACCAGCCTGCAGTTACGTGTCCGCGGCCTCGGACGCGCCGCGGAGGCCGAGAAGGCTGCGAAGGCGGAGGCTGGCGGCGGCTCGTTAAAACTCACTTAAAGCGGTTCGCAGCTGTCCCCAGGGCGTCCTCCAGGAGGCCGAGCCGCCGTTATGGCAAGACGCCGCCGCCGACGAGGAGACGCGACCAGGGCGAGGCGCACCCGCAGCACCAGGGCGAGGCCGAGCAGGCCCTGCTGGCGGAGCGCGCTGCACGGCGGACCACGGTGAGTAGGAGCCGCTCGCGGGTTGCATGAGGTTCTTCAGCGCCGTGGGTGGCGCGGCGTGGCGTCAGTGGAGCATCACTGCTTTCCCCGGCCCTCCTAAAGGATTCCCGACAACCCCGCTCCGCGCCGCGCTGCTCGCATTCACAGCATCTAAGTGGTGACTGCAGCCTGCGGGGCTGCTAAAAGGAGGCGAGGCCGCGCGGCTGAAGCGAAGTGGCTGCTCTCGCCATGCGCGCAGCGCAAGGCGGGCCGGGAGGCGCCTGCACGACGGGAACTGCACGCCCCGCCCCGCCCCGCCCCGCCCCGCCCCGCGTCCGGAGGAGCGGCGCTCCGGCGACGACGCTGCTGCACCCGGACGTGCTGCACGGGCTGCTCGCTGCACGGCTCGAGCCCACCTGTTCGCGTAGTCGTCGCCTGAGGCGCTGGCCGCCCTGGCCTCGCCCTGGCGAAGAGCCGCGCAACCACCACCTCAGTGGCCCCGGACCGCCCCGGACTCTCGAGACGCCCCAGCCTCGCCGCCGGCGGCCATTGGGCCATCCAGCAGAAGTGCCCACAAGTCCATTCCGTATCGGGGTTTCTGGGGCGCCGCAGTCGCCGCGGTCGCTGCAGTCGCGCCCAAGGCAAAGAAGCTGAGGGCCGTGCCAAGCCGCGAGGGGCCGCGCGGGGCGGGAACAGACGAACACTCCCAGAAAGTGGCGCAGGAACCGTTTTGGCGCAGTGGTAGCGTTAAACGAGGGTGTCTTTTCGGTGTTGCAGGTGCGGGCCCCTGCAGCCCCCAGGGCCAGCGGCGCCAGCGGGGCCCCTGTCGCTGAGGCGGAGAGCCAGTGCTAGCAGACGGAGACCGCGCCGTCATTCCCTGTAAACATCTTGTAAATAAAGAGATATCTTGTAAATAAAGAGATATCTCGTAAATAAAAAGATATCTTGTAAATAAAGAGACAGCACTAAAGTAGTCTGTGTTTTTCTCCCTGCAAATTACTGAAACATTACGAAACGTGTCACATGCAGCCACAGAGAAGGCCGATTTTACCCCGCCCGGTCCTCTCCGGGACCGGATTGGCTGTTTTAACACGGCCCTCAATCATCCGATCGGGGAGGATAGTTGTTTACGGGCACGTCACCCCGTGAACCCAATTATTGCACCAATGCATTCTGCTGTGGGAGTACTCACAAATAAGGTTACAAAGGAAAATATGCGCGCGCGGCCCCGGCGTTGATAAATATTTGTGTAGTTTTGGAGGTGATGATGAAACACAGCCAGAGTCATATTGCGTCGCGCTTCCCCGGCTGCCTCCCCCTCCCCGTCCACACACACACACACACACACACACACACACACACACACACACACACACGCACGCACGCACGCGCACAGACACACATACGCAGAACCAGCATGCATAGTGTGCGGACATTATTATATGGTGCGGCATAACGCGAGCACCTGTTCCCATTCTCACAAAGTAGCAAACAACGGGCATGGAGCGGGCGCGGGGGGTGGGGGTAGGGGGTGGGAGGGGGAGGGGGCACAGGTCAGGGGAAGGGGCGGGGAGGGTAACGCATGTGACACACCGCGTCACGGCCACGCGCAAACAGCACACGCGGTTGGAGTAAACGCCACGCTCGGGTGCACACGGCGTGGAGCAGGGCGCGGGGCACGGCCCGGAGCACGGCGAGCGTGCAGCAGAACAAGAGTCGGGGGAGGACCTGGGGGGACGGGGGGGTCCTCTGGAGCGCCGAGGACCTTCTGGAGGAGTCGCCGAAAACAAACCCCGCCTGGAGTGACAGCGACAGTGATGATTCGGTGTCCATTGCGTGGTTTAAAGATTCCGCTTGGGTCACTCCTTTTTTATTTCAGCGTCGAGAATGTGCCTGCAGTAACCACCTCACGCGAAACAACGACTAAAAAGTGGTCGGCGGAGCGGGCGTCCCGTCCGCACGCCACATACTCGCGGCGTGCGGGCCCGCAGTGTGAAAAGTTGAGTAAAACAGCGGAGCGAACATGACAAAGTGTGGGGGCTGGGGGTAAAGTGATATAGGGAAGGGTAGTTTGGGGTATGGGGCGAGAGGTAAGGCGGGAGGTGTGGCGGGGTGGAGGTGAGATAAGTTATAAGGTTAGGGAAAGAAAGATTATAGGGGGCGTGGCCAGGCGTGGCACGCCAGAGGATGCACGGTCGTCTTGCGGCAGTTCATCGAGCACCGAGTAAATGCCGGGCTAGGCCATGGCCAGGCACCGCGGCGTGCCGGCGTACCTTGCTGGCGTACCGCTGCTCGGCCTGGGGCTGACACCACGGGGACGGGGTGGGTGGGGGCGGGGAGCGCTCAGGCGCCAGGCACCAGCTCACCTCCCGTCCCGTTTCGTCCCTCCGTGAACTTAAGTTTGAATTGGGCACGACAAAGTTTGCGAGTTGTCTGTTTCTGGGAGCCCAGTGGAGACTGCCACGCCGAGCCGCGCCGCCCCGCGCCACGCCGCTACTTGCGAGTGGGAAGGCGGGGAGGGGGAAGCAGACCGCGGGGCTACACAACAGTTCATTACAATTTAAGTCATTTGTAAAGTTGGTTAACGCGAGGAGTACCACCGCCAGGTTCGGACTCTTATCTTTGCGCGGCGCGTGGCCCGCGTGCCGGTCTTGGCGCGGCGGGCGGCGCGGCGCGGCTCCGCGATAAAGAGCACAACGAGCACATTGTTGAGTTTGAATCTACTCGAGCGGGGCGGCGCCAGCCCGCCAGTGCGCCAGCGCGCCAGGCCGCCAAGCTTTGGCGGAGCGCACGGCGCTTGCCGCCTCGGAGTAAACGAAACTTGTCTCGGCTTCCCGGCCTTGCCTTCCTCCCCGCCGGCAACTCTGTGGATTTTGTTCATTTTGGGGCGGGGCGGGGCGGGTCCTGATGGACGGGCCGCATCACTGCCGAGGAGAGGAGCCTTGCTTGCTTGCCTAGCGCAGCCAGCCAGCGCCAGCCCAGCCAGCCCAGCCAGCCATCGCGGCTCGTAATACGACTTCCCCGCCGTTTACCTCGCAGAAGCGACGCAGAAGTGTTGCGGAACGTCTTGGCTTAGCGACGCGCTCGGCTCGGGCCGCCGGCGCCGCGACAATGGTGTGCTTTACGTTTCCCAGAGTCCCGGGGGAAGACCGCGCCCGAATGGCCCGAATTCGCTCCAGCTTGTAATGTCTTTATTTTTGTCGTCTGGTGTTTTCGTTTTTATAGCAGGTAAGAGCAACATGAAGGAATACAGAAAATAATTAGTGGGAATTTCAGTGCCGTGATGGACCCGATGGATAGAGGCAAACTACTAGATACAACGAACCAGCACCCAGTCTCCCTGTTCCTTTATCATCCATACTATTCGTACTATCCGCATATATAAGAGTACACTGCATAGAAAATGGCTATCTTCAAACGAGAATGCAAAACAAGCAAAATCACAGAACAACAGGGTACACACAGAAACATGGTTTAAACTTGCTGCAAGCATTCAGGGAAGTGCCAAGGTAGAAACGCCCCACTCCCCAAATGCACCCACGCGCCTTCTCTGTCTTCAGCCCATTTTGAGAAAAATCAGTCGGGTGACGCGCGAATTGATTTGTGCGTGAGACAAAACCAAGGGAGGCCCTTGTGTGGTGATTTGTGTCCTGCGGGCGCCGGCGCGGGCAAGCGGAGTTTAAATTTGCGCGGGCAGCGGCGGGAGGCGGGCTACGCGAGCGCGCTCTGGCGGTGGAAGGATCTGCGCGAAAACTGACCGGGGTGGAGATGAGTCGGAAACGAACTACGTAGGCAGGCTGCACACTCAATGGCTCAATTGTCGACTGTTCAGAGGCAAGGAAACCGCTTTTCAATCATTTTCGCAGAAAATCTTTCTTTTTTTTCACTTTTTCTGTCTGCTTTTGAGGTTTCTGATCTCCACTCGCCCTTCGTTTTTCACTAACTCAGAGTCGCTGGGCAAGCCTGGTTCTTCGTCTGAAAATATCCGGTCAGATCTCCGCCCCTAATTTTCTAAAGTTAAGAGAAGACGTTAATAAACTACAGTTCGTAGTTTTCAAATAAATGCAGTTGAGAAGTATGTTTCAATTGCTTACCGACTCTTGGGTTCGTGTTAGGAAATGACTGAGTTGAGTTCGTTTTGATTAGTGGCCAATGAAACTCCTGGCCCGCTGTTTTAGTTCACAATGACCTTAAAACAGAGGCTGGGGCCCTGCAATGGCTAGTTAGCTGTTGGTAAAGTCTTGACCCATCGAAAACTATAAGGCCAACGGCCTAGTACTTTTCTTGGTGAGTGTTGGTTTGTGTTGTATTTTTTCGCTCATTGGTCACTGTTCTACTTCCTTTAGTGAATCAGACCCCTGAGGCATCAATCGACTGGGGACATAACCTCACTTTGAATAAACAATAATGAGGCTAACAATGTAAACAGTGGCCTTCCGTCCACATCCTTTCTGGTCCTCTCCTCGCTCTAAGAAGACACAAATTCAGAGTCATCGTGACGTTACGGTCATCCATACAGAACTGATATTCTCATAGCAAACATTTGCTTGTTGTTTACTTGTGGGTGGACTCTGTAAATCCAACTGAATTCTGTCCGACTTCATGAATGGCACCCTCTAGTAGATTTTTTCTCTCATGAATTGCTCTTCACTGCATTTCATGGTATGCCTTACTTTGGTCCGTTCGCAGTTAAATTAGGAGTAGTGTGTATGTGTGTCTGCCGATGTGTCTGTATGCTGTGTTTGTGTCTGAGAGAAGTCATTGCTTGGACAAGTCATATGATCCTCACGATCAGTTTGAAGCAGCTACGTCCTCGCAGACTTCATCACCCATGGTCAATTATTCAATGATACCAATTTCATGCAGGATATTGGTTGGCGTGACATGGTCTACCCATGACGCGACGGAGGCATTCGGTTTCGCCGAAGGTGAGAGTGAAGCATCTCAGTAAGGCACCTGTATGCTTTTTTGCTTCTCCTTGCCGTTGGCTTATAAAAATGTTATCCTTGTTCATTTAAATGCAGCTATGATTTGATGTTTTTGCATATGATTTTGATGCAAATTTTCACGCCTGTGGCTTGAGTACAGTGCACCCTGTTTGCTTTGTGCTTGGTTTTTCTGTGTGGTATCACAGGTGGCTTTTAGTGTGTTTTTTCTTTCATGTATTCATGGTGCACAAATAACATTTCAATGACAGGTTTCTTACTTTTACTAAAATATTAGATGTGAAATGGTCTAACAAATTGATTTAAGTGATTTATGAAAAATTGCTTCGGTAACGAGAACTTAACCATTAGTCCTATTCAAATGCACATTTCATCATCTGTTCACTGTAACCTTACCTTTTGGTTTTGGTACATTGTTCTTTCCATTCATTCACCATCTTGATCAATCAGGACATTGATACATAATACACAGCTTCTAATGCTTTCAACTTTGAATCTCACGCTGCTCCCATTAGTGGCATTCTGAACCACAACTTCCTTCACCCAATCATATTGAATTTATAATTACTTCCAATTTTATCCTATCTGTAAATAGATTTAACCTTACCTGTTAAACATTTATTTTCATTCTCGAGTTATTTCCCTCAGAAATAGAACTATTCCTGCATGCTTGTTTCTGTTTGTTTCCCTGGTGTTGAAATGATGCTTTGTGACTGCAGGCACCGCGCGGCCGCAGCATGGCCCACGTGTCGCACGTCTTGCAGTTCGCTGGCAAGATGGCGCAAGAAGACCTTCAAGTTCATCTCACCGCAGAAGAACATGCTGCTTATAATTCAACCTCTCCCCAAGTCATCGCTGGAACTGCTCAAGTCCTAAGTTCAGCCGGCCTTCAGTCTTCAGAGCAGACCCTCCACACGTTGCAAGCCGACACTCCTGTAATCCAGGTTACTGAGGCGCTGTCCAATGTAATTCAGTCCGGCATATCTACCATCAGCCCTACGTAAGTCCTTCGCTTAAAGCTAAAAAGTTCTAAAATTTATCTTTGGGTTAAATAGATTTTATCTTATTGTTATTTTCTATTTTATTCAGACGCAAATTACATCTTAAGCCAGAGGCAGGAATAACATGGCTGGAACAAGAGATCAAAGAATTTGAAGTACCAAAGCTCAAAACAGAATCAGGTAAAAACAGGGGTGTTGCATACTTTCTAAAAGCTCCTGACATGTCTTTACTTTCTATTGGGCTTATAAATTTTGTTGTTTTCTTGTTTTCCTTTAGGCACCTTACTTTTATGTCCATGGTGTTCTGTACCATATGCAGCTCCTATGTACCTTGAACGTCACAAGAAGCAGTGCCGCAAGAGGCTCGAGACTGTGACTCTGGAAGAAGCACAGTCTCAGGTTGATGCTCTCGCTCACGCTGAGGTGCAAGTTCAAGCCCAATTGGATTCACAGGTGGAATCCACTCAAGTGGTTCAGCTGCAGGCTGCTCAAGTACATCCTGCACCACTTCATGCTGGCCAGGTTCAAACTGTGCAAGTTCAGGCTGCCGATATCCATGCTGCACAGGTCCAGGCTGTGCAATTACAAGGAGGACAAGTTCAAGTGGCACATGTGAATGGGCAGCCCGTGTTGTTGAGTGTTGATAAGATGGGACATGTGTGTGGTGTCAGCCGAAGTACCTGTCAACGATGTTCTCCTAGTAAAGTGTTACGCAGTTCCATTACACCCAGCATCACTGTGGAGGAGGTTCCCTTAGACATAGCTTGCTCTGGACTTTTCACTCAGGAACGAGATATAACAGAAAGTGTGGTGTTTCTTGATAGGCCTTATTGTTTTACTGTTAATAATAAGGGATTTTTAACTGCAGACACCAAGCCACCTCTGGCTCAGACTGGGCGGCAATTTGTATGTCCTGAATGTGGTGAGCGATTTGCAAGAAACAGCCTCCTTAAGGAGCATGCGAAATCCCATGCTGGAGAAAAACCATATGGCTGTATTGAGTGTGGGATGAGATTTTCCTGCAGCTCCCATCTGAAAGAGCATTGCAGATTGCATGCTGGTGAGAAGCCATTTGGCTGCACTGACTGCGGAGTGTGGTTCAACCGGAGCGAGCATTTAGAGGAGCATTTTAGGAGTCATCAGCAAGACGACGAGTACGCAGCAAGAAGAGACTTGTATATTCGTGCCGAACTCAAGAACTCTCTCTCTCCACCGCAGCAAGTTCCTTCCAAGCCCAAGAAAGATAAGCCGTTTGCCTGTACTGAGTGTGGGGAAAGGTTTGCTCAAAACAGTGATCTTAAACGCCATGCTGGAGCCCATTCTGGCGATAAACATTTTTCTTGCACTGAATGTGGACAACGCTTCACTAGAAGTAGCCATTTGAAAGAACATGCTCGAGTGCATACAGGAGAAAAGCCATATGGTTGTACTAGTTGTGGAGAAAGATTTACTCGCAGCAAAAGCTTAAGAAGGCACAGTTTAGTTCATACTGGTGAAAAGCCATTTCCCTGTAGTTTTTGCAAGGAAAGATTTACTCAAAATAGTGATTTAAAACGTCATTTGTTGATCCACACTGGAGAAAAACCTTTCGTTTGTTCTGAATGTGGCGAAAGGTACACCCGTAGCAGCGGACTAAAGGAGCATTTCCGAGTCCACACTGGCGAGAAACCTTTTATATGCAGTGATTGTGGTCAGCGTTTTACTCACAACAGTGACTTGAAGCGCCATGCCCGCATCCATTCAGGAGTGAAACCATTCTCTTGCAATCAATGTGGAGAAAGATTCACCCAAAATAGTGATCTGAAGCGTCATAGGAGGATGCATACCGGAGAAAAGCCCTATGGTTGTTCAGAATGTGGAGAACGGTTCACTCGAAGCAGTGGTTTGAAGGAGCACTTTAGAACACACACAGGGGAAAAGCCCTACATCTGTAATGATTGTGGACAACGGTTTATAAAAACTAGAGACTTAAAGAGGCATAGTCGTATTCACACAGGAGAGAAGCCCTTCAGTTGTACCCAGTGTCCTCAGACTTTCACACAGAACAGTGATCTTAAAAGGCATGCAAAAGTCCACCAACAAAGCAGAGTTGTTGCTTATAATGAGGCTGTTCCTGAAGCTCGATACTTCATCACTTAGATTGTTTTTAAATTGATACTAATAATAATCACAAGAAATAATCAAATAAGGGTTGCTAATTTTGATGTGGTGCCATTGTGTCACTTTTGTCAATCAAAACTTTTGATAGTTCCTTTTGTATATTCTGATTTTGTGTCAGTGATACCATAAAAATACTGTTTGGATAAATTTTTTTGTGTGTGTTGGTTAAAAATGTGATGTTACCATTCAGGTGTACAACAAGTGGAGTTCCACAAGACTTTTTAAATCTTGTGAACATTATTTCCTCTTGCATGCAATCTTTTGAGAGGAATAGAAAATTAAAGCCTGATTGTTCAGAGGTATTGATAATCCTTCACTCTATTGATTGTCATCTGAGCCAAATCTGAACTGACCCAACAGTTCTTTCCATCTTGCTCAACATGAATATTTCAATTGTTCTACTTTGTGGACAGTGAATTAGATCATAATTTAAAAGACTGTGGGGAAACTCAGGGTAGTTTATAATTGTTATTCGTTTATAAAAGTATGTGGACAACGTGGTGAATGGAAAGACAGGTCCCTTTCCAGAAGGTTTTTGTATTTATTCTCTTGAATAGTAATTTATTGTTAAAAATGTTAGTTGTGGACTGATCGATCTATTTCATTGTTGTCAAGTAACATTTGTTTCCTGTTATTTAGAGTCTTCTTACCGCCTGCTTTAATTAATTTCAATGTGACAAAGCAGCTATTGGACAATATATGTTTCATTCTGACAATTGTTAAACTCCCTTATTAAATAGTATAGGATCAAACTAAAGTCTGTACTTTATTAATTTCCTTTCCTTTCTGAAGTGAAGGAGAAGAAATCCTATGTACGAAAATGGAGCATATTAGCTTTGGAGACATTTATTATTCATTTCACAATACATGGCTGTAGGATCATTACCTATAGACCAGAGTACGAGTACAATCAGAATAATTTTTAACTCACAGCAATAAGCAAACATCTCACAGAAGACAACTGTAAAGTGGATTTTAATGCAATATTTACAGTCTCATGTCATAATAAAAGTTGCCACACAAAGACGAAAATTCATACATGGGATAGCTATGGAGACTGGAAAAAGGCCCACCCTAAAAGTATCACAGTTCAAAAATGAGGCCTCAAAATCTTTGGTAATGTAAGTGCTCAGCCCAAATGATGGCATTTGTAGTAACATCACTCTGTTCCCAAATTTGAGGCTTACACGAACAAGGTTTGTGACAGTATTTTTCATTAATATCTAAGAATAAAGCTAGTCATGAAGTCCATGATACATACAACAGTTGGCTACTGAAACCATAATAAGGACCTTAAATCAAAGCTCACTGGAAAACCATTCACCAAAGAACCAAACAGAGAGGAAATGTTTATGAGCTGAGCATTACCTCTCTACTCCTACCATACATGGAAAGTAATCCACACCCAATAAGAATACACTCATATTGTCATTTAAAATGCTTCCTCATATAAAGAAATATTCGTCTGCTCTTTTATAATATCTTAAGTAAAAGAAAACATAGTAACTCACATGCAATCTTTTACACCCAGAGGATTTTAAAACTCAGACAAAAACAAACACACACAAAACGATTAAATTTTCCAAAATAAAATTAAAAAAAGCCTCAGAAGGAACAATTAAACAATGTTAAGCTTGAGAAGATACACAGCAGCTCCGATCTTGCTTATCAAATGAACTGCTTCAAAGAGCTGCTACAATGTAAAACAAAAAAATATTAACAAAACAATCTAGCACAACAAATAAGGAACATTGTACAATTACATCAATAGAGTTTTCATACTTATAAATATCACAATTCAAGATTAATTAAAACTCTGATAGAATCAAATTTACATACTCTGTCTTCAGTTTCAAAATATGCTGATACTTTACTGCCTGAGGTTGCAGTATGAATAAATGAGTACATGTCAAAAGGCAGTTTGAACTTGAACGATTCAAAAACTAAACAACAACAAAGAAAAAAACAACTAAAATGTCAGTGCGATGCATCACAAGGAAAATAGGAGAGAAGGCCTAATAGTGTTGTACACATATTACTTATGCAGATGCCCAATTCATTACGATGTTTATTTCAGCTGATCAAAGATCTCCAACCTTTATGATGAGCATTTACCCAATCTCTTCCAAACACCAAATTATATCCTTCAAACCTTTTTGCCGTTCTGCTGAAGAGAGTTTCAAAATTTTGTGATGTTAAAAGAAACATAATTCACCACATTGGGTAGGGGAACAGAATAGCTTGAACTCTAACTCACTCTAGAAACAGTTAGCCTAAGACATTAAAGCCACACTACAAAATGTATGGTTATCAGATATAGCTGCATATGATTGTACATTCTAACGGGTCAGTGCTTGCAGATTTAGCTGCACAAACTAATACATTCTTAACAATCATGAGTGTTGCCTCGATTTGGAGACATTTTCACAGGCAGTAAACCACACCAAACAATTGAAGAAAAATGGCTTGGCAAAAGACTGATCATATCCTTCCTAAAACAAGTCGTACTTATATTCTCATGTTGACTAAAAAAAAGCTGGTAACAATATATGGCACTCAATGAAACAAAAAAAAAAAAACTAAATAAAACAAAAAAGTCTATTACAAACAAATCAAAACAATTATACAGACAGCCTCAACTGCAAGAGTGTCATAAAATTCACTTATGTGGGATTTAAAACACACATGCCAAAGGAGTCATTAACTAGACTCAACAGACACATTGCCGATAACAATAACAAATACTAGTGGATTTTTCAAGATTTTTCAAACTACACTAAATGACGTCCGTTGAGACTAAGGTACAGTGTACAACACATTGAATCAAACCAAAGGAGACTTAAACTCTCTTACACCTACACAGAGATTGCGGGCTTGTGAGGAGCCACTTCTCACAGCATTGAGCCAAAATTCATGATAATTACAACTGAGTATCAAGATGTTGAAAATGGAAAAAGTAGGAGAAATGAGATCATAAGTTTAAACCATCAACCTCAACAAAGCAAATCAAAACACATTTCAAAGGCAAGCAGTACACTAAAAACTCCAAGACGAAAATGAGAGAGCGCAAATGATACCAAAAGAACACATGTAGATTAGAGTATTTCAAAAATATTATCCACGTAACAATATTAAAGAGGCATCCAGAAGCTGAAGGCAAAGAAAAACAAAACATAAACTCAAGAAGGGAAAGGGAAGAAGTTAATTTAAACAATTTTGTACAAACCAAATTGAGATTCACAATTTAAAAATAAAAGTTAAAAAATAAAAATCTCTATCTACCAATTCCTTTTGTAATTGAATTTTCCAATACAATATCAAGTTCATCCAATGAAGCCAACAGCTGGTGTAGAGTAGTCAGAAGCATTTGGTCACGAAGGAAGGAATTCTCTTCATACATTTCTTGAGTAACTCTTGCTGCTGAGAGTTCCCGAATCATACGAGAAAGAATATGATCTCTGAAAATTAAAAAAGAAAATGTAATAAGAGAAGTCTACAGGTGGAATTAATCTTCAACTGTTGGCACTTTTTAATACCTTGTTGCCAGGCAGATAAACAGTTGAAATTTCCCATCTTTGCCTAGAGTATGGCTGCATTGCTCAACATTGTTGATGAGCTCACAATATGCGAGACGAGTTTCCCCAGCCAGCGTTTCTCCCTGAGTACAATTTTGCTCTACGAACAGTGGTTGACGCTCCTGAAGGCAGCCACGGCCCCTGTCCCAGCGTTCAGCTCTTTCAGCCCTCTCCATTCGTTCTAAGCGCTCTTTTTGCTGTTGCACTCTGCCTTTCGGAACTGGGATTGGTTGCTCTTCCGAAAATTGCTCTTTAACTCGTACTGAATAAAGAACGGAAATGATTGAACAATGAAGAGGTAAACAATTTACTCACACCACCATTTTGATATTCTTGAAATATGTAATGCTGAGTGCACTCACCAAAATAATCCCAAAGGTACAGATTTTTTCCAAACAGTCGGGCAGATTTAAATCCAACAAGAAATGCATGTTCAAGACAAGACACAAGGCCCATTTCACCACAAAGCAGTACTGTCAACGAACTGTTGTCCCGGGCATGTGGTTGGCTACGACGGCGATAGTGAAGTTTAACAATGTTGTTTACACAGTCACCTTTAAGAGAAAAACACACATGATGGGTCACAAATTAATTTTTAACAAGGATTGAATAATACTGTAGAACAGTACCCACAAAAGAAAGGTCTCTTACCTAACATGTGCTGAATTTCAGGTATTGAGAGTTTGTTGTCTTTTCTGTTCTCTTTTGGAAGAGAAGGGCTGCGACATCTTGGTGGAGTACTGCATGTTTCAGCTATTTCACTTCTAGGGTCAGAGTTTGGTAAAAGCTCTCCTATAAGTAGCCTTTCCGTGGAACCATCATCAATTCCTCGTCCAAGCCAACGCCCACAGGGAAATCTATACCATTTAGAACACAAGAAAGCCATGATAAATTAAGAAAAAAACAGCATTAAAATGCATTTCAGAATTTTAAAAAAATGAAACATACTTGTAAGTATGCCCTGTCATCTCATTCCTCACTAAAACATATTCTACCATCCATTTGGGAGATAGGCCGTAATTATCATGTCCTATTCGAAGAGTGGTAAGTACTCCCATATTCTTATGCTGGAATAATAAGAATGGTTATGAATGAGCTTAACTGAAAAGAAGTGATGGAAAGTGATCCAGAGAGTCATACAACTAACCTGAAAGACAAATTCAGTCTGACCACGGGGAACAGGTACTTGGGTTGACTCCCCTGCAGTACCAGCTACTTGAACCCAGGAATTTGCAGAAGTAGTAGCTGCACCATATTTTCGAGACGGTAATAAGATAACTCGATATGGCATCTCTGTGAAATCACAATTAATAATGTCAAAGTCAGGACGATTTTTTAATTCAGTGGTTGAATTGTGAAAAATAAACAATAGCTATTTCATCTGGTGGTATGAATGCTGCCATGATGCTTAGAAGAGTGCTTGAAGAAAACTTACTGGTAGTATTGTAGGTATTGGTAAAGCATAAATAGTCAACAGCATTGAGAGACAGAAGATGATACAGAAATTGTTCTCGCTCTTCTTCACAGCGCAGAAAGGCATAGCGTTTATAGTGAACTCTGCAATTAAGTTCCAAATTGTTATGTGGAAGATAGGAAAAGCTGGCAGGTATTAGAGAGTAACTTCAGAAATGTTTTAAAAATGAGTGCTCCTCTCCCACTTACTTTAGTAAAGATGTATCAGATAGAAGAGTTCGTAGGTGTTTTGAAAGGAGCTTCTTTTCAAGAGATAATCTTACCCATGCTCTAGCATACCCAATATGAGTTTTGATATCAGTCATTGATTGGACATTTCTGGTAATGTTTACAAGAACGCATAAATTAGTCATCCATCAAGAATGCAGAAACTAAACAGGCAAATTAATAATTGGAAAATATGCGTTTTACTTTCAACAACTAACCTCATGTCAAATGTTACAGAAACAGGCAGAGGCTTTAGCATAGAGTTTGGCTGTGTCTCCAAGCCCAGGCTTTTACGCTCAGCAGGAGATTGCTTTCGATCTAACGATCGACAACGTTCTGAGCGCCCGCGGCCGTTAGGAGAAGAGTCTGGTTCAAGTGCCATAGAATGGAGATCTGTAGAAAAGATGATTTATTAATTTCTGAACCAAAAAGCCAATTTTTATAAAAATTGTGGAATCAAAATGAAGCCTTGGGCTTGTTTCACTGAAATACAGATACAATACAATAAATATTCTAATTATGATTGCAGAAGTTAATTAATAACTACCAAAACATATAGCATAGACATAGTAGAAACCTTGAGCAAACAAACGTAAGCGAGACCCCTGAGATGTGATGCGTAGCACATTTGACTTACCTTGATTCACAGCATGGAAAGAAGCTATATCAAATATTCTGTGAGAGTTACCAGAAAAAAATATTTTTCTGGATAGGTCTCGAATAGGAGATATGGTGCTTGCTGGTTTTGAGGCGACATTCACTAGTACCAACACCAAAGCATAATTTTAAAAAAAGCACACACACCAATTTTTCAGAAAATTAAAAAAAGTCAAACTACAGTAACAAAAGAAACTTTACAAAAAGCTGCACAGAATACAAGCATGCAAAAAGTTTATGTACATGGGTGTCACGCGTGTAGAGTGCAGAGAAAAGAATAATTATACTAAAAATTATTTTCAAAACGTCTAAATCTAATCAATGTTTTAATTTTCTATGTTTGTAAAGGTAAACTTTTACAAAACAAAAATATTTGTATCCTATGAGATTTACAAAGTCCATCACTATCTAACACACAAAACTGTGAATTATTGATCTGCACGTACAATCAAGTCGCTTGCGGAGAGCGCACCAAGCAAGAGCTGCGTCCAAGATGTCAGAAAAAGAAAAACACAATTTAAACTTATCTGCCATCCTCTTTGAAAAATATGGTAAGGAAAGTATAAATTTAGTATTAGCTTGTTAGAAACAGGAGCACTGCTTTCAATATCAATTGACAAATCAAAGCATTTTGGAATAAGTCTATAATGAACCTGTAGCAAGGGCAGTAACAAGCTAGGGCGAAATTGTCACTGACACACATGGCAAGGTAACATAATGAGAACTCACCTGGAGTCAAAAAAGAAGGATCTGTTGGTTTTACTACATCCACCTTTTCTTGGTAACTTAGAAGATGGGACCACAGAGATGATTTTCCTTGTTTGTTGTGCAGACCATGAGACCACACTCGTTCAAGCAAATCACACAGTCCAGCTATGAGGGTATTTTCTTCAATACCGACTATTGAGCCTTCTCCACCGTGCCCAAGCTCCACAGCCTCCGTTCCCATTTTCTCCAACAGCATCCGTTTAGTTCTGCTTCTTATTTCCTGTTAAGTAATAATTGGTTTATGTGGAAATTCTTCCAAAGGAAATGAAACATGAATATAACGGTAACTTACACTTAGCATTGTCTCCACAAAGGTCCAGTTAGTTTGTGCTATTACAGCGGGACTAGGATCACTGGTGAAAATCTTGGATTGCCTATTTGACGCCTTGGTTGCAGCTAGATCTGCATCTCCAGAACTACTAATCGAGGGTAGGGGGGGCTTTGCAAGCCCATCACCTTGCAATGGTGTATCACCAGAAGCAGATGATGTAGGGGATGTTTGGCCACTATTTGAGGCAGAGTTACACGCTGATTCATTATTGAGGCTATGTTGACTGCCACTGTGTTTCAAATCAAAGTGGCCCACTGCTTGGCTCTTAATTGGTGTATCATTGACGTTTTCTGTTGAGGCAGTAGTGGAATTGCTACTATTTCCTCCACTGACAGAATTATTTCTTTCACGTTCTTTACGGTGAGGTCTGAGCTGCACACTGTTTCTCTTTTTGGACCTGTGGAGATTTTAATAATTACTCACATTTTTTAATAAAGTTTTTTCTTTTTTTGTATGGCCGATAGCTATGGATTTTACTACTGTTTTTATTACCTGTAAGTTACTTGAGGGTTTAGAATAGAAGACTCCAATAATGAAAAGCTTCGGACCCTATTGTGAGCTCGGGATGGTTTTGTAGGCTGAGCCACAACAGAATGAGAAAGGACTTCTTGAGGCTTAGGTGCAATTGTATCCACTGTTGATAATCTCTTTTCCAGCAATAGTGCAGAATCACACACATAAGGGGTGGGCTCATAAACTGGGGCTCTGGCAAGGCTTTCACCTGCTCCTAAACGATTCCTGAGAAAATATCAAGGTGATAGAAATGTCTTTCTCACACTAAATGTGCAGAATAAGCTATCTTACTGGACAGATAGTTACCTTAGCGAACATATACGTCTTTCAAAGACACGCAGGTTTGCTTCCATTTTGCCCCACATACTAAGGATTTTATTGTCAACTAAGGTTGCAAACATTTGGCTTTCAATAAAACGAGACAAAAAGGGTAGATGTTGTTCTGGTTGATCAGATAGAAAAGATGCTTTGTCAAAATTTTGAGTTGACTCTCTGTTGCTCATCCATTCTTCTTCTTTCACCTTGCAAAGAAAAACACAAGACAATTAAACACTAAAAAGAAAACTTTTAAACCTCAATCAATTTTGTTTCAACTTACCTGACTAGGCAGAATGACAAACTTCTCATAAGCCACAAAGATATGAACAAATCTATTGAGAAAAACTTCTCTTATAGTGTTGTTAAAACGCAAGTCATCAGCATACAACTCTTGTTCAGTTTTTGGTTCCGACCGAATTTTCACTACGTTTTCATTTCCAGTATCATTATAAGGCTCGTCACAGTTCAAATTGCTATCAATGCCGTCTAGATTAACTCCTGGATGAAGAGAAAATACAGTTTGACTTCAACAATCATGAGCCTTGAGAACAAGATGAAAAGATGTATCAGACAAACCTGTTCTTTTGGCAATAGCTACTAGTCTTGCTAAAGCATCTGAGGCATCATCTGGACTTTGGGGCCTTGAATCTCCCTCCTTTTCTGGTTGAGCCCAAGAGTGTTTCCTGCGGAAGCGGTGAGGTCCCGAGGGCAAGGTGCAGCTTGTTGACATTATGTCTGACTGTACAGCTGCAACTCCAGGAGCCACAGTACGACTTATAGGAATCCCAGATGATGGTTTCTCACTGAACTCGTTAAGATTTCTATATAGCAAACAACAAAAGGTTGGTCTCAAGCCCTGTTTGGTTTGTTAAATAATTTTTATTTAATACCGATTGTAATTACCTGTCTACAGGTCCATTGATGTGGGTGCTAACATTATATCTCCTCAGAACATCATTTACTTCAGCAATAAATTCATTACGTTGCGGAAAATTGGGCAGTTCTTCGGGCAACTGAAGTGTGCATCTATCAATATCCAGATAGCAAAGATTTGCCTATATATCAAAATAAAATAATTTGTTAAAGATTTTAAAATGAGTTTTTCTAAATTAGGAAAACCAAATATTAACTGTAACATACCTCACTGGCCATTTTTAATCTTGGCTCACAACTATGAAGTCCCATTACAAATGGAACAGGGGCATCTAAAAAATGTTGAAGAGATGCTGGGAGAATTGGAACATAAACATGTTGCCATGTGAATGGGAAAAGGAGGCATACAAGAGCTTCTGCAACTAATGTCAAACGCTGATAATCTGGGGGAAAAAACATTTTTTTTCATAAAATTATTGAAAACATTGATGTAAGTAATGACCAATGAACACTGATGTCTTACCAGAAGAGCTGAGCATGACTTGGTTTTCAAGCAGAACACAAGTAAATATCTGTACAATAGTATTGGCCCCAAGCAAAGAAAAAAATTGCCGAAGAGGGAAGTCAAATAATGGTAATTCTTCAATGGAAGATGGCCGCTGAATTATAAGGGATGGATCTGAGCCCAGCGAAGGAAGAGTTGGAGGGAAAAATGAAATTCTTGTTGATCTTCCAGGCAATGGGACCGTTACTTCATATAGAAGATTGTATACAAAGCTCTCTGTACTTAAGCCCCCATTCTGAGGACCACCCATCATGACATATCTGAAAGGGGTGAAAACAGACGCACATTAATTTATTTTACAATACTTTTCACAAAAACAGTGTAGATGAACACACACCTATGAAGAGTTGAAAGAAAAAGTTGTGCTGCTCGCACAAATGGAAGTTGACCAAGGAGAGCAATACTCTTGGTGACAAATAAAGTGTCTTTGGTGGCATCATAGTAACTTTGAGCATCTTTAGGGTGGTGTCCTGAGAGTTTAAAATGCCTAGGTAGAGATCTTGAGCTGGCATTTTGCTCTGCTACTCCTTTAGTTCGGCCCACTCCTTCTGACAGCTCTGTAAGATGCATGGCCTGAACAAGGGGAAAAAGCATTTACTGAAACATTGCTGCAAACATTAAAACGTTAAAGCTGGGAATTAAGTGTTGTTACCTGTAGTGTTTGCATTGCCGTGCAAATCTTTTTATTGCGCACTTCCTCAAAAAATACATAGCTGGCACCGTATGTGCGGGATCCATCTTCACGAGTGATAACAAAGCTGTGAAATTTAGGGGCTACTGAATGCTTTTGAGTGCGGAACTGCAATCCTTGAGGAAGGCATAGCTGTAATGAAAGTGAAAAACGAAAAGAGGTTTACAATCGGCAATCAGCAGATAACACGTAATAACGGCTTTGACAAGCATATTTCAGTGCTGCATCTTATCTTTCAACGGGACAAAGGTCACGGAGGCCAGTTACTTTTATTTTGTTTGCTCGCTTCTTTTAATGCTGCAGCTGACTTTTTTTTTTTTTTTTTTTTTTTGGGGGGGGGGGGGGTCGTCACGCTACGCTGTGATGCCGAGATCAGCTGCAGCTACTGTGGAACGGGCTGCGCGTAACACCAACACACCAACGGCCCGCACGTGTGTGTGTGCGAGTCTTGGACGGCGAGGCGGAGGGAAGGACCTGAAGCGTGAAGCGTGACGACACGGCGCGCGCCGTTCACGTCCACGTCCACGCTCACGCTCCGCGGGGCGTTGTGCAGGATGCAGGGCCAATCAAAAGCATCCGCAATCCGCTCGCCTCTCTCCCTCTCTCCGCGTGCGCGTTCAAGGATGGCGCATTTCGGCAGGGACAGCTAAACAAGGCCGTAACCCGCTCCTCGCGGTGCCATTGCCTTCTCGCCAGACGCCGGGGGAAAGCATGCACATCACCCATATGGCCGTCCCGGCTGACCGCCTGACTCAGAGAGATTGACAGAGAGGCAGCGGCAAAGCGGCAAACAGAGGGGCCAAGGCTCTTATCTCCCTTCGGCTTCGGCAAAGCCACTTGAGAGAAGTGGTGAGGGGTAGGGAGGGCTGCACTTTGAACTAACTTCATTAACAACTTTTGAAAAGGGGTAGGATTTCATTGAAAATTTTCCCAAAAGGGTGGATTTACAGTATATCTACCTCCGCATTTCACCACAGTCTACTGTACTGTACACGTGAAAGAATTCATACCATGCAAACTCCATTCGCATCAAAGGGATGCCATGAAACATTATCAGGATAGTGCCCCAACACTTTGCATTTGTACGGTCGTTCAAGAGGAGTGGCCTGGAGTGTGTCACCTGTAACACAGAGGGGAGTCAGTGACACAGCTTTATTTGATTCGATGATAAGATGCTCCTTACGACCAATAGTCATTCATTTTGGCATCAATGAACTCCAGATGAACAGTTATACTCACTTGAAAATAAATCAGGCTCTAGACCTGATGTGAAGTCAAGTCCAGATATAACAAAGTAATCAGCAAACCTGATTGAATTTCCCGGGTTCATTTTCCATCTGGAAAGAAAGAAGAGCAAAGTTTATTGTCGTTGGTACTGTGTTTACAAGACTCAGTAAAGTTGTGGATTCATAACAAAACGATGCATGCATTAAAATCAGACACACAAATTACTATGAATTAATTAATTTGTAAGGATCGTTTTTAAAATAAATGTTTTGTCGATAGAGCAGAAAGAGTTCAGTTGATAAGTTTTTAATTTTAGATGGGATTCATCTAAGTGTGAGAGACTTTTAATCATACACTGATATAGCGTCATTACCTATTGATAGCAAAAAGAAAATGGTACTTCGAATTTTGCTTAAAAGCTGTGTTTTCATCATAACCTTCTATGTTGAGACCACTAGGCAAAGAAAGGTTACGATATTTAAGAGACGGAATTCACTGGCCTAGTACAATCTAGAAGTAAAAGTGAAGCTAACATAGAAATATTACGACGGTTTCCGTCCTTAATACGCCATAGAAAGACCACAAAACACACAAAATTTCTCGCTGCAGAAAGCCACTTGCCAGACGACAGATGATTTTACTGAAGCCACTTACCAAATGAGGGATAACGGTTTCATGGTAAGTCTGTGAAGCACATTTTGAAGGGTCTGGAATCGCCTAAATAACTCAAATCAATCATTATAGACTGGATTTTCCAATTTTCGTTCTGTAAAAACACAAAGTACCACTGATTGACATGAAAACAATGACTTCGATGCCTTGTCCTTGTCTGTCCCGACGTTCTCTGCAAAACAGACCCTTGCGCGAGGCTACTCCATGGGGAAGGCGCGAAGGCGGCGCCGGCTGTAAGAACTTTAGCGCTGTAGCTCTCGCTGTAATAATCTTATTGAGATGAATTTTGTTTCAGTAGAAAGCGTGTGCCTTTGCCTGCAATCGGCTCGCCCACACCACGGGCCTATCTTGCATGGCAAAATAGTTGTGGGCGAAACTAAACTGATGACTCTTAAGGGTTGCCTCCCGGTGCTGCCCTCTACCTCATCATTCATTCATTCGTTTTCCCCCCCCCCCCCCCCCGAGCCCCGCAGATGCAAGACGGGTGTTGTGGTGTTGTGTTGAGCACCGGCTTCAGAAATCGCGTTCAACTAACGAAGTTTCGCAGTTTCGTTTTCTTCGCCATCACACCATCATGACAGCGTTTGAAGGTATTTGCATTTTCTTGTATATTCTTAGAGTGACAAAATTGTAACACGTTGAATGTTATCGTGTAGAGGTTACATGGTGTATGTCAGCTGAAGTTTCGTTTCGTGTATTTTATGTTGACAGCTGTGAAAGACCATTTAAAAGTCACAAATGTCATGTCTGAACACAATTTTCTTGCATCAATTGACTATGTTATCTATATTTCTTATCTTTTGCCTGCTTCAACTGATTCTATTTATGTCTTGCATCATGCTTCTTACAGTAATTTTCTTTTTATTATTTACAGAGATGGGTGTACTCCCCGAGATCGGGAAAGCTGTCGAAGAAATGGACTGGATGTTAGTAATTTTTTCTTGACGCAGAAGATTGTATGTATGCTGTAAGTCTTTCAATTGTGTTACTTTTGCCAGGTTGCCAACTGATGTCCAATCTGAAGCGATACCTCTCATTCTCGGCGGTGGCGATGTTTTGATGGCAGCAGAGACTGGAAGTGGCAAAACTGGTGCTTTCTGCTTGCCCATTCTTCAAATTACATGGGAAGCCTTGAAGGACTTAGAAAGTGGAAGAGGACAAAAAGCAGGAGCAGGAGACTCCTCCCTCTGTATGCAGTCTCAATACCATAAATTCTAGTGTACGATCTCCCATTGAACTTCCATTGTATAATTATAGCTTTTATTTTGTAGCAACCCCTTGGACCTTAAGCTTCTGGGATCGTGACTCGTCTATGGCGGTAACTCCAGATGGGCTACGCTGCCAATCTCGTGCCACCAACTGGCAGGGTTGCAGAGCTACTAAAGCTGTTCAAAGCTCTGGAAAGTATTACTATGAGGCAACTGTGACTGATGAAGGATTATGTAGAGTGGGCTGGAGCACTCCTCAGGTGAGTTCTTTTCTTCCCCCTGTACTAATTCCATGCCCCTTTTATTACTTTTGGGTTCTGTGTTTCAGGCTGTGCTGGATCTTGGAACAGATCAATGGGGATATGGGTTTGGTGGTACAGGCAAAAAATCGAACAACAAAAACTTTGATTCCTATGGTGAATCATTTGGTATTAATGACACCATAGGATGCTATTTGGATTTAGACAACGGCGAAGTCTCATTTAGTAAAAATGGCAAGCACCTTGGTAAAGCTTTCAGCATAGCAGATAATGCAAGGAACAAGACTTTTCACCCTGCTGTTGTTTTGAAGGTGCAATGCATTTAAACTTTCTGTTCAGTAGCTTATCACCCAAGTTCCACTTTCAACTCAGTTTGATTTTCAGAATGCTGAAATGGCTTTCAACTTTGGAGCAGCTCCTTTCAAATACCCTCATGAAGCTGGCTTTATTGCTTTGAGTGAGGCTCCAAAAGAGCTTGTGCGTAGCCCTGAGGCAACCCCAGTAAAAGTTGTGAAGGATGCTCCTCAAGCCATTATACTCGAGGTAAGATTAACTTTTACTTACTCCTCCTTTATGAATTTAAATGTTGTTTGTATTGAAACCTTGAACACAATCTTTCAGCCTTCCAAAGAGTTAGCAGATCAGACATTTAACCAGTTGAATCTGTTTATGAAGTTTGTGGACAAGCCTAAAGTGCGTACAGCACTTGTAACTGGGGGTGTCAGCGTCAATGAAAATATTTCTGCTTTAACCAAAGGAGTAAGTGTTGCTTGAGTCAATTTTTAATTGGAGTGAGATGATTTCTCTGCATCCCTCCTGCTTTTCTCATTATTTTTTTTATTTTTCAGGTTGATATTGTTGTTGGGACGCCAGGGCGATTGGAGAGTCTTATTTCCTCAGGCCATCTCTCATTAAAAGCTTGTCGCTTTTTTGTTCTTGACGAAGCAGATGGTCTCCTCAAGCAGGGCTATGCTGACCTCATTAATAACTTACATCGCCAAATCCCCAAAGTTACTGCTGATGGTAATAGACTTCAGATGATTGTTTGCTCTGCTACTCTCCATGACTTTGATGTTAAGAAAATGGCGGTAAGAATTATTTTTCTCCTCATCCTTAAGGATTATAGCAAAGTTATAAAAGCTGTGTCAGGCAGCATTTCATGAGGATTAGTAATTATGACAAATCTGATTGTTTGGTTGCAGGAACGATTAATGCACTTTCCCACTTGGGTTGATCTGAAGGGGGAGGATGCTGTCCCAGAAACTGTTCATCATGTTGTGGTCAAAGTAGATCCACAACAAGATCGTTCATGGGAAACCTTACGAAAACACATTTTGACTGATGGGGTTCATGTCAGGGACAATGTTCGCCCTGGCAATAATACTGCAGGTACAGGATTTTCTCTTCCACTTGTCATGTGGTCTCATTTGGTGGTAAGTTTCTCCTTTTTTTTTCTATCTATTTGTCACCTTGTTTCTCTATCCAGAGACTCTGTCAGAGGCTGTCAAAATGATGAAAGGAGAATACTGTGTTAAAGCCATTGATGAGCATAAGATGGACAAAGCTCTTGTGTTCTGCCGCACTAAATTGGATTGCGACAATTTGGAGAAGTACTTCAATCAACTAGGTGCGTCTTAAACAAAAAAACAAAAAATATCTTAAATTGTTTTACAGAAATCTGGTGACAGAGTTCACAAAATTTTGTTGTCATTTTAGGAGGAGGTCCACGCAATCCCTCAAATCCATACTCTTGTGTATGCCTCCACGGAGATCGCAAGCCAGCTGAACGTAAGGAAAACTTGGAGGCTTTTAAACAGGGCAAAGTCAAATTTCTGATCTGTACTGATGTTGCTGCTCGTGGTATTGATATAAATGGACTGCCGTTTAGTGAGTACCTCTCATTTTCGGTTTTCTTATGTCATAATGCATGAATTTTATTTGTGAACATTTGATTCACTTTCATTTTATTTGTAGTGATTAATGTAACTCTTCCTGATGAAAAATCAAATTATGTTCATCGCATTGGCCGAGTTGGAAGAGCAGAGCGCATGGGTCTTGCGATCTCACTTGTCTCGACAGTACCCGAGAAAGTATGGTTTCATGGTGAATGGTGTCCCTCCCGAGGTCGCAACTGCTCTAATGCTCGATTAACTAATGAAGGGGGATGCTGCATTTGGTACAATGAACACCAGGTAACCATATCTTTTTATCAGTTTACAAAAGTGCTCTGATCAATTTTGTTTCACGTGCAAGGTTTTCTTTTTTATTCTACAGTATTTGGCGGATATAGAAGACCATCTAAATGTCACAATTCAGCAAGTTGGTGCAGATGTAAAGGTACCTGTTGACCAATTTGATGGGAAGGTTGTGTATGGTCAAAAGAAGCTTAATACTGGTGAGAAATAATAATTTTTTTACCATGGAATTGAGACAGATTTTATTGGTTTTAAATGTATTGGTTCTGCTCCTCTTTTTTTCAGGTAGTAGTTATGAAAATCATGTGTCACAAATGGCACCCGCCGTTCAAGATCTGGCCCAACTAGAAAGCAAGGCCCAACTGATTTATCTGAAAAGACATTTCTGTAAGGCTTGATCTCGCTCAAAAATAATTCACTGTCCTTGGTTACAAGTTAAGCTGTTTCCATCTCCTTTCCCCTCATACTATCAATTATGTGTTGTAATTGATAAATTATGATTGCTTTTGTTAATTTTGTTTTGTGTTTTTACTGGCTAAAAATACTAATGTTACCTCAGTACTTTAGTAATAACATTATCTCATAGGTTGTATTGCAGATTTTGATTATTACTTTATATTCCTACATTCACAATAGAAACAAAGGACAGATCACAGCATAATTATTTTAAAATTAATCAACCTAAAAAAAAAAGTGAAAATAAAAATATTATATGTACAGTAATCTTATTCCTATGCCAGTCTACTACGAAGAATAAAACACTGTCTTGGAAGAAAACAGACATGATTGCAATGATTCAATGAACATAACACATGAATCTTGAATTTCTCACTAATCAACACTTATTGCTGAAGCCAAGGATTTGCTGAATGAAGCTTCATCACTGATAGTTGTCTCTTCATTTCCATCAAAATATGTTCATAAATGGAAAAGAAGCACTGGATGGCTGCAGCACATCATTGATGAAACAAGCGGTCCCAGCAATCCCTTCAAACAAGCTGAATGGACTGTCAGGAGAGCGAGAACAGGTAAGGAACTCCTCACAGAAGAGGAAACTGGCAAACTGACGGGCTTTATCCAAGTACATTTCATCTTGAGTGAGACGATATAAGGTGAGGAAAACATAGGCATTTCCTGCTACTCCATGGCATATTCCTATAAAGAATTAAAATCAGCTTTGTGAGTTAACAAAATTTGTCTGAGTGTGAGGGACACAAGTAAGACCTGAAATCACTTACCTGGACCTTTTTTCAGTAGACCTTTATCCCACACTATGTCTGCACAACGAATGCATGATTGTAAGTATCTGTCTTCTTGCCATAAAATATATGCTTTAGCCATTAAATAAACAACACCTGAAAGTAAATTAACGAATCACAAGCAGCCTTACTTTAAGGTTTGGTTTGAGGGCATGATGAAATAAAAGGATTTCAAACGTACCTGGAGCACCGTGGCACCAGTGAACCATCTCATCTTCTGGTTGACGAGTCTTGAAACGTACCTCCTCAGTTGCAAATGGAAAATTTCCCTCCGCAGACTGTGTTGATAATATGTAATCAATACTAGTTCTCACATCTCTCTCAATAGATGCATCTGATTGGATGAATCCTGGGACACTCAGTAACATTTGTAAGATGCCACTCAGGCCATGTGCCGCTCCTAGGAAAGAGAAACAGTTTCCAGTAATCTGAAGCAGTTCTTAAGTGGTTAGAGAGCTGAAACTAGGGAGCTGTACTTCTTTCTTACCAAGGTATTCGGTGCCGTAATAAGCATACATCAGTGGGCACTGACTTTTAGTGCGTTGAGCATAACATCTTCCAGATATTATTATTGTTTGACAAACTTTGTGCAAATCAGATATTGGCACCACTGGAGAACCAAATACTTTCTCCAGCCACAACGCTCCACATAAAAAGCCTGCTCGGCCAACGAGTAATTCGTCTCCTCCACAAGCTAAGAAGTCCACAGGGGTGCAGATAGAGCTTAAGGATACATACAGCTGACAGAATTGCTCAGCTTCTAAAGGACTTCCTGGATCATAATTTAAAAAAAAAACGATGTGAACCAAAATATACTGGGGAAAGAAAAAAGACATTAACATTATTCGCTTACCTTTTGCATGGTGTAAAGCTGCTGCTGTTGCGTAAATCCCTGCAGGGCCCAAGAGGAAAGCGCATTCCTCAGCCTGCTTTACAGGAACACTCTGGTGCGTGTAAAGAAAGGCAGCTCGGACATACTCCAAACCCTTTTCAATGAATTGGTCCTTTTCAGAGGCGAACAATGGTGATTGACTGAGATAGTAGTACATGTATGCTATTCCTCCAATTCCGACATACAGACCGCCTTCACCATCTTTAGTTACAGCAGGTCTCTTGGAGCTTATTAAATTGATCATTTCTTTTATCCTTGTTACTCCAGTGTCAGCATCCAGAGTAAAATCTGTTTCCGAGCCTACTGTTCCTTCTTTCCAGGGGTTGGTAAAGTATCGCTTAAACCGAGAATGCTCCATCTTGTGATAATGGGAACGCAAACCACTGACAAATGAGATGAAACCACTTTTTCTTCTAAGACATTGGAATACTGAAAAGGAAGATGTGTGAGCTTTAGAGATGGTGAAAGGTTCGACAATAGTAGCACAGCAAAAGGGAAGCAAAGAACCCAACCCCCCAAAAAATTGAGATACTAGCTCATGATCATAACTGGTTCACTTAACAATGAATGAACCAAGAGCAGCGGTATTCAGTAAGTGGAAAATCTGCAGTCCCAGTACTAATGTCGAAACAATAGAGATCTGCACACAAAGGGGGCTACCAACGTCATCTACAAGTCCTCCCGTCCTCGAATAGAGCGAGATGCTTCTGTATAACTTATCCTCAACTAAATAAAATCTCAATGTTGTCTTTTTTGGCTGAGAAAACATCCAGAAAACCCACCAGAAAGAAAGAGGGCCGTTTGTTTACGCGAAGTGCGAGCCCGGTCCGTCGTGCCCGTCGTCCCGGCGTTCGTTGCGTCGTCTGCCACTGCCGCCGTCCCTCCCACTTTTCGTCTGCTAGTGTTGTCAAACGGGCGGGCCGAGCCGAGCAGACAGCCATCAGACGCGTCGCCAGGAACGACCAAGCGGGCCGACCGGAGTGCGCTGCGGCAGAAGCTGTGCAGGGACCTATTTCAAGCCGATATTTTGACTCTTTCTCTCACGGAAGCCGGACCGAGGGTTCAGTTTTGACCGCCATAAAGAAAGGCGAGAGCAGAACTTGTTCGCCAGGCCCTTCCTGTCGTCTGCTCGCTGTCCGCTCATCGCCAGCAGAAGCCGCCTCACCATGGGCTCTGTCGTTCTCAAAAGCCTGTCCATCCTCCTTGGAATTTTTTTCGTATTTGTCGGCACGATGAAGATATCTTCACTGATTAGCAAGGAGCTTCACAAAGACTTGGTGAGTATATATCGGCAAGACAGAGATGGAGGGTGGGGCGGCAGAGGGGTTGGTCTGGTGAGGTTATCGGCACCAGGACGATTTCGTTTCTCGTCTCAACCGAATCTGTATAACCGACATTCTCCCCTACAGAGATGTTGTCTCAAACTGTTGATGCACTCATGGCAGTCACTAGAGCCTCTACTCGATAATACGAGGTATCTATTTGTGTCGTGCGACCTTGGCAGACCGCCCTAGGGGTTCACACAATATATGTGAAAAGCATAGGGTTAGTCCTACCCGGCCCCTACCCGGGTTTGAGTTATTTTTACTCCGCTCTAGCTTCTGCTTATAGACCTAATTGAGGCTGAGATCTCGGACCCTTTTGTGTCTCATAGAAACACCTGTGGATTCTCTACACTATTAGTACTGTTAAAAATTAGGGTGCAGGGTGTTTAAAAGGGCCCCAAATCATTTCACGCCCTTTACTACCTACAAGAGAAATACTGTAGAGAAAGTAAAGAATCAAATTTTCTGAAAAATCCTTTCTTTTCTTTCTTTCAGAGAAAAGATTATGTGAAATATGCCAAAGTATTTCCATTATCTGATACACTGGACTTTAAAGTTCCTTCAAAATGGTACCGCAGAGTTGTTGGTTCTTTGGAAATCATCTGCGGATTAGCAATGTCTTTGATACCCAATGGTAAGTGTTACTGTTACATTCTTTACAATGTATCAGTTTGCTTGAAAGTGCTTAGAAATTGTTTTTGTTTTCAGCCAAAGTGAAACAAGGGGCTAATATTGTCCTGATTCTCCTCATGCTAGTAGCTGTTTATTCCCATTATATGGTGAATGACAAATTTGAAAGAATTGCTCCAGCATTGGTAAGCGAAGTGGCGTCTCTCACTCATTTACATCAAATTATGAAAACATTCTAATTTGCAACCAAAACTAAATTTGCTTTTTCCTTTGCAGGTATTTTTCTTTATGCTCACTGGCAGAATGGTCATAGACTGGCAATTAAGAAGGAAAGCTGAAGCTGCAATTGAAGGAGAAGCAAAGGCTCAGAAACAGGATTAAACAATTTTTTCATTGTCATTTTCATTGCTCAAATTTATTTTCTCACATCGTTCGAAACAACAACTTCATTTATTTTTAAGTTTTTATTTTTAACTCTACCCCTAATTTATTGTATGTGATCATCCTATTCATTTTTTCTTTGAGAGGTGAGGCCATGCAAAGCTTTTTGTTTAATTTTGTAAGAATTTCAGCACACTTCTTACACTGCCTTTAATTTGAAAAATGTGTGAAACTGAAAGAAATTTAGTGAAGATACTTCTGACTTAGGATTAAAAGTTTTTGTGTGTTGTAGATGTCTAAACTGCTCAACATGTATCTCAATTACACTCAAGCTGATACAGGTGCTAGGGTATTTTGTACTTGATTGGTTAAATTTCTATAAACCTACCTACTGGTTTAGAATAATCTCTCCTGATCTTGCATGTCACTTGATTTTGACCGGTGAAAGCAGGGAGAAGGACGGTGAAAGTCACTCATTGTTTCTTGGAACCAAAAGAGTTGTAAATTTGTTTTCTTAGGTAAGGGCAGTTCATGTTTTAGACTCAAACCATTTTATTTGTGTTGTGCTTTTTTTTTAGTTGTACTATTTTGTAAGTTGATTTTTTGTTTTTCTGGCTATTTAGGTCATGTTTTTATGTGTGATGTGCTTTTCAACTGCATAGCATTTATACTTAGGATGTGTATATAGGATGCATGATTTTAAAAAAAGAATATTTTTGCTCAAAAAATAATAATTTTGCTTTATTTTAGGCTTCTCCTCCACGCTAATTTTAGTTTGTGGAGAGAGTTGCTGCCTCGAAGCTATAAAATCAAACAAACTGTAGTTAGCCTTGACACTTCACTGCGAAGGATCTATAGGTCCTATCTTTTAACTCAAGATCTTGACCCCCCGTCTGGTCATGTCGCAGTGAACAGGTTAAGTAATGTATTAAATATTAGGAGGGCCTCTCTTTCCTTGTCAGGAAATTTTTGCCCTTTGTAGTGCATGTCAAACTGTACTCTTGCTTTTCTATCTGAGCTGTTTAATTTGTACTTGTACCTATTCTTAGTGTACCACTGGTACACCAGTTTGATTTCCTCTCTAAAATTTTTATGTTGTACTTGATCACCATGTACATGAGTTATTTGCAGTCTCATGATATGTCTTTCTCAATTTAAACTTTCCATAAACGTGGGGATTTAAAAATATTCTGTATGTCTGTTTGTCTAATTGTGTGCTATATGTCTATTTGCTTTACTATTTGGTTTCTAGTCATACAAGCCCACCAAATATTTTTTTTTACTATATCTAAGTCATTTTTACTGTAGGAAGTGACCACATCAGAATAGTCAGTAAGAGATTATTGTGCATATTTAAAATGCATTATAGATGTCAGCTACTGTGCAGTTTCACAATGGAGGTGAAATTTAAATTTGTACAAAACGCCAGTCTCCTCTGCTATTTTTAAGAAGTTTTGTGAACAGCTTTATTTTAAATTCATTTGGACTTGAAAGATTCAAAGAAAAGAACACTGGCGCCATGGGATGTTGTATGTGATTGCTTGAGAATTACTGGAGTTTTCCTACTTCAAAGAAGACCAATTTTGTAAAGACTTCAAATTAATAGAAGTTGCCATGTGGCAACTTTTGTTGCTTCTTTTGTATTAATTTTGGCTTCTAGAAGAAAAATTCAGCCTACCCTGAAAATTTCAAAACTTTACTTTTATGTACTTTATTGCCTAGTCATTTTCTATGCGTGTCATCAGAACACCTTTAGTCAGTGAGTTTTTGAGGTGCATCCGTTTTACACCCAATCATTTTTGTCTTTATAAGTTGTCTAGTCATTTTACCTCATACTTCTATTCTAATTAAGAATCTAATGATAGTCATAATTTTATGCATGTGGAGTTCTTTTGAATTTCATAAGATGTTAAAGCACATTCAATAGTTTGGACAGTACACTGCACTAGTTTTAAGAACTTACTCAGTTTGATTTTTACTGCCATTTTCAGAACATGCCAAGTCTACCTTGCTCCACATCAGATGACTTCTTACCACTCTCCTATCTTGTGTAATCTCTCTGTACTGTCCCCATGATTAAAGTGTAGAAAGGAAATAACGCTGCATCAATTAACACCCCAGGACGGTTCTCAAGTAAGATGTTCGATGGAGAGAGAGAGAGAGAGTGGTGGGCAATAGTGGGCAAAACACAGTTAAAAAATAATTTCATTAAAAAATTTATTTGTCAAGCCATATTTACACTGACTCTTATAATTTAGATGAGTTGTTCTTGAAGCTTCGACCATCAGACGAATATCGAGGAGCTTCACACTTCGGCTGATGACGCTTAATGGTAATAATAACAGTGGTGGTGATTGAGCGAGATGATGAAGATGACTAGTTATTTGTCCCCTGGTTCAGCATCAGCCTGCAAAACAGAAAATTACACCTGTCAATTTTTTCAATCGAGCGTTGCGTGCAGGGCATCTGAATTCAGAAACTTCACACCACACGTTGGTCACCGCGTGAATTTCGTTAGCGCGAAAGAGGACTCACCGATCTAGAAGGACTGGGGAGGTCCGTACGTGGCAAAGGGCGCGCCGGCCACGGCAGGGGCCGCGGCGAAGGCTGGCTCCAGGGTCTGCTGCTGCTGTGGGGGCACCACCACGGGCGGAGACACCACCAGGGGCTCTTGCTGGGGGGCGGGCGCGGGGGCGGCGCTGAAGACGGGGCTGCCGTACTGCGGGGCTGGGACAGGGGCGAGAAGTGCAACCGGCTCGGGCAGTGGATACGGTGCAGGTGCCGGGGGCGGTGGAGCACTCTGGACTGGGGCCGGCACCGGGGCCGGAGGACCGTACTGGGGGTCTGGCGTGGGCGCGAAGGCGGGCGCCAGGGACTGCTGCTGGACCTGCGGCGCGCCGTACTGGGAGTCCGGAATCACGGGGGCGGCACTGAACGTGGGGGTGGGCGCGGCAGCGAACGCTGCTGCTGAATTGAACTCGGGGGCTGCGACGGGGGCAGAGCTGAAGCTGGGAGCGGCGCTAAACGCCGGAGCTGAATTGAACTCGGGGGCGGGGACGGGGGCAACGCTGAAGGTTGGGCCGGACGCTGGTGCCGGACTGAATGCGGGGGCGGGGACCGGGGCGGCACTGAAGCTAGAGGCGGCGCTAAACGCCGGAGAACCGAACTCGGGGGCTGCGACGGGGGCGGCGCTGAAGCTAGGAGCGGCACTAAACGCCGGAGCTGAATTGAACTCGGGGGCGGCAACCGGGGCAGCGCTGAAGGTGGGGGCGGCACTAAATGCTGGACTGAACGCGGGGGCAGGCACGGGGGCGGCGCTGAACGAGGGGCTGCCGTACTGCGAGGCCGGAGCGAACACTGGGTCCACTGCAGGAGCGGAAACAGCTACCGGCTCAGGCAAAGGGTACGGTGCGGGTGCCGGAGGCGGTGGAGCACTCTGAACTGGGGCCGGGGCGGGCACAGGGGCCGGAGCAGCGTACTGGGGTTGCGGCGCGGGCGCGAAGGACTGCTGCTGGACCAACGGGGCGCCGTACTGGGGATCGGGGATGACGGGGGCGGCGCTGAACGTCGGCGTGGGGGCGGGAGCGAAACTGGGGGCGGCGACGGGCGCTGCACTGAAAGTGGGGCTGCCGTACTGCGAGGCTGGGGCGTACACAGGGTCCACAGCAGGAGAGGGAAGTGCCACCGGCTCTGGCAGCGGGTACGGCGCGGGCGCCGGCGGTGGCGCGGGCTGAACCGGGGCTGGAACCGGGGCCGGAGGGCCGTACTGAGGTTCCGGCGCCAAGGCGGGCGCGAAGGACTGCTGCGGGGCGACGTACTGGGGCTCGGGGTTGGCGTAGGCGTACTGCGGGCGCGCAGACACCGACACGAGGAGTGCCAGGACCAGCAGGCAGCGCATGACCTGCAAGGGAAGAACAGCGCGTGAGCGGGAAGGCCGCGTAAGCGCGAACAAACTAACGGTGTGCTGCGCAGGGCCGGCAAGGCCGCAGACATGCCGCAGATGGCTGCTCACCTGAGACTCCATGTTGCCGCCGAGGGAGCGAGATGGAAAGTGGCACGCCGCCGCCACGCTCCCCTTTATATAGAGCGCAAGGGCGGGGCGCGCTGGACCACCCCGACCGTCCCCACCTCGCACGCCAAAGGGGAAGGGGGAAGGGGGCAGAGCTGTCAGAAATTGGTCGTCGAATCGGCCAACCACACGGCAAGTGCCGTCGACCCACGAGGTGTTACGGGAGAGGGCAGCGGACGAAAACAAAAGCCGTCGTAATTTGTTATTAAAATCTCTACAGCAAAAATATCACATCCCGGTTCAGAATGCTGACCCGTTCATTTTACAAGTAAACCGACAGAAGTACTTTAAGAAGTAGTACGCAGAAACGCCTCGGCTTGGAAGATTCGATTGGGCCTTCAAACCTGACTAGGATTCCAACATTGGCGAGAGGAAAATGAGCAAGCGCGTCGATTCGACTCATCACGGCGAGTCGTTGCCGCGTCGCCAGCTTCGTCAGCTCCAGTGCATGGTGGTGAGGGCGAGCTGTCCCTCGGCGTCGTGGTGGTAGTGCCTGGGCGACGCGCCGCTCGAGAACACTGGAGGGCGAACTGCGTTAGTTAGAGACTCAGAGGTTCCCTATCGCGCAGTGTACGTAGCGAGTGTCGTAGGCGCTTCCTTACAGTGCGGGGCGTACAGGGCGTCGTAGCTGGAGAGGGCCTCGGCGGGCGCGGCCACCGCGGCGACGCCCTCCACGCCAGCCAGGCTGGCCAGGCTCCACGCCGAGGGCGGCGAGGGCGGCGCGCAGGCCGGCTGCCAGGGCCCGTGGCTGTGGCCCACGCCCTGGCTCTCGTTCAGCACGTCCTCCAGGTCCCGGATGTACTGGATGGCCAGCCTGCGCAGACAACGCCAGACTCAGAAACACCTAGAGGAGAGTTCCGAACCAACCCTTTCGAGGCGCCTAGGCGCGTCACACAGCACCGCAAGCACAGCCCGTGTCGCGCGGGATTATCCCCTCGAGGCCACTACAACTGGTCGAAAAGCTTAATTAAATCGTGGAATCGCTCGGAATGACTGGATTGCTGGATTGGGGGAGTTCCCGCGATGCTCGCCGCTGCGGTCGCGGGGTAGCCTTGCCCCGCCCCGCCCCGCCCCGCCCCGCCCCGCTTGGCCGTCTAGCCGGCCCTGCCACCCCCATGCCGCTCGGCCGGCCATCCGCGACCGCAAGCGCGGACTGATTCCGCGGATGGCAGTGCTTTCGTCGCTCTGTCTCTCTCGCACCCCGAAGGGACAAGCCACAAGTGCGAGAGAGACAGCGCGACGAAAGCACTGCTCGGAATCGGCCTGCAGAGCAAGGGCAGCGGGCCGCACGGCCGCGCGTTCACTCACCTCAAGCACTCGATCTTGGACAGCTTCTTGGGAGGTTTCTTGGCCATGGGCAGGTGCGTCCGCAGCAGGTCGTAGGCGCGGTTCATGTCCCGCATCCGGCAGCGCTCGCGCTGGCAGGCGTTTTTCTTGTAGTCTGCGGGGAGCGAGAGCCGACAGTGTACCGGGACGACTAGAGGGTGGCCGACGACGTAGCCTGCATCTGGGACTGCCTACGCACCAGGCGTTGACCACCCTTGGCCTTGTGCAACCCCTCCACCAGACTCACCTTTCTCGATGTCGGCCTGGCTGCGGTGCCTGGTGACGGCCTGGTTGTGCTGCGTCAGCACCGCGGCGCCGTGCTGCAGCTCCAGCGCGCGCGTCGCCTCGTCCGCCTCCATGGCCAGCAGGGCGGGCGGCGTAACGTCGCGACCTGGAAAGACATCCTTCAAGTCCAGTCGGCAGCTCTCGAGGCCCAGCGCGGACTTCCAGGCGGTCGACTCTTACAGGCTTGCAGCGACGGCCCTGGGCCGGCGAGCGACAGCGGGGACTCGAAGCACGGCGCCAGGCTCGACGAAGACTCCCTCACCGCCTGCAGCTCGTGGAGGGTCCTGGGCTCCTCCTCCAGCATGCCGGGGGTGGCCAGGATGGTGTACGTCGCCCCGCCAGGCAGTGGCGTCGGCGAGCACAGGGGAGCGTAGCCGGTCAGGTCCAGGTCGACCCACCCCGAGCAGTCCACCTCCTGGGGCACCACGTCAATCATTCTCGGGGCGGGGCCGCGGCGGCAAGCCGCAGCCAAGCCTTGGCTTCGCGCGGCCAGCGCGTCGCCCTTCGCCTGACGTTACTTACCTGCTGGCCGTACTGCGGGGCCAGTTGCGCAGGCAGGGCAGGCAGCAGCGGCCTGGGGTGGCTGGGGTGGCCGGACTGTGTCGCCACGACCGCGGTCATCGCGAGGTCGTTGCTTTGCGGCGAAGAGGCGACCTCGGCGGGGGAGTACCGCTGCAGCGGCTGGAGCACGGCGTCGTCGGGGGAGGCGGCCGCGGCGGCGGGGACCTCGCCGCAGTCCAGCGCGACACTGCCCGGTGCGCCGGCCGAGGCGGCCGCGGCGGCAGCGTACTCGACGCCCACCAACTGGAACGACGAAGCGGACAGGTTCACCACCGCCTCTCCGGGCCGGGGTGCGGGCGGGCTCGAGGACTCCACGACGCTCACCCTGTGCGATGACTCGGTCAGCTCGCCCGGGGGCGAGGACGGCGAGGAAGGCCTGGACGGCCGTGTGGGGGTCGTGCACACGGCCATGACGGAGGTGCGCGCATCACTGCAGCCCCGGACGGCGGCCTCTAGGCCTACGCGGCCCAGCGCTGCGCCCCGCCAGCCCCGCACACCGTCACCAACTTATTACATTCCCCCTTCCCCTCTTTCAACCGTCCCGAGACCGCCGGGCCCAGGATGACGCGGGTGTCACCGCCGCAATTACGGATAGCTCGGAATCGACCCTTCACCTTGAATCTGGCGTCGATCAAGGCGACACGGGGGTTGCATGTCTTGTCTTCCCTGGCGCGGCCTTGGTCGCGAATGGGGAGGGTAGAGGTTGACGGGATGGCATTCCCCGGGAAACGAATGGGCGCACTTCTGTGCACCTCAGAAATGTGCGTACAAGTCTCCTCTCCCCCTGGAAAGTGGCAACCTCCAATTTTGATTGTGGCTCATGAAACTTTTTGTTTTGAACCCAGCAGGGTGCACTGTCGGTCTGCGCGCCGCGGCTGGCCGGTCGGATCGGAAGCCGGCGTGTCGTCGTTCGTCAAATGGGACGATGGAATGGAAAGGGGAGGGGGCAAACACCTGTTCAAACGGGGCCGGCGGAGCCATGGCGTAGCGCTGCGTGGCGCGTGTCGCCAGGCCGTCGCCACCACCCCCCGCACGGATATGGAGATGAATTGGGAAATTAACAACCTGCATGATGCCACGCCGACCAGGCGACCGCGGCATCCCATCCACTGACGGGGACACGTGCGCGACAAGGGAATCCCCCTCCCCCTCTCCGCCGGTCTGAAGTGTGAAATGAAAACAGAAAGGAACACGGGCTCGCTCGCAGTGCGGGCGTCACGTTTTCCCCTTTGTAAAAAGGGCGTTGTCAACTTACATGAGATTTGGGGTCCGCCCTTTCGGCCATGTATGCCACGGAACGGTTGCCATTCTCGTCCAGTCCGTAGACGAGCAGGATCTCGCGTTGGCCGTCGCGGATGTAGACCGTCTCACACGGCATAGTGGTGGACGAGGTGGACTGTCTGGACTGTGGACCGGGCGACGGGGTGGAACCGAGTGGAACGGATCAAGGCAACATCAACACACTCGCAACCCGCACCCCTGGCGTTCAAATGTCTTTCCTGATTGGTTGGACACCGGCAGGACACCGAGATGAAAAATATTTCATGAGGTTTATAGGCAGGAGAAAACTTAAGAGAGACACACTAAACAAACCGTACTCAGCAGTCTGATACTACAACATTTTGTTTATTATTCTTATTACTACACAGGACTAACTGTAACAACTTTCATAAAAATGTAACTGATCTGTTGCACGTATACAATGCAACAGAATAGAAATATGTAGCCCCCCCTCCCCTCCCCAATGTTACAAAACGAACCATCGGTAAGGACTCTACACAGCTTTTAAATACTATAAAGCTCATATCCAGTCCTTCCATTTGATTAAGATAATTTATTGGTGAGTCAATACGTCAATAAATGTATGACGGATCACACACATGGATGCACACTGTTAAGAGGAAGAAAGGGGTGAAGTGTAAAGATAATGTGGTTTACCACTGACAGAATTGAATACAATTACCTCTCATTAAAAAGGTACAAAACCACTCTCACCAACACAATTGAATCTACCATTTTCAATTCAAAATTTATCGTGTATCTTAATGCAAAATTTCAGTTATTGACATGGAATTACAGTTTGTGTGGCGATAGTTGAAGTCCTGAGTATATTTTATTGTGAGAAACGTCCTTTAATATATATCACAAGAAAGTCATTCCTATCCAACAGAGTTGAAAACACTAATCCTCACAATAACCTAAAATGAAAGTACATATTGCTAAAAACCTGATGATGAATATGTTACATTGATGCTTCTGTTACGGAACATACAAAACAAGTAAGCATCTATCTCACAAGGGAATGCTTAACGCATGGATTTCCATGTGGACAAGACTGCTTACTGTTTTTGAAGAGTTGCCATACTTTAATACACAGTCAGATTCTATACTTGAAGATTGCAAGAGGTCAAACAGGATGGCTTCCATCTCCAATGATTACACAAATTGTAAGCCTATTTTATTGACATGCACATGAACACGATTCTCACCTTGCATTACTGATACTTTGGTCTCAAATGCAACAAATAGCACACAACCTCACAGAAAAGGAATAGAGGAAGAGAAAGAGAAACTGGATGCTGTTCACAGCGAAAGGTATCAGGAAAATGCGAATACATTCAAAGCAGACTTTGGGGGCGTACTCCAACTTTTATCTACAGCAAGCATCAATCAAGCAAATCATAAAACATTATGTGGTGCAGGGAGCAGGAAAACTTCAATAAAAGCTAATCGTAAACAAAAACAATTATTAAACAATATTTGTGATTTATTGACACTTATATAAATTGAAATAATAATAATGATAATAGATAATAATAATTATAACGCTCATTTAGATATAATCAGAATATTTTAAAAAATCAGGAAAATCACTTAGGTTTGATCTTAGAAGAATATGAAACTTCGAAAGCACTAAAACGCCAGAATACTTCCTTCCTTCCAGACTAAAAATTTGATCGGAATATCAAATGCAGGCAACATTGCCTTATGGAAACGCAGCTCATATAGAAAACCAATCCACTAAATGAATGCAATACTTGAAATCATATTTGAAAATTTGATTTGAAATGAACATCAGACTATTTCTCTCATGACTGCAAATCAATCAACCTAAAAAATGCTTACTCCTAAAATAAATACACAGCAAGTGGTATAATCCAAATTATTTTCCTCAAAGTAAATCATATGTCCTCATATAAAGAATGATACCTGCAAGACGTCCATGGTACAGAAAAGCACACAAGATTAAAATGAAAGGAAGCAATATCCGGAAAACCAGTCAAATAAGACAATAGGTTGAGCAGAAACAGTATTAAATTGAAATGTTTCACTCAAATGGATTCTTGTCAACACCCACAGACCATAATTGCCACAATGTGCAACTTTATCAAAACATCAAATGAAGAAGTAGTCATCATCCAAACAATCTCAAGTAAGTTACTTCCTTCAAGAAACAAATCAAAGAGGTCAGAATTATAGTTTTCTATACATTCTGTGGCTTTCTTGGTTTCACATATTAATATTTTCTAAAAGTACCTAATAGATAACAAGTTTCATCACAAAAGTAGCCACATTTACTTAATTTCACAATCAATCAGATCTAACACGCCAGTGCCAAAAGCTATCAACCATACATAAGAGCTGTTGACTCAACCATTGATGGAGCCATTTGACTATAATATCGATTCATTGTTAATTTTAACAAACTATACAGACGTATAAAGGTACCCAAGCTGAACCGCAATAAGTAATAGGGACCTTAAAAGCGTACAACAAACTTCTCTTGTTAAACTGAGAAAAAGAAAACACACTATAACATACTATACAAAGTATTTACACTCTTGTATATACTCTCCTGTAAGGAAATCAGCTCGATGGTAGTTTTCTTGTTGTGGTAATGTTTAAAAAGGGCAGCCTGACCTTTTTTTTAGAAGGCATGACCCAACTCAAAAGATGTTAAAAAAGATGAAAACTTTTAAAAATTATCAGTCAGTAGGAGGACCAGCCCCCAAAATAAATGTAGATTAGAAATGCAGAATTTTTACGAGAAAGAAAAGACCGCTAATGTTTCACATGTGCTTTTGGCACTACACATTAAACAGAGCATTAAGTAATGTTGATGCTTTGATACATTGTTTCCAATGCAAAACAACATCTCCCAAACAAAATCCAAGACTCTGATGCAGAGCAAAAATAGGCCACTAGGATGTGGATCTTGCTAAAAATGAACAGGGAAAAAAAGAAGAGCTGATTCCCTCTCATGCCTCTCCCATCGTTTTTATTCTGTACATATATGCAAGGTAAAGAACCTCCCAACATCATAAGACTATGATGTAGAACAAGTCTTCTATAATGACATAATAAATGGAACTATGCTGTACTAATAGTAATAATTTGATACATGAGGTGTAAAGAATTATTACTATTGTGATAAATGACTAAAATAACTATTTTGTGACTTGTTGGCAGTTATCAGACTATCCAGACCATCTGAGGTACAGAGGATACCACCACCACCACATCTCACAAGATATTTAACACTTCTAAGCTGAGGCTACTGTTGTGCATGGCAGCAAGAATATTCAATATTGTTTCCTTTAAAAGTCAAGTCAAAAAGAACCCAGCTCAATGGCGTCCAAGATACAAGAAGATTGTTCAGAGATAATTAAAACAATATTTCTTTGCGGATTGTGATATATCAACACAACCTTGTCATGATCAACTCGCAGACTATTCTGGGTTGTTCAAATGGATTTCCAGTGATTAACACTGAAATTACCCCCATGAACAGTGCAGGTACTTCCATTCATGTAACCAACGATTACTTGATGGAGTCTGCACCAGCACTTCCAGTCAAAATACATTAGACGTAAATAAAAGACAACAAATACAAACAACTGTCACTAGATCTGAGTTCATTCATACAAAAAGACTTGCTTATGGGTTTCCATGACACAAAAAATAAGCATGACTGTGCCATGTATGCTTATACAAGGAGGACTATCAGTTACAGCATGGATACACCCATTAAAACAAAACAATAACAAAGCTACTTAAATTTACCAATTGGCCATGCCAGGTTTGTTCAAAGTCATGAAGTATATTTGGCATGAAGAACCACCTTTAGCAGATGAGAAGAATACCTACAAAACACACATAAATAAATTTTAACAAGATAATAATAATAAACTTAGAAAAAAGCGAAGGAAATCTTATTTTCCTAATTACCTTGTCATTCCTTTCACAGAGGAACTTTAGTCGCTGGGCCTTCTTATGCATAAAAACACCATCTAGATGCCCTGATTCCACACTGCGTATTTCTATGGCTTTGTTACCCCATCCCATAATTTGACCAGTCCCTATGTAGGCAACTGATGTTGGCATTTCACCCCATTGCAACACAATGTTCTTTGAGACCTGCATAAGAGGACGATAACGATGAATTAAAAGTCAGTCTAATGTAAGTACAAGAGATTATCATTTACATGCAGTATGTCCACATACCTTGCCATACGTATTTACATAAACTCCTTCATTGTCATAACACAACAAGAGCTGCATACCATTCGAGTTAGGAAGTGGCACAATGCAGTGAGGTGAAATAGGACCTTGAGACTGCAAAACAAACAAAAAAACAATAATGTTTTGGCAATTTTGAGTACAAATAATAAAAAGAAATAGAGTCTGATATTCTCACCATGCTAACATGCTTGGGAAGGTACACATCATAGACTGAAGCAGAATCAAGATCCACAGCATGGAATCCATCAGCAGACCCATATATCACTTTCAGGCGAGTACCTTCTTCAACAGTGAGGTCGACCAGAAGAGGTCGATGTTGGAGGTCTCCAAATGCCTGAAAGACACACAAAGCAATGGTAACCAAAGTAAAGGATCCGCAATGATCACCAAATAAAAAGAAACAGTGGGGCCTTACCTTGAACGCCATGAATTTGTGATAAGGTTTAGGTGCCCATGCATAAATTTCAATACTGTCCTTCAATGCAATTACAAGGAATTTGATACGTTCATACTTGACTATCTTAAAATGGACAGCTCCCTGTAGATCACCAACATTGATCCAACCATTGCGCCTTTCTACTTGTTGCTGAAAATTGTTAATTCATGGTGAGGAATAGATGATGAGTGGATAGAGTTAATATCCAAGATAACCAGAAACCAAAGGGATAATCTCTTACTTCAGTAACACCATCAGTGCGGAGGATTTTAGATTTTAACCAGGACAAGTAATATACTCGTACTCTGTTTTTCTTCCCTGAAATGGTAACGAGAATATTTTGGCCTTCTAACACTTCCATTTGTTGGAAACGTCGCCGCGAAATAAGTTGATAGACTTTCCCTTGGCCACTACGGTCCAGCAGCATCAAACCATTTTCAGTTCCAATCAATAAGTTGACACCTGCCATCAAGATAAGATAAGCATTCCAGTCAAAACAAGAAACCCTAAAGGGAAAGCTAGTATGTCTGGAGTTGTCATTGAAACACATACCCCATAATGCAGCACACAGAATTTCTGAGTTGAATCTTTTCTTGTATTTTCTTATCTCTGGTGTGTCCGCACCAAGATCATGTGAAGTAGGTGTGACATTCACATTGACGTGAGACTCCCTTCTGCTCGGACCCGAGCCTCCGGCGCCGAATCCAAACGTCAAGAATGACCTCTGTTTCTGTTGAAGAGGATTAAAGCCGGTTTGTGATGAGGGTGAAATGAGGGAGGACGATGATGCAGTGGAAGTGTTGGACGGACTTATTCGGGGCCCTCCAATACTACCACTTAGTCCCTTAATAGCTTGCCGATACTGTAAGAGAAACAAAAATGATACAAATTAGTTACAACTACAAGCGTTTGGGAAAAAAAAGGAGTTGCTAAAGACATGGTTTATTGATGGGAAAACTGGCAAAAACTCATGAAAGTTGAACAAACTTTTCAAATAAATTGGTGCGCAGTAATCTGATAAAACTAGCACAACTACTATTGAGATAAAATTTGATGCCATTTTAATCTAGATTAAATAGACTATCTATGGCTACAGAGAAGATGAAAAAATGTGTGAAGGAAATGTATTATTAAATTCAATGGGAGGTGTATCAACAATTTTTGCTACTGTATCATCAACACTAATATGTAAGAACGGGAAGATCAGGTATAACAATTGATTTTTCCTTGCTGACCCGGTTGCACTTCACCTTCTTTCAAATTTATTTTCCGGATGCATACCTGCATGCTTATAACTGTCACTAATCACATATGAGTATGTAAAACATGCATCACAAAACCAGGGCATGCAAAGAAAATGACAAATCTTCCACTAGCAAGGAAAACATTCAGTGTTTATTGCGAAAAGGCTGGCCACAGATGTCCCCAAGAAACATTTTTGCAACTGAGCTGCCTGATAATACTCAGAATTATTGGTGACCATAAAATGTGAGTACGCTCAGCAGAAACCTATGAACAGGAATTTCCCAGGCTTGTGAGTGTTCCTTCAAATTTATTGGATCACCTGTGTTTCCCAAATATCAATATGAAGACTTTAGTTTCATATTCAAGCTCCCAAGGTATTATAGACATTGATATTAGAAAACTAAGAGGACACAGTAAATAAAACAGCAACAATGAAAACACCCACACACAAACCAATTGAACATAAAATCACCATAGGCACCATACTTACATGAAAAGATAAAAAATTCTTGTCCAAGAGCTTCCCCTCACGTCAGTTAGTAGGTCAGAGCATGTATGATCGCGAGAAAAAATACAACACAGCATTAGTGAGATCCAAGCAGGCCGTCCAAAGTCGCGCTCAAAAATCCAGTAGCAAGCCCAAATGGGATTTAAGAAAACTGAAATGCCTTAAGGTTTTCCCTTCCCTCAGCAATAGGACATTAACATTAACCAACTTTTCTCATATTGTTTAATGACGGCCAAAAACAGAAGGGAGCCCTGCTGTAAAGCACACATTTCACCACATTCCACTAGCAGAAAAAAAAAATAGGTGAGGGAACATTCACAAGGAAGATAAAGCTGTTTACAACATTTCTTACAACTAGCTTCAATAAGTTGCAGGGATTAAAAAAATTACTCATTAACTCCAATAAAAAGGGCAAGATTTGATCATGCGTAATAAGTCTGGTTAGAGAAAGAAACTGCTCCATGCTGAACAGACTCCATCACCCAACCCTTTAATGGATTCATTTGCAAAATTGTAAAAGGGGGCTTAAGAAATATGTGAAAATAGTACAACTCACATTACTGAGGTTGATCCCCAATAATAATAAACAAGAGAAATTTAACAATGGAGAAATGTGGGTAAATGTGATATATAAAAGAATGCAATCCCAAAGCAAAACCATAATGAAGTTATGATCAGATCAGCAGAAGCTTCACTCCCATTGGTGATAAGCTTATTTGTTGTATAATTTCCAAAAAATTGTAAATGTGTATTATAAATTTTGTTTAGATTGTAATTCGTCTAAAAACTACGGCAATACAGTAATCCAACTATCTTGTAACTAACTACCAGTGAAACTTCCTGAAGAAGTGAATATAACAGATGGGGTGACTCAAACTAATAAAACATGGAAATTTTGTCTAAAATGCATTTACAATCAAGCAAGTCTATAAAATTTAAACTGCTGTAAGACAGTGAACAGAACAATGCGAAAGCTTTAACAATTGATTCACGAGTTGTCTCCGTTTCTCTCTTTTATTAAGAAGCATAAGGCAATTGAAATGAAGCCAACTCACCTCGTCACTGGTTGACTTGTCCTGCCTCTGATTGGGTGTTCCTGGGCTGGATGTCTGAATCAGAGCAAATAGTGTCATTACTATGTGATCATATTTATAGGATCATTGAGAATACAAAATAAATGAAAGGAGGGTGTGTGCGCGTCTTTGGTCAATTAATTACCTGAGTGAGAAGGTCAGGCAAAACAGAACTAGTTCTGGAACCAGGAGTACTAAGTTGTCCTGGAGATGAGTCCATGCGGTGGAATTCTCCACGGCGTTCCTCACGATTCTGCCAAAACAAACAAGCACTTTTAATACCCTGCAGCACTATGATTATTGGATAAGGTAGAAAATTTAATGAACAATTAAATCAAAACCTAAAATACAGAGTAAGAGGACAACATGAACACACAGATTCAACCATCACAGCATGCCTAGTTGACACACAAAGCTGGCAAAATGCAGTCAACACATACACATGCAGTCAAGTATCAGTAAGACATGCAAGTCTCTGCATTACAAAAGTCATCTCCCAGAAACAGTCTCAATGTTCATAGATACACATGGTAGATTTTTTTTTTCACAAAAGCGATGAGCCATTACAAAGCTGAACCTTATTTTTAGATAGCATTAGACACACATTATTATGAACTAAGAAATGAATGATGAAGTAAGAGAAACTATGTATGTGTTAAATGCTAAATGCATTAGTTAAAGGGGTGGCAAAATCTTATGAATCTTAGAGGAGAGAGTCACTGAATGTTATGTCAATCCATTGAAACAAACTTACAGCCAACCCTTTACACTCGTATAATAAAAAATACAACCCAGAATATTTCAGAATTTGTGAACTAAATGTTCCTAAAATGAAAGTAAGAATGTAACATATCAAATATGCCTTTTGAATACACTAATAAGGATTTGTGAACAGAGCTCACATCACAAAGTCCTGCACCAAAGCTAGCCATCTTTTCACACCACCTCATAATGAAGACCACACCAAAACCTACGAGTTTTCTCCCCTCTGTGCTCAACAGTCATACTTTCCTAACAATGTGGTTTCCTTGTTAATTTGAAGCTTTGTGTTAGTATTGCATGAAGTACTATAGACAAAAATAAAGGACAGGTAAAAGAAGTTTAAATATATAAATATAGACTTTGATTTCGTGCGTCATGGTCGGTGCTTGGTGACAGCGCCAACTAACCTGCCATTCCAAGAATCCACCTTGTCCACCACCACCCCCTTCACCTCGGTCCCCTGGACTGCTGCTATTGCTGCCACTGCCATTGCCATTAGCGAAGCCATTGGCATTACTGCTACGACGCCAAGCTCGCATCAATACAATATCGCCTTCAGTCTTCTCTCGCCGTGGTTTCACAGCAGACCAGTCACTTCCAGCATTCTTAGGAATTAAATCAGTTCCACCACTCTTCCAATCAGTGAGTACTGGCTCCCCACTTGGTTTTCTTCCTGGCATAAATCTGCTTTTTGACGGAGTTTCTTTTCCATACAGCTCTGAGCTGATGCCCGCCACAATAGAGGCAGCTATTTCTGAACCACGTCTCCCATTGTTGTAAGAAAAAGTTACGCCAGACCCTTTGGATGTATCAGAAGGGGGAGTGGATTCAAAAACTAAAGCAGAGTGACGATTGGACCGACTAGGGAAGAAATCCGAGTTTTCTCGCCGGAAAATATGTCTCTTAGAATCTACATGCTTCAGCTGAGATTCTCGCACCTTATTTTCTGGAGTGCTAGATGATGGAGCATTGGATACACTGCTTCTTGATGGTGATGACTTAACAATGCTATTTTCCCCATCTTCAAAACCAGGATTGTCAAAGCTTTTACTGTTGCGATCTGATTGTTTCTTGTTGGCCTCTTTTGAGCGATTAGATTCGTCACTGAGCCGATCAAGACGGGCATTAAAGCCTTGGAAGAAACGATCAAAGTCCCAATCTTTCAGGAGCTGTTGATCAGCCAGCTCGGAATTGCGAACACTACTCCTCTTGCTGTCACCTCCATGTTTCTGAATCATCATTCATTTGACAACATAAAAAAAAGAAAACAAGAAAAAATTATGAATGAAATTAAAAAGATAAACTGGATGTTTCAAACACAACAGAATAAATCAAAACAGAATGAAAAAAAAAATCTTCATTAAATTTAAAGTCAGCTAACTTTGTTGTACAATGCTGTTGAATGAAAAATACTTTGTTGAGCACAAACTGTGTGACTGACATGAAAGCAAGAATACCAGCTGTCTAAGATATGTCTAACCCCTTTATCAAAGTGATGCTTCATAACAACAATGGAGTACTGCTGATGTGTAATCATGTGTCACGGTAAAGGGCCCAGCCCTTTCCCAACAAGGGAGGGAACACTCATCGTCACTACAAGGGAACAAATCAATGTTCATGCTATCTGACGAATTCAAAGCAAAGCAAGATGGTAGCTATAGAACGTATTATTCCTTCTAGCAGCCAACACTAGGAGGATTTGCTCTAATAAACAAAAATGAAAGAAAAGTAAATGAGATAGCTATAATAATAATTAGAAATCATAAAAATTAAACTTGGAGACAAAATATCCTGCAATTGATATTTTCTTTATCTTTTCAACAAGAGCAGAATGTAGCTGTTACACTGACAAGAAATGCTCTTGCATCAAAGCTGGGTAATCGCACAAAGCGAAAGCGTGGCGTGCAGTTTGTGACAAACTTGCAGCGCAGCAAACACCACGGAAGTGAAAGCATGCTGATAGCAAGTTAATCAGTGCTAGCCACAAAAGAGCTACTAATGCATAAATGTCTGAAAAAAATCCAAACTTAAATGCACTCTTTAGGTCATAAGCAATGCTTTGAATTGCCACTTAGGCCAGACATATCACAAACATTAAAAACCACAAATTGTTGATTTTTTTTTTTTAAAGGAAGGAAACAAATTTTTAAAAAGGCTTCCAAAAAATATTATTAAAGAGTCAGGAGCACGTGCATTAAGGGGTAGGCGGACACATAATTGCTATGGCTTAATTACAGTTCTCTGCTAGATCGTACAACGCAAAATGAATGGATAAAGAACACAGTATAAAAGTGTTCGCTAATTGTATTTAAGAGAAAGTGCAACAAATCCTAAACTAAATTTGAGCCAAATGCCAAAATGCAATAACTGAGTAAGTGTTAGTCTCATTATTAAAAATCTTTTATACATTAAGCAGAGCTGGAATAAGAATAAATCACCAATCACCAATCATTTCTCCTTTGGGCAGGCAGCTGTAATTGTGCCAAATTTGTACAGTGAAAAGGGAATGAGATACATGTATGGCAGACTCACCCTTATCATGACAAGTGTCCTTTCCCCACTTTCTTCTTCATCAGGGGTTGGAGGAAGAGGTCGATTAGGAGCCCCACTTGATGACGGAGCTAAAAGCACAAAAATTGTCCATTTAAGCACACAGTAGTACAGAAACTACGGTACAATGTTTGGAAATGGATATCGACAAATACCTGGTTTTGGTGCATGTGCACCATGTTCGTCAGGTCTGTAAGGGAATTCTGGTCTGCAATTTTGTAAAGAAATTACCAGTTAGTGGATAAACTTGATCCATCACTTCCAAATTTGAAGACAAAATGAAATCTTTACTTACAGAGGCTTTGGTGGGTCACTTGCAAGCAATGTGCCATCACTTCTGACTCGACCAATATCTTCATCATCATCTGAATCAGACTCCAGCAGGGACAGATGTTGGCTTCCAGGAGCTTGAAAAGGTTTTAAGACATCAATATTTTGAGAGACATAGAAACACCCAGATCTAAAATCTGTGGCACCTGCAGACCCCACATACTTACTTTGAGACTTCGAACCGTTTTGGCTAGACTGGTGGTGGGACGATCTTGCAGGCCTGGCTGGAGGCTGTTCACTGACTGCAGCTCCAGACGAAGAGCTTGAGGCTCCACTCTACAAACATCAAAAGAGACAAGTCAAGAACGAAAAGCAACAAACGAGAAACACACACACACATAATAATTAAAGATTTCCTTTCGAAGTGAAATCACAATAAAACCAGACTGGAAAAACATGAAAGCTGGAGGAATCGTCTCCACAGCTTACAAGTTGATGTTTATAACTTGACTCTGCAGTAGACATAAATAAGTAAACATGCATAGAAGGAAACAGAAAATACAAGTTTGATCCAGCTTCTTGAGTATTGCAAGATCAAAGAATTATTACCTCTGGTCTCCTTGGTGGCAGCTGAGTTGCAAGGTCGTCCAAAGAACAGGCACATTGAGCAAACAAAAAAGTTATTAAAAAGCCAAGTTCCCAAGATAGCAACAGAAAGAGGAAAAAGAAAAAGGAAGCTGTGCCACATACTACAGCTAGTTCCCATTCCACTACAATATAAGATCTGTATAGTGCAAGATTTGTCTATTAAATTCTAGGTTTGTATGCAAGAAGAAGAGTCAGCCACCATTATTCTTATGAAACTTAAGTTATTAAAATTGCTGGGGAGTGGAAGAGAGAAAATAAAAGAAAGAAACGAAAGGCTTGGCATGATGTTGAAGGGAGTTCGTGGCAACGAAAGAGAACTTCGTGGTTTTGGACCGAGTTTTCAGACTTCACATCAGTCCACGTGCAATTAAATTAATAAAGGGGCAGTGGACCTAAAATCAGGCTTTGATTAAGGTTCTTTTACTCCACTGATAGGATATCATGTCATAACAATTTGAAGAAGCTTTACACAGTGCGAGCTAGACTTTAATACCAAGACCAAGCAGCATAATCCTTTTCTTATCTCTTTTCTTTATGTAAATAGTTTTAAAGTGAGGGAAGAAGAAACAGCGAAGATGTGATACTAACCATAGGTTTGAAGCCATGGGAGTTTCTTTGCTGCTGTGGATGCGCTGAAGGCGCAGCAGCAGGCTGGTGATGCGCATGGTGGTTTCCATGAGGTGTGGAGGGCTTCCCTGGAGGTCTGCTGTCGTCCTTGGGAGGAGGTGGCAAGGGCCGAGATGGAGGATGGGGGTCTGGAACCACTGATGACCGGTCAAAGCACAGAACACACACATGAGAATGAACAAAAAGTTCTTTCTTGGAAAAGTTTGGAAATAAATAAATTTACGCACCAATAAGTCTCTGGGGGATGGGCGGTCTTGCTGGTGGGCCTGGGTCTGGTATTTCTTCACGTTCTCCTTTCCTCCCATGTTTGGGATCTTTGCCTTGGTCATTGGCAGAGCGCCCATCTGGTCTTCCCTCTCCACACAACTGCAAACAAAGAGACAAGGTAGAGAAAGGTTGAAGATAATTATAGGAAATTTGATGTGACACAAGATGAAAATTTGCATACCTGGAGCTGTGCAAAAGTTCTTCTAAGTGTGTTGTCCCCTGGAGCCTGGACAATGGAAGATGGTTCACCAGCCACTGCAGGCTCTTCGTCTTCATTCTCAGAGCCACTGTAATGGTAATCTTCTCTTTCTGCAACCGGCACAAAGACATAAAAGGTGTGTACTTGTAAACAACAATAAAAAAATATGAGACAATGCCATGTACATCTGAAGGAATGATCATACCTTTTTCCTGCTTTCGTTTCTTGCAACGATCTATATGATCCTTCAACTGAATACGAACTTGTCGCTCAGTTGGCTGATCTCGAATGAAGGGGTGTTTGAGCAACTGTTCTGTGTAGGGCCTCTGATGGTAGTCTTTGACAAGTACAGTTTCAATAAAACCTAGAAGGAAAAAAAAGGTCCATATTACTGTGGTTATTTTTTTAACCTTTAAATACATACTTTATAAGAGAGAAGAAAACTTACTATGGAAGCGCTTAGCCCACTTCTTGGATTTCAATCGAGCTGGTGGATTTCGAGGGATGAGGAAAAGTGCACGCATAGGATGAAGGTCACAAAGAGGTGGTTGAGATTCTGCCATCTCCAGGGCAGTGATACCCAAAGACCACAAATCACTCCTATTATCGTAAGTGGCATCTGGATTCTCATCACAAGCAATAACCTCAGGGGCCATCCAGTAGGGAGTACCAATGAATGTGTTCCTACGACCAATTGTTCTGTCTAGTTGAGCACTTACACCAAAGTCCACAAGTTTGACTTCGGCATTGTCAGTCAGTAAAACGTTTTGTCCCTTAATATCTCTGTGAATGACTTTGTTGTTGTGAAGGTACGCTAAGCCCCTTAAGATTTCTCTGCAGATGTACGCAATCCACTCCTCTTTCAGCGACTGGCCCTTGGTAGACTTGACCAAATCCGTCACAGATCCTGCACCACAGTACTCCATAACAAGCCAAAGCTGGTCATCCTTGCCAGGAGGACTCTTTTTAATGAAGGCACCATAGTAGGTAGCAATATTTCGGTGGTTTGAGTACTGAAAAAATTTAGAAAATTAGTTTTATGATACAGGTAAAATTTGCACCTGAACAGAAAAATCACTCTTAGCTACTACTCACTTTCTTTAAAACATTAATTTCAAGTTTTATTTCCTCCTCTTCATCCTGTAACAAGAAAGAAACAAAGCCAGTTGGTAAAATTGACAGCTGAGACATAAAAAGAATTAAGGAAAAGAGGGGGAGGGGAAGGGAGGCAATTGTATGGGAGCAGTGCGCGCAGCATGCAGCGGGGTCAAAAGGAGTTAGAAGAGAGGGGGGGGAGGGGGGGGGAAGCCTCGATGTCGTCAGGGCATGAGTCATTTAGAGCGGATCGCAGGATGGGAGGGCATCCACGAGACTCCGGGAGTCCAAGGCCTCGCGAGGAGAGGAGGAGAGGGGAAGAGAGAAAAAGAGAGAGAGAAGGGGAGGGGGCAGTCCCTGACAGTGCACAGAAGCTATCCATGGATGTGGTGGTGAGTCACCGATGACAGGGGCCGGGCCGGGCCGGGCCGGGCCGGGCCGGGCCGACGGAGACGGGCGTGGCGTAAGTGCAGCTGCCCGGCCGGCGCGGCGCCTCGTCGCCAGCGTGCAGTACCAGACCCTGCTGGCCGCGCGTGCGCCTAGCAGCGCTGCCTAGCGCGAGCGGGGCTGAGCGAGTCCGCGCCAAACTCGGCGGGGACGAAGGGGGTGGGGGATTAGCTTTAATGCAGTCTGGATTAATCAGAGCGGCCGCGGCTCGGCAGGTAGTCAGGCGGCCCGCGGGTCCACCGACCTCGCCGTCGTCCAGGACGAACGTAACGAATCGTCGGCGTGTTCCTGGAGGCCCGCGTCGGCCATGCAAGCCGTCCGCTCCTTGCTCTCATGTCAGCTCTCCCGCACGCCGCGCCCTCGGCGGCGTCATGAGAATTTCACATCCACCTTTGCCCCGCGCGCCGCGAACGCACCACGAGCGCCCGGCCGCGCACCGCCGAAGAAAGCCACATAAAGGCGAGGCAAAACAGTCGTGCACGGGCACGGCGGGCACCGGCATGGGAAAAACGCCTCCCCCCACCATTCCGCGCGCTCGCGTGCGCACCGCGATTCACACCGACCCGATGCGGCAAAAGGGGGAGGGGGAGCCTGGAGAGGCACTTGGGCACGTCCTTGAGGATGCGTGTCTTGTCACCTTCAACGAGGGGCCTGGCTGCCTGGCGTAGCCTGGCGCCTAGCTCTGCGGCGCGGTGGTGCCGCAGCGGGGCGGCTCTGCAGCGCGAGGCGCGAGGCACCGCCCCCCACCCCCACCCACCCCGCTGCGGCATCTACGAGTCTCCTCAGGGCGCAACGACTCTACAATGTTAAATCAAATTAAGGTGCGCTGAATTAAGGCAGCGGTACAGACTCTCCTGGAATTCCCTCAATCAGTCGTCGTCCGCCGCGCTGCCTAGCCCAGCGACTACGAAGGATCGTCTCGTCGCTCTGGCTCTGTCGCACTCATGGCGCGTCCCATAGGGGTGCGAGAGAGACAGCTGCACGCGCGCACGCCCGTTCGGCGGGAAAGTGCACACAACGGGGGCGAACGGCACAGCGCGCGGCAGCCTTGAGTCGTGTCGGGGCGGCCGGGGCGGCCGTGGAATGTGGGGCGGACTTGCGGACTCGCCGCGCCGCGCCCCGAGAGACATGGGAGTGTGCGCTGGAAGGGCAGGCCGGGGCGGCCAGCGCGGCCAGGCCGACTACCGTTCCATATGCTCTTACATATTGTTCTCCTCCAGCGGTCCGTGACAAGGGACTCGCGGCCGCGGGAGGCATCTTCAGAGAGCGAGCGAGAGAGATATGGGGGAGAGAGAAAGAGGAGGGGGAAAACCAACGTGGGCGAAAGGGGGGGGGGGGTCTTTTGTTTTACTTTTCAAATTGGGTTAGGTTTGAAAAGTTTGAGCAAGTACTCACCTCGGTGACGTCCATGACCTTGATGGCCGCAAGCTGGCCCGTCTTGGTGTGCCGACCCTGCAACCGACAAAAAGCACGCCGTCAGAAGCAAGAAACGCGCACACGGACCATGGGGCGGACGCGCAATTAGAACCTTATCATCGACGAATCGCTCATGACGCCGCACTGGGCGCGGCGCGGCCGTACTGCAGGCTCATTCCGAGCCGCTTTTCTTGTCTCTCTCGCACTCGCGGCGACCCCATCGGGGCGCGAGAAAGACAGTGGGGCGGCGCGGCGGCCGCCGAGAAGCCTCCCATGTTCGGCACGCCCGGGCACGCCCGTCGCGTTATCGGCGACGACGTCCACGTCGCCGGCCGCGCTGGAGCCGAGCAAAAAGTGTGCAGTATCCGCCATCCGCCGCCATCGGGGTTCGGGTCATTCCCCGATGGCGCCCCGAAGCTGGCCCGGCCCGGTCCCGGGTGACGACAGCGGCGAGCACGGCGCCGCGACCCCGACCCGACCGCAGGCCGCGCCGACGACCCGCCAGAAAGTAATCGGCTAGACCGCAGGTCGCGTCCAGCCAGTGCAGGCCCGGCCCGGCCACAGTATTTTCATGGCGTGGATACCCCACGCGTCGGCCACCTCACTTCCCATGAGCCCCCAACCCATGGCGGCATCGCGGCGAGGCCATGGAAGCCGCGGCGGGGGCAAGGACCTGGCGGGGGAGGGGGGGTAATGCCGCCGGCCACGCGGCCCCACGCGGTCCCTAGGCCCCACGACCCGAGGCGAGGCCCCAGAGGCACCCGTCGAGGCACCGAGTCCCGCGGCAGGCTGGCTGGGCTGGCCGGGCTGGCTGGATCCAGCGTTCGAATCGGCGGGGCGGCGGCGAGAGGCGGCAGGCTGCTTCCGAACGGCTCTGTCTCTCTCGCACCCCGACGGCGCGCCCCGCGAGTGCGAGAGAGACAGAGAGCCGTTCGGAGGCAGCCCCGGCGGGCCTAATGAGGAGCACGGGGCTCCGAGCCGCGCGGAGCCGCGAGGGGGGCGTGGCACAGCGAGGCACAGCGAGGCACGGCGAGGCACCTGGCTCCAAGCGCGGCCGCGGCTCCGCAGCTCCGCGGTGAGGCGATGGATGGGTCTCGCACTCACACCTCGCCAGCCAGCAGGCTGCCTCTCTCGCTCCATCCCGGGACGCCCCACGAGTGCGAGAGAGAGCAGTGCTCAGCCTGCAGCCGGCCGGCCACAGCCACGCCGAGCCAAACGCGGCATACAGTCACATACACTCCCGCGGTGTACTACACGACGGCGAGTCGAAGCAGCGAGGCGTTGGCACAGCAAAAATCACCCGTTTGGAAACATCAAACTAGTTTCACGGCGACGCGCCTGCAGCGCTGCAGCGCTCGCAAGTGTGCCAAAGACACTGCTGATTGGCTGGGAGTGACATCAGAGGGCGTGTTTCAATGTGTCGACCGACGGCCAGCTACGGGGGCCGCCCCGCCCCGCCAGTGTGGTGGACGCGGCGGAGTGGCACTTTCTTTATTTTTTGCGACTGATAGTAAGTGGATGACCCCCTTCGGAGAGCGCGGTCGGTCCCCGCCCGGTCCCCGGCCACTGTCCGCCCGTCCGGACAAGGCCTTGCGGAGCGCCCATAGTGTGGCTCTGCCTCTCTCGCACCCATACGGCACGCCCCATAAGTGCGAGAGCAAGAGAGGGAGAGAGAGACGCTGCAGAGAATCAATATGTCCGCGCGTCCCGCCATGGTCCGCCGGCAGCAGGTCACCCGACCGTATCAGACGGGCCTGGCGGCCTGGCCGGACCGAAGCACGTCTCAGAGTGCCTCGGTGTGCAGAGAGTCCTGCAGCCGGCCGGGCGGTGGCCGACCGGAGACGGGCTTATCATATCAGGACTGCAGCGCGACACACGACACGGCCAGCGACGCAGTGAGGACGCAGCGTGCTGCGCAGAGGAGCCTCTGATTCACGCCTTGCCCGAATCGGACGGGCGCGGCGCAGTCGCGGCGCAGTCGCGGCGCCGGGCTGCAGAACCGATTCTCAGAGGCGTTTTCGTCGCTCCGTCTCTCTCGCACTCGCGGGGCATCCTGTACAAGTGCGAGAGAGACGGACGACTCTCGGAATGAGCCTGCTGTACTTTCCCGCTGGACGCAACGTCACCTCCGGATGATGCGCACCGGGCCGACGCCAAACGCCAAGCACGCCAGCGCCAACGACGCGCGACCGGCGTGACGTCACGGCAGTGCTCTCTGTCTCTCGCGAGAGTCCCCTGGGAGTGCGAGAGAGACAGACAGAGCGACGAAAGCGGTCATTCGTTGGTCGTTCCCCGCAACACGTCCGCCCGCCCGGCGCACCCCAGGACCGCTGCACCGGCTAGGCCCTGATGGCCCTGATGGCGCTGCGGGTCCCGCTCCGGCACGCGGTGACACACACAGTTTTTGCAGTGTCGCCACCGACCCATTAGCATACTGGCACACGCCTGGACGGCGGCCCGGACCAGCCTGGACCCGCAAGGCGCGCGTCACCGCCGCTGGGTCGCCGGCCAGCACCGGCCAGCGCCCCGGGGCCCGGGGGCCAGTTGGAGTGGCTCCGTCCCTCTCGCACTCGTGGGGCTGGTGCGCACTGGTGCGGCGTCCCGCAGGGGTGCGAGAGGGACAGAGAGACGACAGACTCGCGGCCGGTGCGGCGTCCGCGTCGTCGCCGTGAATTAGCTCGCCTGGATGAGCAGCCTGAGTGAGCAGCGCGCCCGTGTCCGCCCCGCCACACCCCGCCCCGCCACGCCCCGGCAGAGACAGGGCCCCGGCCCCACCCCACGGGCGTACGGTGCCGCCGCTGGCGCCGCCCGGCGACACGCTGCTTTGGACCGTGGTGTGCCGCTGCGCCACGCTGCGCCGCGAAGGGCCACGAAGGGCCAGTGACAGTGGTGACAGTGCGGAGGGCGGCCAAAGCCCAGGGCAGCCCAGCCCAGGGCTCGACCTGCCCGAGCCCGCCCCAACCCCAACCTTGCGCCTCGCCGTGTCTCAGAGGACGAGGACAGGGCGACGGCCTCGCCGTGCCGTGCCCCTCCAGGGGAAGCCCGGCGTCGCAGTGCCCCCGCCCCCCGGCCCTGCGCCCGCCCTGCGCCCTGCAGGCCAATGTGTAGCAACGAAGCCCCATCGACGCAGCGCGCGCAGCGCAGTGAAAGGAAACATTGAGAGGCAAAGACGACCAGCGCCAAAAAAAGAGGGGACTCGACGCGAACCAGTATTCGAACCCGGGCCGCGCCGTCACCAAACTGGTCTGGAGGACTTTGCCCGCTCCCTTTGGCGGGGCGGGGCGGGGAGCGTTCTTTCCCCGACTGAGTGCCTTTCACCCCGTCATGGAGGCGAGGCGGGGCGGCGGCCACGCCCACGACGTGCTCGCTGAGGGACAGGACGACGAGGAGGACGGAGAGGACGACGACCACCAGGACAAAAGGAGCCCCACGTCCGAAGGGGGCGGCTGCATGCCGTGGCACGTGGCAACGACGGACTTGTAGGAGTCGCGTCCGGTGCGGACGAATCCGTAAACGCCCCGCCCCGCCCCGCCACCATCAAAACACGGCGGCTACATCAATAAACCCCGGCTGGCTACCATCGCCGCGACCCGAAGCGCGACTCGCGGTGCTGTCGTCGCCCCGTCTCTCTCGCACTCGCGGCCCGTCCCGGCGGCGGCGCGAGAGGGACGGGGCGGCGGTTCGGAAACGCCCCACGGCGTGGGCAGGCCGCCTGGCCGCCGGTGCTTGGGAATCGGATTGGAAGAAAGGGCCTGTCGGCCTGTAGTCCGATTCCGAGAGTCGTTTTCGTCGCGCTGTCTCTCTCGCACCTATACGGGGCGCCCCACGAGTGCGAGAGGGACAGAGCGACGACTCTCGGAATCGTTCTGCTGGCGTCCGGGATGGGGCCTCCGCCCGCGGCCATGCGATGCGCCGCCGCGCCGCGCCACTGGATGGCCACTAGATGGGCCCAACTAGATGGGCCACTCACAGACACGTCGTCTGGCGACGCCTTACCTTTACGGCCTTTACGGCCCCGCCGCGCATCATGGCCAATCAAAACTAGAACGAGAAATGGGTGGAGGAATTCGAGGCCGCCCGGCGGTCGGGACGTCGAGAGCAGTGGCGGAGCAATCTCAGTCGGGGGAGGAGGGGGGGAGGGGGGGTGCCCGCCCTTGGACTTCCCTTTGGTGCAGACTGCAGCCGCGACGGTGCGGCGTCGCGTGGAGGAAGCGTGCATTCCCTTCCCATTCCCCGGGCCGCTTCGCCTGCCTCGCCACTTCCGCACACAAACTACAAACCGCAGCGCCGCGGCGACACGACGCAGATCGCGGTGCCTGCGCTGCCGCCGAGCGATGCCGAGCGATGCCGCCACGCCGCACACCGTTTCGTCGCTCTGTCTCTCTCGCGCGCCGACGGCACGGCCCGCGAGTGCGAGAGAGACAGAGCGACGAAACCGCTGCACGGAATCATGGAATCGGCATGCTGCGTATTCGCCGTTGCGCCGCCCCACTGGAGAAGCAATAGTATCGTGTAGATACAGTGCAGGGACTCTGCGAGCGGAAGGCGGCTTGGGCGCTCGCCTCGCCTCCCAAGAGCCGGGCACGCCGGGCAGCAGCCACAATCAACGAGTGTAGTGGCGGGGCGCGGCGCGGCGCGGAGCAAGGCGCGCAACAAAACACACTCCAACAACTCTCCCCGATAACGTTCGAATCCGGACAGAGGAGACGCCAAACGCGGCTCAAGCAGGCATTTCCCTGGTCTCTATCGACTTTCGTGTCCCTGTCTCTGTCACTCTCACACGCCAGGGCGGGGCGGGGGGAGGGGGAGGCCCTCCGAAGCCTGCATGCAACTTGCTGGGGCAGGCCGGGCCTGGCTCGACACGGGGGTACCAGATGTCGGCCAGGGTAGCAAGTCCAGGAGGGAGGGGGAGGGGGAAGGCGTCAATGAGTGCAGGGGTGAGGGAGGGAGAGAGAGAATGGCGAGGGGAATCGGGGATGGGGGGGGGGGGTGCAGCGTCCCTACTGCAGCACGTGCACCACGCACCGCGTGAGATGACACACACAAAGACACGGCCGTTTCCGCCAGCCAGAGAGCTTTGCTCATGAGCGCCCCCCTCCCCCTTTCCCCACTTCTCTTAATAGTACCAATCCCAACAACAAAGAGTCGCTTAATTTTTTTTCCACGGTCCTGACTGACCAATGACTTGATTCAGACTGACCAATGAATTAAATCACTCTGCCCAATGAGACCAATCCCTTTTGAGGCCGGCTTAATCAGTTCAGACAAAGCTGCAAAGTGTATCCGACTGACAGCTCACAATCTCAGAGAAAGTTGTCGTTTTCTATGATCGGTCCAATTATAAGATCTTACCTTGTACACCTGTCCATAGGTCCCATTTCCGACCACCTCAATCAGCTCAAAAATGCCAGCTGGTTCCTGGAAAAGGGAAAAGAAACAGTTGATATACATCATGTGTGAGATGATTTGACGACTAGTGTCAAGTATACTTCATTTTGAGAAAAAAATGCTATGAATGTGAAAAAAATAAAATAAACTCAGACAAGGATAGCAAGGAAAATTTGGTGTTGCAAGATTTAAAAAACATAACAACAAAAGTCAATACAATGAGACCATTGGTGTAAGTTATAACATAATAAAAAGTTTCAGTCTTTGAATGAATACGAAACTATTTAAAAGTAGGAGTTTTCTAGAAAACTAGGAAAAGGACAAGTAATAGAGAGAAGGGAATAGCAGACATGAACAACATTGACAATTTGTTCAGAAGCATGACACCTCTCACAACACAGGTTAAGTTCACAGAAGATCAGGGTGAAAGAAGTTTGAGATGGAGTGCGAAATAGAGCAACAAACATAACTAGGGATTAGAAAAACCGCTTCTGCGGGTCGATATAAACAAAGCAGTCAGAAAAAGAGCAACAAAGACTGAACTTGATAAACAGACCACAAACAATAACACAGATTTTGGGTAAAAATCGACAGATGGAGTTGAAATTTGGTGACAAGATAAAACACGGCCGCGCCTTTCGAGTGCTGCTGCTTGCTTACCTTGAGCGCGTTTAAATCTATCTCATCCAGTGAACAATTCACACTGGGAGCAAGGGAGTTCTGCGCCATCTTGCTGGTGGGTGCCAGAGGCAAAACACTGCGACCACTCGAACAATTCACTCGGTTTGGCGGCGCTGCCGACCGGCTAAACAGTGCACTCTAGTCCAATGTGCCCCGGCGGTGAACGCTACCTCCATAAAACAAACGGATTTGGCCCACGGAAAGTGGGAGTCTCCATTCCGCGAGATCGTCACACCTATCAACGCTCCAGGCCAGACACAAGTGACGTCAGCTAGCACCGCCCTCCACTAGTTGGGGCCGTGGGCAGGAACGCTGCGGCGCCGACGCGCAAGGCCCCGACCGGCGCTGCCACTCCACCGCAACGAAAACCACGCGCCTCTCGCGCCGCGAAAGCGGGATTTACGCGTCGGAGAACTGTAGAATGGTTGATACTAAACGTTCGCAGTTGACAAGGAAGCTTTCTAGTGTGTTTTGACCATACGCGGGAGTAACTTTGAGGTTCACTAGAAAAAAAGGCTGTCAAACTTAAACTTCCCTCCGCACCGCATCGATTTAAAGTCAATGAACTTTTTTCGTCGTCACTTATGTTGGAAAGCGGCACCTTATCTGCTGGTGTCAACAGTTTGGAAGACCCCCAATGATTTTGCCCACAATTCTGAGCATTTTGGCAATAAGATGGGTCATACGTTCCATTCGTGAACGGAACAGTAACCTACGTGACAGGGAAGGGTTGAGGGGGAGGGGGGTTTAATTCTGGTCGTCGATCAATATTGTGCAGTCAACGAACTCCGCACATTCATAGCCACATGAATGGAAAACAAGAAAGTGTATGCGCGAGCATGAGAATGAAGTTACTCCCTTGGAATCACATACTGCAAAACGTAGCACAAGAGACACCCTCGGAAAAAATATTCCGATACCGGGAATCGAACCCGAGCCTCCTGGGTGAAAGCCAGAAATCCTAACCACTAGACCATATCGGATGATGATGGGAGCAGTGCTCGACGCGCAACACAGTCAAGAGGAGGGGAGACCGAGCCGCGTTGCCGCTCGTCGGCCTGTGCCGAGGACACCCGAGCCCGTCCGTGGAAGTCCCGAAGCGAGCCACGGCGGGACTTTCAAACGGCGCTCCTTGGCGGACCATGTGCCGAGCGCAACCGGATTCGGGTCTGAAATGTTTAAACTTTTAACTTGTGAAATGAATCGCGGAGTGGTTATCCTTAAAGACCAGATACGATAGAGATCGAAAAGGGATTTTTAAACGGAAATGTACAGGATCTCGCATTTATCAAGGACAGATAAAGTTCATGTTGAAGGATTCATTGCAAAGCAGCGATTTAAATCACTATTTTTTTCCGGAAATCATTCCTATCGCGTTTGCCATGAGCTTCTAGCGCCAGGTCGGAGAGCACCTGGACAGCGCGAGGCGTCCACCCGCGGAGCAGGTCAAGCTTGGCTTCTTCTTGACCTGCTCCGCGTCTAAATTTAGATCCGGGTTCAGTTTTATGACAGTTTGCGGCGGCGCCCAGCTGCCCCGGCGGCCGGCACGGCCTGCAGCCAGTGCTTTGGTGGCGCTCGGAGGGATAGACCGCCGCCCCCCACCGTCCCGTCACGCCGCTCCGATCCGTTTAGTTCTTCTAACGTTTGGATTAGTTTGGGCCGGTCAGCTGTTCCCACCGCCCCCTCCCCTCTCCTCCCGCGAGGCACAGTGCCGCTGCGCTGTGCCTTAGCTGCGCCGACCCGCCGCCGGCCGGACGATATCTGAGTCGTATTTTTGGACGGCGTCGTGTCGTGGCCGCCCTGGGCTGCCCTGGGCTGCCTTTAGGCTGCCCCTCCTCAGCTGTTACCCCCCCCCCTTCCCCCGTCCTTTGAGCTCGGGGTGTAATCGGGCCACGGCGGCACTGCAGGCTGAACAATGCTTTGTCTCTCTCGCACTCGTGGGGCGTTCCGCAGGGGGCGCGAGAGAAAGAGAGACAGGGCGACGAAGCACTGTTCAGTGACTGTAGTACGCACTGGCCGCACCTGCCTCGCTCGCGGTACCTCGCACTGAAAAAGACTGTTACAGTGTGCTGTACTGCTACTGAACGAGGAGCGATGGATGCGCGGTGGCGGCGTGAGGCAGCCCCGTGTGGGGCCCGGTGGGGCCCAGTCCCATCTGATAACCACCATCCTTGTCTGGCGCTGGCGTGGACAGGCATCAGTCAGGAGAGCGACACTTCCACGTCGTCTCGCCACCCAAACAAACTCCCTCCCCCCCCCCCTCCTCACCCCGGCGGGCGGTGCCCCCTTGGTTGGTGCCCCCCGCGGCCAGCGGACTGATTCCGAAGAGCTGACCTCTTCGTCGCCGCCGCGAAGCGCCCCGCTGGTGTGCGAGAGAGACGAATAACGAGACGCCTCTTCGGAAAGACTCGGCGGCGGCGGCCGGTCCGCCGCCCACGCGCTGCAGCCACTTAGTCTGGCACCTGTTATTGAAGCGGCTCTCTCGCTCCCTCTCTCGCACCCCGACCCGTGAGTGCGAGAGAGACGGACACAGTGGGAATCGCTCGCGACGAAGGGGTCGCTTTGGGGGTTCGAGATGCTCGCCGGGCTAACTAGAGAGCGGCCCTGCGTTACTCCACGGATCGTAAACAGAGACGGACAGCCGGCGCACAATATTGTTTGGTGGTCCGCAGTGGGGGTGGGGTGTCCCGTCGCTCTGTCTCTCTCGCGCGCTCGTGCGAGTGCGGGAGAGAGACCTCCCTTCGGGAAGTAGCCAGCGACCAGGTCACGTGATTTGGACGGTAGGAGAAAAGAAAGGGAAAGAGCCTGACGATGAACATCCGAAGACGAACGTTAGAACCGAGCGGTGGAATGGTGGACGTAATGGACTGCCGATCGTGTGCTACGTCTCGACTGGTCCATACGCGGCGCCTCGCTGACAGGCGTAGGCAGGGCTGGACGGCGACTGCACGAGCCTACACCGGCCGCACGTTCCGTAGAGTCGTCATCTCGGAGTCATCGGCGTTTTGACCGCCCACCCAATTCCCGGAACGACTATCCGTACCGCCACGCGACCATCGGTCGCCACGTGATCTATCGCGGCTGGGAACGAGAGGAGAAGAGAGAGAAGAGGAAACGAAGGGGAAATGAAGAGGAAAAGAAGAGGAAGTGAAGACAGCGGAAGAGAAGTGGTGGCCGTGCAATGGGTTGCATCGTGTGTCGTCTGTGACTGTCACCAAACGCCCCGCCCCGCCCCGCCGCGCGACAGAGCGAAAGAGGAGCCCTGAGACGTGCCATCGAGCCCTACACCGTGAACGTGCCGAATCGTCACCAAAGTGCACCGCGTGCCGCCCTTCCCGCGCTTCCCGCCGCGCCGCGTCCACTTCCTGGTCGCCACGGGATGCTGTCCGAGGGGCGTGGCCGCGGGGCGGGGCGGGGCGGGGCGGGGCGGAGCGGCGCTGCCAGGGTGTTTACACCGCGGGCCCCGCTCGCGGCTCCGCGCTCCGCGATCAGTGCGTGGCCGGCGCTACTTTTGGACGGTTCAGCGCGGTCGCGGTACGCGTGACGGGGTGACACGCGGCGTGACACGACGTGACGCGGCGTGACGCGGCGTGACGAACGTGACGCGGCGAGCGCTCCGCGAATCGGGAAGGCGGTGACCCCTGCCTCCGGTTAGCTCAGGTTGGTAGAGGTCAGAGCACCCTCCGGTTTAATCAGGACTTCTGTGTTTTCGACCTTTTTTTCGTATTGCAAACTTGTGGCTGTTCGTTCCGCAGTCGCGAGCCGCCTTCCTCGGCTTGGTTACCGAGCCTTGTTACCAGCAGTGAAACGGCTCGCTCTGCTTCGCATTGCTTCGCATCGCGCGGCTTGCTTTTTCTAAATATACACAATAAGCCGAACGCAACTGAAGCCGGCAGGGCACGCAGGGCACGCCGAGCCTCACCGCGCCGCCCCCGGGCCGCCCCCAGGCCGCCCCCGGGCCGCGGAACGGAACGCGACACTTGCATTGGACAATGGCGGCCTGTGGCTGACTGGCACACTGGCACTGACTGGCTGACCGCTGGGCGTGCCGCCGGGGGCAGGGGCGCGAGGCACGCCGCACCACAGGCGCCCCTCTGCCCTACTTCCGTTGTGCGAGTGTGAGTGCCACAGTTAGGTCACATTTAAAAAGGCTGATCTTCGAAGCCTACGCTGTCGTTTCTATGGTCACGCTCGCATGGAACTAGAGTATTGGCCTCAGAGCATGTCTCCCTCCTCAAAGTATTTCTCCTGCCCGTGTCGGTGTTCGAACCCGGGCCACGAGGCGACGGCTTGACGCAAGGCCGATCGGAAGGCGGCCAGCATCCCCGATCGACCTTGGGGTGTCGCATGGCGCCGCATAGCGCCCTGTCATCGTCACGGTGCCCCCCCCCCCCTTTCCCCCCAGCTCATGCCAGCTCGGTTTCGGAAGGCCCGACAGCACCGGTCGGCGCGCCGCGGCGACGCGAAGAAGACAGAGCGACAGGAGGGATGCATCGCGGTCGCGGGGCAGCGCGGCGTGCACATGGAGGCCTTTACCCTAGGCGGAAAGGAGGGGGGGGGGACACGCACTCAAAGCACAAGACACGCATTGCGTCAGACAGGACCGGCCTAGCCACAACACTGGGCGACGCAGTCGGCGGTGCTGTCGGCGGTGCTGTCGGCGGGGGTGGGGGGTGGGGTTGCCGCGACTGTGCCGTTTCGTTTCGGCCCATGGAATGGAGCAAAGACAGGGGCTATCATCTTCCAGAAATTCGTGTGCAAAGGTTAGAGACGCAGGTTCGCATTTGGAGGTTAGGTTAGGTTCAAATATTAGCATCTCATTTTTTTCGCCTGGCTGCCTTTAGGCATGTCAAATGATCTGCTCCCAAGTGCAGGCCAGAGCCGCCAGAGCAGGCCAGGCAGGCCCCGCTCGTCTCGTCATTTTAGAATGCTCTTGGCCGCCACCGCTGCTGCGCGCTGCGCCTTCACGCCACTGCAAGCTAAGCCCGCCTTCTTGGCCCGGACGGCACCATTGTGCAAGGGCCTGCCTGCCCCCTGCACCACGCACGGTTTAGTTGTCGGGCAGGAAGGCTATTTATCACGGTACAAAGCCCGGCCAGGTCTGCTGTACTGCCGAGAACATCGCCAGGAAAATTGTATGGGCTGCACTGTTAAGTTTGGAGCTTAGGTTAAGTTACGTAGGGTTAGGTTAGATCAGGTTAGGCTGGGTAAGGTTAGGTTACGTTTGTTAGGTTAGGTTATGTCTGGTTTTTAGCAGATGATACCTTCACACTTGAAACATACTTAAAACTACTATACACATGAAGGTGTCAGCGTGCTTTTACTCTCGAGTCCAGAAACGAAGCGCGTATCCTAAACAATATAATAGGGGCTGGCTGCCGGGGCGGGCTGGTGCGTGTGTCTGGCAATGAGGCGCATCCTGCGCGGAATTCGACAATCCCTCCTCGGTACAGCGCCATCGGCACCGGGCGTAAACAATGGCACCCCCTCCTCGCTCGCGACGGCCTGCGCGCAACATTGACAATCCCTCCCCGCCTGCCACGGCGCGGAATATCGCGCAACAATACCTCCCGATTCGGCCCGGCCCGGGGCACTCATCGGGCCAGCTCGGGCTCGGCGGCGGGCGGTGCAGGCCACAGCTCGGCACGGCTAGTACCAACACCGGCCACCTCGCTCCGGTCTATATATTTTGTTTCATACACAATTTTAATTACTAGCTTTGGAATGAGCCCGCATACTACCCCGTATAAGGAAACCAAACGAGTATTAACCGAGAAATTTGAAAGGGAAAAGAAAAAATTTGAACTCTACACCCCCTCCCCAGTCTTAATGGGGAGGCCTCCTGCTTTACTTCGGTGTTCGGGATGGGAACCGGTGCTATCAGGTACCTGGGGTTAATCCCGTCAGCGACTCTAAGCGTTCGCCGGGGGACCCAGTAGGACCCCAAAGCTCAGGCAGCTGGGTGAGAGCACCCAGTACGAAGCTCTTTGAGGGGCGGGACGTAGAGTGAGACGACAGAGAGACAGAGAGAGACTCAGACAGAGAAGAGGTTTGGTGGGAGCTTTTTGTTTTCGTAGGGTTGGTTGTGTACCCCATGGTACCCCCACTGTCCGGCGCTCCCGTACCGAACATACAGCGTTTTAGGCCAGCTTCAAAGGACTTATCATCGCCTCCCCGACGAGTCAAGGAGGCACCACCCGCAACCACACACCGGATGGTCTGGATTGATGGATCAAATACTCCATCGCTCCAGTGCCGAGGCCAACCCGCCGAAGCGGATTGCTTTTTAGACACCCACAGCGGAGTGGCCAGGTGAATGTGACTCTGACCACTACGCTATCACGCTTGTACGTCTAGCAGCGTGTTGGACGACGGGTTTGAGTTGCACTGGGAGGAAGGCGGTCGAAAAATGTAATGAAATGATGGGATTCGATCCCCGGACCCCGCCATCGGGATCACACGACTTTACGCTCTCGGCCACCACGGCCCATGATGAGGGGATCGGCGTGAGGTGGGTTCTTGAAGCAACAGGACTCGACCGACCCGGTCAAAATTTCGCAAGAAGTTGGGGGAGTCGAACCGCCGACCCTAGCACTGAGAACCGACGCCTCTACTCCCTGGACCATCACGTCCCATGCTCGGAGTGGGCTCACGTTTACGGGTTTGAACCGCACTGGGTGATGCAGTAAAATTAAATGGAAATATTTGTTAGGAGTCGAACCTCCGGCATGTGGGCCTGTTGCACACGGCTCCGCTCTCATGGCCTCGAACCACCACCCTTAGGATAGCAAGTCGAAAAAACTCTTGTGACGCTGGTATTCGAACGCCGGCCTGCGGTAACTCGATCCCACGTCTCTAACCTCTCGGCTATCACAGCAGTTGTGAAACGTGATGGATCATCTGCTTTCATTAACGTTCGTTGAATGAGATTTTTGTTCGCCGTATACGGTTTTTGGTTTGCCGTATACGGTTTTTTGTTTGCCGTATACGGTTTTATGTCCTCTGGCGAAGTCACCGCCTTGCGGCCAGGCAGCCCGTTGCGGTGGCGCGCGTCGCGGGCCTGCCTATCCGCTGGATCACAGGGGCCTCCACGCGCGACGTCCTTCCGAGGACCCTCTAGGGCACTGTAGGACTCGACGCTTGCTCGCTGTTCCAGGCCCGGCCGGCAGCATGGGGCCCATGGCGGGCTCCCAGCCCCACGTCAAGGCCGTGCGGCTGCACCGCGACGGGCCGAACCAGCCGTGGGGCATCCGCCTGGTGGGCGGCGTGGACCTCAACGCGCCCCTCGTCATCACGCGGGTAAGCATCCGTCTCGCTCGCACTCGCGGGGTGGCCCGGGCTGGCCCAGGCCAGAGCGAGAGAGACGAAGACGCTGTGTGCGGAACCGCTCTGCAGCAGGATAGAGCCTCGGCCCTCGGTTTGAGCATGGTGTTGGTTGGAGTGAGTCATGCGGCCATTGCCACATACCATCGCCCGGTCTGTCTCTCTCGCACCCACGGGGCGGCCCGCGGCGGTGCGAGAGAGACAGATTCAGGCCGAATCAGTCTGCAGCGCCGCGCAGAGGAGCAACCCTCTATTTTTACCGGGAAGGAAATGTCACGACCACTCCCACAGTGGCGTGCACGCTAGCCACGCTGGCCGTCGGAACCTTGGCCGAGTGCGGCAAGTTCACGTTTGGCGGCTTTGGCAACAACAGTCCCTGCGAGTCAAATGGGGCGAGTGCGTCCAGTAACGCGGCGTTTGATTGGTCGCAGTGCATGGTGGGCAGCCCCGCCGAGGGCGTGCTGCACCGCGGTGACGTCATCCGGAAGGTGAACGAGTACGACTCCAGGGACCTGCGGCACAAGGACGCGCAGCAGCTGTTCAGGAGCGCGGGCAACACCATCGACCTCGTCGTGCTGAGGTGAGCAATGAGTGGACGGCTGGCGGCAGTAAAATAAATGTAGAGTGGATTCCGATAGAGTTGTTCTCGTCGCTCTGTCTCTTTCGCGCTCGTGGGGTGTTGCTTAGGAGTGCGAGAGAGGCACAGCGACGAGAAACGACTCGGAATCAGTCTGCAGGGCGGCTGGCTTTTTGACGTCTGCTTGGGCGGAGGCGGAAACGAAACAGGCAGCTGCCGTACTGACCGTGCTGACCGAACTGATGGCGATACTCCCTGCCCACAGGGATCCGCTGGCGGTGCCCCCACCCAGCACCGCGGCCAGCTCCCGCGCCAGCAGCGTCGCTCCGACCACGCCGACGCCCTCCTTCGCCGCGCTCAACGCCCACTCCCCCGTCAAGGGGGGTGTCGCTACCCCCTTCGCCGCCGCCATGTCCCTCCGGAGTCCGCACCCCGACGACTACCCCGCCACGCACGTGTTCGACGGCGTGCACCACCGCACCGACGAGGACATCCTGCCCATCCACAACCAGGTGAGCAGTGCGGTGCCGTCGGCGCGCCGTCGCTACCCCGCGCCCGAGGGAACACTCGACCTTCGAACGCAGCGATACTCCGAGCGCCAGCGCCGCGGGTACCCGAATATACTCCGCGCGTCTGTTGGGGTTGTTGCGCCGCCGGGTGGCAGATGGCGCCGTGAGTCGTGAGGCACTCGGGGGCGTCGTCGGGGACCTTGGAGGCGCGCCGCGCGCGGCCACGCCGAGAGCGGCCTCCCAGGAAGCTGAGGCACATTTCCTGCTAATTAAATTTGCTTCGATGTGTGGAAATTGGCCTCCTGCAAAATCCATAAATTTGCGCTGATCAGTTAAATTCGGAATGCCAGAAAAAAAAATAATTCCGATACCGGGAATCGAACCCGAGCCTCCTGGGTGAAAGCCAGAAATCCTAACCACTAGACCATATCGGATGTCTGCATCGCTGCCAGCGGCAACATGGTCAGATAGCATAGCTCTGTGACGTCAACGATGCCAACGAAGAGAGTGGTCCCTCTGTGTCCTTTGTCCGAAGGTGCCGACGAGACTCACACCTGCCCCCCCCCCCTCTTCCCTTTCTTTTCTCTACCTGGCGCTCGCCCTCGAGACCTGCATCCACAATTGTTTTCGACACAGTTTGGTTCACCTATATTCATGCAAAACGATGAAAGTTCGCCGAAACTAGGTTGAAAAATTAACCGAAGTGCCGATAAAGATTATGGAATGCGTCAGTGTAATCTATGTCATGGGTCATAATGCTGACCCTAGCAGCGCTTAGTCAAGGCCAGTGCGATTGAACATAAATGCCACAACTTTACTTATTTCCTTTAAAATGAATTCTTTTTGGAAATTCGACTCATATTTCAAGTAAGAAAGTGTGGAGCGTTGCACGAAATAATTAGACGTGGTGACGGTTTGGGTTGAACTATGGTGTGCCCGGGCCATGGGCTTGCTGGCAATGTTCCCGAATCGTCTCCGCCACGTGGACACGTGCAAAAGTGTGGAGATGCCGGGGATCGAACCCGGGGCCTTTCACATGCAAAGCGAACGCTCTACCACTGAGCTACATCCCCGTGGTTATCACTACCGGAAGCATGCCCATCGTGCTATCTCAGCAAGGTCGCCCGTCGCCCGCAGCGCTCCTCGCGGCAAAGCGCCAAAGCTATCGGGGTTTCGAACTTGCGCGCGCTTTCCTGAGAGTCGAACGAAGCGGTGAGAGGCACCAATCCGTTCAAAGTTAATGTAGCAAAGAAAAATTAAAAGCCCTATTTTTCTTTGCTCGCTCTTCGTAATGGACGAATGACAGGTGCGAAGGGCGCGAGAACATCGCCAAGACCAATCTGTTTCTCTCTCAGCTGGGGGCGCGTCCAAAAACCAGGTGACCTGCGTCGCGCGACCCATGACCCACTCTCCCAGGACTCGCTGAACACTGACGTGACCTTTCACCCCCGAGAGGCTCTTCAGGTCACGGTATTTACGGACGGACCCTGGCATGGCACCTACGAATTATTTCTGGCTTGGCACATATTTTGTTTCTCGGCCCCGGCTGGCTAGTGTGTGTGTAGTTGCGGCCTACATGAAGCGCCATATGGACGCGAGCCGGCGCGAGCCCCGCGAACACATGGTGGCCCCTCTGGCGAGGCTAGGCCCGGCCGCCATGGAGAACGCGCGAATTTTTCCCGCCAAATAACACAGGTTAGGTTAGTTTCGGCGCGCTCCGCCGCGCGGCGCACTGTTGGTAGTTCTCCAGGGCCTAACTGGCGTGGCGCTTTGCCGGCCACGGCCAGCCACGGCCCTACAGCGTGCCGGTGGCCTGGCGGTGCTTGCTTGGGCCGCCGGCCAAGTGGTTTCGCGAAATTACGGCATTCCCGCGACGAGGCGGCCGCGGCGGCCACACGGCCCGGCAGGCCGTTACACCGAAGTCACGCATCTCTCGCTCGTGAAAGACGTGGAATCCGGGTGACTAGGAACGCGGGGGGCCTTGCTTCGTGCGTTCGTAATCGCAGCATTGGCCCGGGAGAAAGCAAAAGATGTAAGAATCCAAAAAGCTCCTTCTGTCGGCTTTTCTTTCAAAGCCCGGTTCTCCTGATTGTATTACGGCGAGGAGGTCAGGGGACTCCGTAGACTCCGTCCCCGCAGCAGGGGTCCACGTCGTTGACGGGTTTGACGCGGGGATGCCCGCCGTCGCCGCGCTGTCCGCCCCCATGCTGGCCCTCTTGTTGGCCCCCGTGCTGGCGGGGGTGTGCTGCTGGGGTGCAAAGTCGTGGCGGTGGTGGGGTTGCGCGAGGTGCCGCCAGAGGGGCGCCGGTATTTTTAGTTTTGTGTCGGAACCGTGCGACGGTTAGTCCGTTAGTCCCTCGAGCCGTGCAGAACGAAGCGGAGAACTAGTCATGGCGGTGGCGCATCGGCCCCCTACCTTCGACAAGCTCATGGAATCGTCCGCCGCATGGGTGGGTTGTGTTGTGTGTCGTGCGCGTGTTCCGCGGCGTCGTGTGCTGGAGTCTGGGATCGTGTGCTGGAGCCCCGGAACGGATTCCCGCGCCAAGCCGGGAGTCGCCAGGAAGTATCAGGGCCCGAGTGGGAGCTTCAAGTGTGCATCTCATGAAAGACTTGATCAAAGATGAGCGAAACGTTGAAAGAGTTCGTAAATCAATCATGTGTGGAACGCTTGAACCTCTCACCGCTCAAGCTGGTGCACTTCTTGGCGGAGTGCGGGGCCTGGTGCGTGCTGGCCCCAGCAGCGCGCCTCAGCGACTGTGGACGACGCCGTCGCCAAAACAACGCCGCGCCCCGAGAGGGCCGAGAGGGGCAGCATTGTGCTCGATGGGGGTCACCTTAATCCCCCCGCGACAGAAAAAAGAAAGCAATGAAAACGGCGAGGGAGACGGCGACGATCTCGGCGACGATGCGTGCGCGGGGCGCGGGGAGGCGTGGGGACCGCGAGGGGCGGCCCTGGGCAACCCGCCGAGACACTCACTCACAGCCTTGTACAACAGGGCTGCTTGTTCGGTTCGGCCTCGGGTCATTTTCTAGGTTATGTTAGGTTAGGATTTCCGCTGCTGTTTTAACGGAATTTTGTTGTGGGGCACTGTGCTTGCTTGACTGAGTGTTGCCACTGCAGTGTGCGTGTCTCTTCGCTTGCAACGTGTCCATTCCCGGAGTCCGTCCAGAGTTAGGTTAGGTCGTCCTTGACACCGTGTTTGTAGAGCGGGCCGGCGCCGCGAGAGGCTCGTTGAGAGGTCGGTCAGGGTTAGCCACAAAATACAAGCTGCAAGTGACTCGTTCCAAAAAGCGTGCAGTGGCAGGCCGCCAGCTTGCTGCGCCCTTTGTTTGTTGCACCTGCGGTGCCTCATTCACAGCTGTGCTTCGTAGGAGGAGCCGGGAGCGAGAATTTGGTAACCTAGCTCGTGTTATTACTAGGAATCCGCGGGAAATAGCGTTCGCTTTCAGAGCCCTGCGTGAGGCTAGTTCTTTCTCGGTGGGTGTGCGTGCGGTTTGTGACTACAAACATCCGCGGACACTGAAACGGGGCGACCTGCCGCGGCTAAGCCGAAGCAAGCTGAAGGAGGTCAGCAGACGCTCGTCTGGCGGCGCGGTGCCGCGCGGCGCTGCGCGGCGTGGCTGACGGCCAGGACGGCCGCCTGCGCGAATCCGTCAAAGTGTGCATGAGCGGACGGCGGAGGGGGCGGGGGCGCCCGTCATGTGCGCAACACGTTCAAAACAAAACCCTCCAAGAGTACCCCCGGTGTACATCGTCCATAATAAACATTCTGGCCCGTTTGCGCCGGCAGTGAGCCACGGTGCGCTGTCTGCAACATTGAACGCGCAGAAAACAAAAAGAAAAACAGCATCAGCACGCGAGTCCTGCGCTGGGGGTGCTGCCCTGGCCTGTCGGCCTGTCGGCCAGCGGATGTGGTCGCCATTCCGCTTTTGCTTCTTTTTCGCTGTCCAATGACGGCCCGAGCGAAGGAAATATGATAGACATGTCGGTGGCCCCGGGGTCAGCAACCTCCTCGGGGAGTACGGTCCGAGCCCGTTGTTGCGTTGCTCGTCTTCTCCCACAGCCCTTGGTGGCCGAGGCCGCAGAAGCGAGTTCAATCACCGGCAAGCTGTTTCCCACGTCCACAAGCTGGAGATGAAATTCTGGTGTGTAAAATTTAGAGTATATTGACGTCTGCTCGGACTTGGGTCCTTGGATGCGCTTCCAGTGTGGTGGCGAGCCAGCCCCGCGCGGCGCGCCGTCCCTGTCGCGTGGTAAACAGCTCGCTCGGTTAAACAACAACAGATGTCACTGCGTGGCGGCGTGGCGGCGCCATGAGAATGGCCCTCGACAGAATTCGCACTTTTGCTCGGGCTATTTCTGCGGACGCCCCCTGGTCGGGGCGCGGGGTGCGGCGGGGCGGGGCGGGGCGCGCGGTGGTGGGGTTGCGCGTCCGGTGGTCGGATGGCCAGGGCATGGCCAGGGCCAGTCCACGACGAGCACTCGAACACGTCCTGCGGACACCGCCAGACACCGCCAGTACCTCCGGGACCACTTTCGCCGCCAGTCGCCCCGCAGGAGACCAAGGAGGCCCAGCCGGCCCTCTGCGCTCTCTCCAGGAGCGTCCTCGCGTCTAGTGCAACCTGTGCGGCAGCCAGTGTCGACACCAGCGCAGCCATGAGGGAGGAGGCCGTCTGCAACATGGTACGCCGTGGCCGTGCCGCCGTGCATTGCAGGTGGAAAGCGAGAGTGGTGTGGTGGGGGAGGGAGGGGCACAGCCCGGTGGCCGCTCGTCACCCCGATGACAGGTGTGGTGCATGTGGAGCGCGGGGCGCGGAGCGACGCCAAGGTGCCAGCTGCTCGCCGGGCTCGCTTGGCTCTTGGCTGGCAGGTCCGCACCGCGACCAGAGACTTGGATTTATCTCCGCATCGGCTGCATCTTTCCGTTCCACGCGAGCCTCCACGGTGGAAGGTGGCGGTATGTTCACGTCCGGCTCTGGCGGTCTCAAGTTTCGCGTGTTGTTGAGCCATGTTTTGTTTCATTCATCTAAGTTTAGACGTGGGGAATTATTCTGCCGGTGGTGTGCGCGGGGGCAGCGGGAGCTGCCAAGCACCGGGGCCCTTGTAGGCCTCGTGTGTGCCAAGTCTTACCGAACGTTACAGGCACAGGCACGGGCCGGCGGGTGGAGAGGAATTTCCGTAGAAAAGGGGCGATACAGTCCCTGTGACGGCCTGACACTCTTTGTGCGGCTGTCACCATCCCTCGCTGCCCCTCCCCTCCCTCCCTCTCTCTCTCTCTCTCTCTCTGGCTGCCCGGGCGATGACGACGAGTCTCGGGGGGCAGCGCTAGAACGCCAAGCTCGAGAAGACGCTCTTGCGCAATGGCGGCAGCGTTTTGCCAAACTCGATTATGGTGGCCGTGTGCTAATGTGTTTCATCTTGAGGCTGGCTTGAGGCGGGGCAGGCCAGGGCAGGCCAGGCCTGCTCGGTGTCTCGACACGAGAGTCTCGACCCTTCACTTTACGGCTGGCTGGTGGCGCTCTGGGCGGCCGAGGGGGGTGTCATGTCGAGGGTGATGGGCTATCAACCGGGGAACACTAAACCTCTTTTTTGTAACGCTCTGTAATTCTCACTGTTCTAAAGTTTCGAACACCTCCCCCCCCCCCGACTCTTTACTCGCTCGGGTGACTCCAACGCGGCGCGGCTAGGCGATTGGCACTGCTGGCAAGCCGCCCCGCCTCCTCTTTATTGAGTTGAAACGTTGAAAACGCGCAGAGTGAGGAATCCCTCGCGGAACTGAGTATGTAGCCGGGCCGGTGGAGGCTGTATTGGCAGGGACATCAACACGCCCCGCCCGCCCCGCCCCGCCCCGCCCCGCCCCGCGAGCCCCGCCCCAGGCCACCGCGCCCTTGCGTCACAGCAAGGCTGCCCTGGGCTGCCCGGCTAAACTTAGCCCCGGTGTAAATACTTGGGTCGGGTCGGGTCGGAGGGTCGCCGGCGGCGCGTGAGGCTGCGGGGGCGGGGCGGGGCGGGGCGGGGCGGGGCGCCGTGCAGCGTGGAGTGCATGAATGCCTGAGGCGTGCGGCGTTCGAGTCCCGGGGCGCGGTGGCGCGGCGGCGCGTGGCGGAGGCCAAGGTGAGCCCCTTCAGGGGCGCGGTCCGTGGCGGGGCCGTGGCGGGGCCGCGCAGTGGGCGGAGGCATGGGCCGCCCCCTTGTTCGACAGGCCGTTTCCAAATGCGCCTTCCCCGCCGGCCGCAGCGCCGCGGTGTGATTTGGCGCGCTGTGAGTGCGAGATGAAAAATCGCGCGGTGCGAGTGGCTGGCGGCGTTCGGCTCAAAGCGGACCGCGGGCTGTGCGTAAATCAATCGGCGTGGGCTCGTTCCGAACAGTCGCCCTGTCCGGCTCGCAACCTCGACGAACCGCCCCGCGAGTGCGAGAGAGACAGCAGTTCGGAAGCAGCCCGCAGTGCGCGCCGGTGTTTGGTTCGCAGTAAACCCGCGGCGTTGCCAACGCGCCGCCCCTGGATTAGTAATGCATTCAGCGGCCGCCCCGCCTTGCCCCGCCGCGCTCCACATTCTGGGGTCCATCGCGGACGCGGCGCGATGTGGGTGAGGGCCGCCGCCAGCCACGCACCGCCACGCCGCCAAGGACGCCCTGCCGGCGGTGGTGTTCGACCACGCCACGGCCCAAGGCCAACGCCCAGACCGGCAGCTCATTAGTTAAGGCAGTAGGCCGATCCTCGCACCCCCGCGCGGCGCCCCATGAGTGCGAGAGAGACAGAGCAGCCTGCAGGCCGGTGCAGCGGGCTGTTCCGCGGTGGCGGCGCCAAGGGAGTGATGCCAGTCAACACGTATGTCGCGGCGCCGCGGTGCATAGAGGACGCCTTCTCGCCACGCCCCAAGACTAATGGTGTGCCCGCCTCCCACGCGGCTCGTTTCAAAACACGGCACCCCGTCAGCCTGACGCCCTGACGTTCAAAGTGCGCGAGGAATTCGGAACAACTGAACTGCTTTCTTTTTGACAGCCCTACCGCACGACGCCCCTGGTGCTGCCCGGGGCCAAGGTCAAGAAGGAGGACAACGTGACGGAGTGCTACTTGCGGCACCACCCCAACCCCATGATGCGCGCACCCCCCGGCCACGGCGGCGACTGGCTGCCCGCCGACGTCGTCATGAAGCAGAAGGTAAAGACGTGTACATTGTTATATTAGTTGTGTTTTTTCAATTCATCCAAAAGCGCTGCAATTTTATTCGCTGTAAATAAGTAGAAGGAAGCGCATTTCGTGTTTTGGCCTCTTTTTTTTACATTTTTTATGAATAATTTGCCATGGTAGACTCGCTCCTGTAAATATTTTTCTCACTGTAGTGGGATATGTAGTCTGTAGTGGACAGTGTAGAAACTAGCTGATGATTGGTTCTGTGTTGTGTGAAGGGGAAACCACTATGGTCCGTGACAAATCTAGAAGGTTATGGGGAAACAGGAAAGTTTAAAAACTAATTATTGAGGCCGAGGCCAGTGGTTCCCCCTTGCGTGTTGGTGTGGGGTGTCTTGACTAGTCCTGACCTGACCCGGCCGTGCACAGGTGGCGGACACTGTCTTGCAGCGTGTGGTGCCCTCCGACCCCCACAGACACGTAAGTACACTGTGAGGGTCTCGCTGCCTCGCCGTCTCTCCGTCTCGCTTTCACTGCAGGAAGAACGCTGGAGTGGCCCTTTTCTCTCTCCCTCTTTTCTTTCCAGCTTTTTCACATCACATTTATTTTTCGAGACAACTTTCGAGCACTGCCCTGACCGCTTTCACCCCTTTTTCCTTTCAGTGAGCCCTTCAAGTCCATAACACCGAGCGACGCTTCTTGGCTTAGTTTTTATTAACCATGTGATTCGTCATTTTGTGAATTGTTTCTTTTTGTAAACCGCACCACTGGCAAACTGATTGGGTACAGCGGTCTAGAAATTTCTTTTTCTTTCCTAAGAAACCTCAAGCTAACTTTCTTGCTTCAAAGACCAAGGGAATCTTTCAAATATTTTACACGTGAAACGTGCCTGTGTGGCTCTAGAAGTTTTTTTTCTTTTGTAAAATGTGACAGTATCTAACAGTGCTTTTCTCCTGCAGGTCGTGAACCGGCCCTTCAACACCCCCATCGGCCTGTACTCCGAACAAAACATCGTCGACACCATCCACAAGACGCTGGGCACTCCGTAAGTATACTTGCTGGGGAAAGGAGGCTAGAAACGTTATTCTTCTAGTTTTTCTTGATTAACAGAGTTTCTTAGTTTTTGGAACACTAACGGCGTGTGGCGCCTTCAGTGGCCGTCCTTCTAGATGGCGGCGTTGTTTCTCTCGTTTGGAAAACAAAAGAATTGATTCTTTTCAATCGAAAATTAAACAAATCAAAAGCAGGCGGCGAGGCTTTTTTTTGAGCAAATAGACTGAATCAGAATCCTTTCTTTCTCTCTTGCATCACTATCTAACCGGACAATCTCCTGTAATCGCTACCACGAGTGTGTCTCCCTGCACAAATCGATGATCTCAGCGACGACGTCAAAGTCGTCCTCTCTCTCCCAAATGCCCGCTCCGCCGCGGGCCCGTCTTGTATCATACACCTTGACACCGTTTTCGCTTTCTCCCTTTGTGACCTGTTCTAATGGCGTTGTTGGGTTTTCGTTTGGTTTGGCTAGGAACAATGCGAGTCTAGGAAGCTCCAGCATTCGACAGGCGCCTAAAGTCGGGCAAGTACTCTAAAGATGGGACCACTGCATGGCCCGCACCCCGCCCCGCCCCGCCTCGCCCCGCCCCGGCTGCCCGGGACGCTACGATTCCGTTTAGCTATCCTTTGTCACTGGCGTCGAGGTTTCCAGTGGTGTGGGTGAGCCAGTGCCGATCAAAAAGCGGCCAGTTTTTAAATATTTTTTGTCTCGGTCAGTACCGTTTTTGAAACGTTGGAGAACAGTTAAAGTTGCCTCTGTCTTTTCCAGTGTAATGAGTTTTCGGGCTGGCTCTACCACACTGCCCACCAATGCGACGATGATGCTGGTGCGGCATTGCCCGGGGATCGTGGTTTTCAGTTGTGAAAACCGACAAAGAGTAGAGGAGTGCTGTTTCTTGGAGTTGGCGGAGAGCGCCTGGAGGGTAGGCACGCCGCGCGCTGCCGTGCCGTGCGGGCTGGCCCAGCCCGTCTCGTCGGGCGCTCCGCTCCGCTATGCTCCGTTTGCCACTCCGCACTCCGTTGGGCCTTGGGGGCGGGGCGCGGCCCGCGTGGCTTCTAGCACACTGCCTTGCTGCTTACGGCTGCTTCTGCCTCGTGCCTCTTAGTCTGCGAATGGCCGAGACTTTGTTTTTATTTGTATTTGAAGGGAATTCCGCTTTTGGAAGGGAGAATCAACTGGCATCAGGGGTGTGTTCAAAGCTGAAAAAGATATTCTTCTTCGGCTCTTGTAAATCAATCGCTGATCAGCAAGACACTGTAAACGTTGAGACCTCAATGAACCCTTGAACGATGAGGGGTCTCTCCTTTCGGTTCACAGATTTTCAGTTGATTCTCCCTTGAGCTGTGCTCCCCGACAATAATTTGGTGTCTCGTGTTGTTCGTGAAACGTTCAGCTCTAATCTTGGTTCCTGTTTTTCTTTCTCTCCCTCCCTCCACTCGAAACAACACCGTTCCCGATCGGACGCCTTTCTCTCTCGTTCGCGCTCCGATGGAAGTGTCGTCTACCCGCCACCCATCATGAAATTCTAATCGGATTGCTCACTCGTCCCTCGGCCACGATTTCTGTTTGTCTCTCTGGCGTGCATTTCCCCCCGCCCCCGCTTCCCCCTAACAAACGCGACGCTTACTTCGTGACTCTACGTCAATTGCCTTGTTTACGAACGGAATGTTTTCGCTACTTATTAATGTTAATTTATCTGTACTTCCCCCTATCGTCCCTTAAACCCTTTTGAATCGTGTATCTTTAATTTTTTTTCGCGTGGATTTTACTTTGATGTACTGGATGTACTTTACCGCCATCCGATTTGGTCTGGTCTTTTGGCGCTCTACAACGGCTCCGCGCGCGTGCACTCTCACACTCACACACTTACACTCACACATACAGCCTGAAGCCCACCGTCGTCTACGACCCTGCCAAGTCCGAGACCTACAAGTTCCTCCAGGAGCAGGAGCTGGGCGACCACGTGCAGGAAGTGACCGTGCCCCCACAGCCCAAGGTCTTCGCCCCCAGCAAGGTGCCCGTGGCCATGAGGGTGAGTAGAGCACCTGTCCCGTGTTACGCTGGACCTGCCGTCGGGTTGGGACACGATGTACATGGCGTACCTAACAATAAGGCCTAGTGCATGAAGGAGGATAGTGATAGTACACGGCTGACTATTAGGCCCAACTTCAGGCGTGTCCTCCAGAGTGCGTCCTTAAGACAGAATGTTGTTTTCGTGTCGCAAAAAATTCCCTTTATGTCTAGAAAAAAAAAAGAAAACCACCCCCAGTTTGATATCTGGCGGTCTATAGAGCCCGCTATACGGGGTTGTGTTTGTGTCTTAGATCAGTAGACGTGTTAACATCGTTATGTAGGCGTAGAGAATGCTTGCTGAAATGTTTCCTGGTTTGTTGCATTTGCAGAAAATCCCTGCACCGACTCAGAGGGTTCACCAGGTAAGCTGCCTGCTTTTGTAAAAACGCTGAGAATTGGACGTTCCAGCAAGGTCACGCGTCTGTTTAAAAAAAAAAAAGCACCTCTAACTGATTGATTGTTTTCCCTCTCCCCTCTTATAGAAAACCATTAGCACAGCACCTAATCCGTATTACCAAGTAAGTTTTTGTTTTAAAAAGTTTCTGCTTGTTTGAGGAATTTAAGACTACTGAAACTAGGTTCGGAAGAAGCAGTTTGTTGGCGGGAGATGTAAAATGAAGGCGTGTGTGACAGCAATCATGGTAACACACATCCTCGCATGGTTGCAGGTAAATACCATGGGGGTGCCAGCCGAGCGTATCCAGCAGAGCGGCTCCTTCAACAGACTCATGCACATGGTCATGAACGACATGTAGTGTGTGCCGCCCACCACCAGCCCTCCGCGCTCCGAGCCCCCCACCCCGACCCTCGACGGCTCACCCACCGACCATCGCACAGAAGCCCCTCCGGACCTCCGGACTGCCCCCCGGAAACTGACTCTGATACCACCTAACGTTGTAGCAAACTCGTAGTAGCTGCTGTGATTGTCCTGCTTGTTTGAAAGGGTGCCAAGGCTCAAGGTTAATTTTTTATTTTCTTATTGGAGCAGTATCTGACCCCGGTTGAGACTTGCCGTCATAGGATGGATTGCCTAGCACGATGCCAAGTTGAAAGAAAGGCCTGGACTGTGGCCTGTCAGTGTGTGAGCCGTGGAATGATTGCACTCCATGGGCTGTTCGTTCTTGTGATCGACTGAGAGCGCCAAAGACGTTAAAGTATTCTGTGAAGTACATGCATTTTACTGCCGATAAGTCAGGGTTAAATGTTGTGCAACCACCAAAGAAGAGGAGAAAATCTTTGGCTTTATAATATTTGATTCGCATCCCAGACTGTACATAGTTCTAGAAGTCTTCCAAATCGCTTTATGAAAGTAATTTGAATGACATCAAAGCATGCTTATTCTCATGTATTCACTTATAATAATTATTGCATCTAAGTTAGTTCAGTTTATTCAATGACGCTTACTTAAAACTAATTGTGAAGTCACACAACTTCATCACACCTGAGAAGCGGTTTGAATCTGTGCAGATCCTAGCAAATAAACCTGATGTTTGTAGTATACTCAACAAACTTTCATGCAATGCAGGCAGGCCTCAATTGACAAAGTATATATTTTCTGTTATTTATTTTGTATGTGTTGAGATCCCAATTTATTTCTAGTTTACTAAGTAAGATAAATTAAATGAGTGTACATTCTAGTCAAAAGTGTATGCGACTGTTGTCACCTCTGCTTGGGAAGTTATCTATTTATCTCCCAAAGCAGAAGATTCATCGCAGTCTTGGGTCCTTGTTCAGAAGCAAGCATGCTAATCAATTTCTTCGTTCAAGCAAATGGAGATTTACAGCATGCCTGTTTGTGAACTGAAAGTGTTTCAATAATTTGTTACAAAAGTGGCTTACAAAATAAATATAATGTGGTCTTCTTCTCTGGTCTCACTCTACCCTTCACAACCATAGTGGGTCAGCATGCCATTGTTTGCCATCATTTGTGAATTTGGAGGGGAGAATAAAGCACAGTGTAGCTGTGGAAAAGAGTATATTCACTTGCAAAATGATTACAAGATTACGTCTCCTCGCACCCAGATGAATAATGTGGTACAATGGGCTTTAACAATACAATGTCAATTTGATTCATACAGTGTGACAGCTGTTTGATCAAGTATGGCATCTATTTTTGAAATTTATAACTACTCTTACTCCATCTCTGAAGTCTTCATGACTAGCATATTAGTAAATTGCTATGTACACAACAACAATAACAAAAAAAAGCAGACACATTATCTTAACATATGAATTGAAATTTGTATAATTAGTTAAAACTTAGTCATTGGTAAGCAAGAATAGAGGAATCTTGAAATTAGTTGGTTCATTAGTAAAAGAGCTTTAAGACTGTTTACTTAAAAAAAGGACAAGTTAAAGAGAAAAGTTGATAAGTAATATGAGGTCCAACAATATTTCTCCTTTTTTGAAGAAATAGGAAAAGATGGTTTGACTGGTCAGAATCACTGTTGAGAACTTGCAGAAGTTTTTTTTTTTTGTACTGAATGAAACCACTTAGAGTATCAAATAGTAAAATTTGGTCTCACTCAACACAAGAGGCATAAATAAGATAATCAGTGCACGTGCCTTCGAACATTTCTTAAGTCAAATTCAAAAGCATTCAAGTCTAAATCATAGGAAAAATAAATTTATTAAAAATACACCATATAGAGTATGATTATGTTCCCATTGACAATCTCTAATGAAACATTGCACGGACAAACAGGATGAATGGTTTACATCACATGCACTCTATTTCTAGAACACTCCCAGTAAATATGACCAACAACAAATATTTACAAAATACTTGACATAGCACTCTGGGAGGAGCAACTAGAAGTGTGATTACATGCCAATTCTTGTGAATGACTATTCAGTTAAAATGAGCCGGATGAAATCTGCAGTAATGGTTCATTTGAGCACACATAACAAAAGTATTTATATAATACAAAAATTTTAAACACTTAACATATGAATACATTTATATATACAGTTAATCACAGTCTAGTTGAACAAAAGTAAACCATAGAATTTACACATAACATTTACACAGTAAAGTCACATACAATAATTTAGTTTAATGAATATTTATACATAAGATAGAGATGTTGCACTATTTTCACCAAATTTATCCCTATTTCTGCCGCAACACAGTTTAAACTTTCAGAAAGATTTGACACAGACATACTAACAAATCATACATAGACCTTAGAATTTTAAATGGCACACACAAGTGACAGTAGGTAGAATTTCTTTCTACTCCCATGGAACCTAGTTAAGGAAATTTAAGAAAAAGCAGTAAACAGATTTTGGTTTCGATTTAGAATGAGGGGGAAAATGTCACAGCTCTTAATACTGCTTACAATTAAATCTCATCATTGCAGAAATAGAAAATTAAGTGGAGGTACATTACTGAAGATGCAATGAAATGCTTACTAATGCTTGAAAGGCAAAAATTATTTATACATTTACCACAGGAGTAATACAATTTGTTTTTGAGGGTTGTTGAAAATTTTAAGTGATCACAATATTTATGTTTAGAAGTACCCAATATAACAACAGATTTAGTGCATTGGCGAGGCAGTTCTTGGCCATGCAATTTTTGCATCAATTCGCTTATAGGCAAACATGCAGTGTTTTCCTGCTTGAGAAACTCCCCCTTTGACATCCTGAGGACACTCTGCATCTGTGAGCAAGGTTTCTGCAAAACAATAAAAAAACAACAGTAAAATTAAGATATTATCTTTTCTAAAAGGGAATGAAAAATGTTTGATCAAAATCCTACTGACCTTCTCCATCAACAAGCTTGAACAAGCCGTAGTCCTGTGGGTTGGTAATGCGGGCTTTGTGTGCAATAATCTTGCATACTTCTCTAGTTGTCATGTTTGGTCTCACTGGTAATGTTTTAGTTATAATAGATCCGTGAAGTTCATCAGGAACCACAATCTTGAGAACTGAACGGAACTCTGTAAGAGGTCCACTGCCCCACTGCAAATAATAAAAATGACAAATTAGTTAACTGATTAAGCATAAATGATGCAACAGCAGCTAAACAAAATAAGTACACAAACTTACATCGAGGCTTTGACCAATGCCCACAGAACGGCTCTGTTCTTCTGAGCATGCTCTAAAATTTTTCAGAACATGGACAGCCGACGATAGAGTGGTCAAGTAGTATCCACCCTCTCCGGAGAGAAGGGATGGGTGCAGAAGCCCCCACATGTATTCCGCTTCTATTTCCGCACCCATCATTCCACTCTGCACCAAAACCCACACAAACAGAGGCAGGAAGTCATCGGCGCCAAGAGTGACGCAGCCTCGACCTGCATTCGAGGACTTCACCTGGGGAGGGAAACAGTTCAGATTATTTCTCCAATAACAATATCTTTTACTTTAGGTAAATACGAAATGGGTCAAGTACCGAATTGAAAATGGCTGAGATGCAGGTAAGAAGATTTTCCAGCTTCTCCAATGGAGAATCAACTTCTTGAAGTCGTCGAAGGAAGTGACAGATGGTCTCCAAGCTCTTCTCTGTAGGTGGGATTATCTTGGACTGCAACAAAAGGACAACGTTTTTTAAAAAAAATGTTGCTGGATAAAGAATAAAATACATTCGAGATTGAACCGCTAGATGAATTCATACCCGAATTCCAAGTTCGTGTAGAGGTTTGGTGCGAGCGTACTGGATATTCTCGGCCAAGAGTTGGATGGCCCCTGAACGCGTGTACTCCTCCACGAAGAGCTTGTAGAGGTGCTCCTTGAGGGGGCGCACCACCAGCTTGTGCATCACTCCCTCCAGGATGGCGTCCAGGTTCAGGAACTCGTTCGCCTTGAGCTGCAGCAGAAGAAGAGCATGAGCTGGGAGGCCGGGCCAAACCGCGAGGGGACGTCTCCGCCGACGCGGCGAGCGAGACCCACCTTGCCCCTCTCCTTCTCCACCTGGCCGTCGAACTCGCGCTCGCCGTGCTTGACGAGGTAGTTCTTCATGCCGGACATGAACTGGCGCATGTTGCGCATCACGACCTGCGGCCGCGTCTCGCGCGACTCCTTGGTGCACGCGATGAAGTTGTCCACGTTCTGCGCGAAGGTGGTGCTCTTGTCGGCGGCCAGGTGCAGCGCGTAGGCGCGGATCGAGGCTCCGGGGCCGGCCGAGTCGCGGGACCGCAGGGCGTGCAGCCGCGGGGGCGCTGCAACAACAACAACAACACTTGGTAAACGTTTCTTTCGAATCCATTTTTCGGGGACACTTTTCTCAGGACAGTGACGCACGAGGCGGCCGGATAGGCAATCCGCAACGCTGACTCCCGACCCAGACTCCGCCAGCCCAAGCGGATTGACACGGGAAAAGTCCATGCGATGCCAGCCGTCGAAAAATAAGAACAATAACTCGGGGAAACCAAACCGGCGGCGTGCCGTAGGCCCGGGCGGCCGAGGCTTGGAAGGGAAAAACACTGCACGTAATCTCTAGAGGGTTTGGCTGAGGAGCGCGGTGCGGCGCGGTGCTTGCTTATCCCCGTGTTTGCCGAATCGGCGAGCCTGGACGGGGAGGCCTGGGCCTAGGCCGGCAGGGGAGGGCCGGCCGACCGGGCGGGAGGGCGGGCTATCACCTGGGCACAATGCCGGGCCGGCGGACAAACATTTGGACAAAACATCACAGTGCAGGGGCAGCGGTGTCCCGACCGTCCCGGTGGTGCGCTCCGAACGGGTACGCCTGGCCCGGCCGAAAGGACGACGACAACGAAGCAGGACACCGGCATCTAGTACAGGGCACGGCGAAGATAGAGAGAGGGGGATCTTACACTGACGTTGATGGAGGTAGCAAAACCAAGTCTCGTTGGGTTCAAACGCAACCAAGATTACGTGGAGGGGAACCCCGCCTGTCCTGGGTGACCTGGGTGACCTGGGTCCTGCCAACTGCCTCCCTGTCCGACAAGGCCCCGCGTTCAGCCCTTACACTTAAGGTGCTTGCTGAGCTTGCGCAGCGCGCCACGGATCCAGCGGCCCAGGCGACGCAGCAGGTGCGCGAGGGACTCCAGGCCGCTGCTGCGGCTGCCGCCCTTGGAGGACCTGCTGGCGCAGAACGAGGCCATGACGCAGGAGTCGCCCAGGCCCGCCTTGGCGTTGAAGATGGTGTTGTTGTTGTCGGCCACCATCGTGACCGAGATCGTGGCACAGGGGCGCGAGGGCCGTCCGGGTCGCGACTTTTCACTGCACTGACACACACACACGCGCACACTCGCGGTGCCGGCGGCGGTAGGGCCGAGCCGCAGCTAAGGCGCGAGGCCAAGGGGGCTGGGCACACTGGGCACCGCGACGGCCTGGCTGGCCTCGGCTTGGCTGAACACGCTGACGCGGTAGGCCATGGACACGCGGGCCAGCCAAGGTGCACGACATGCACGGGGAGAGTCCATCCTTCTTGGGGCACTGCGGGGAACGAACTGTGTCGCGTCGGGTTCGGCTTGGCCGGGCTGGGGCTCGCTGGGCTGGGGCTCGCACGGCGGCGGGAGCTCGACTTCGGGAGTGCCGCTGCCGCTCGGGTCGGCGCGCCGCCCGCGGTCGTGGAGGGCGTGCGGCAGGGCGAGGGCGGCGCGGACGGACGGACAGAACCGGTAGTGAGTGGCAGAGTGGCCCGGGGGCAGATAAGATGAGGCCGAGAACACCGAGAACATCGGCAAAAGGAAAGAAGGCGTGGCACGTCTGCGCCAAGTCTCGGCTTTGACGCAGTTCGCACCACGCACGTTTCCCAGCTCATCAAAAATTAAAAAAAAATCTGGATTCTTTTTTGCGGAAAAGTTACGATGCATCGGAAAAAGAGCCACCAGCGGTCCTTCCCCAATTTATACCTATTTGTGAGTTTTAGTTGCACGTTTTTTCGGTGAAACAAGAAAAGTGCATGCATCGTGAACGGTATCGAATCCCGCTGCGAGACGAACGCACCGCCACCGCGATAAGGCTCTCGTTGAGCATGGCGCAGCACGGCGCAGCACGGCGCAGCGCTCTGCCACTTCACCGTGAGTAAGCCTTCGCAGAAAGGGCCGCGCTGGCCGGGCAAGACCGATTCGCAGATACCGCTCCGAGTCTAGCCCGCCAGCCAATCCGGGTCAAACGGGGGCGTCAAACAGTGGCGAGGCATTTTTAAGCAGTCGCAAGACCCTCAGCGGCCCTCTGTACTCCGCCCTGCCTTAAAGTCAGACCACTGCAGCGTTGAGGTCTCCGAGCCATCAGTACCACTCATTGAACTCCCCAGCGCCAAGCAAAATGCTGCAAGGTTGAACGCAAAGATTCAAAACAAAAGAATAACACGCGCCCCATTTGACTCACCCATTTTCTACAAATGTAATAAATTGCAGCAGTTTTATCTCGTTTGAATCATTTTGGCAAGAACGTGCCGATTTTGGTTTGGATCGGTAATTGGATAAAAAGCGCCGCGCTGGGCTGTCCCCGGCCTGGCCTTGACGGCCTTGGCTGCAGAGGCTGCTGCTATCAGCGGGACGGTGACGCGAGCGTCCCTTGCCCCCGCGCGCCCCCGCGCCACTCGCAAAAACGCCAAATGCTATCTCAGGTGCGAGGCCGAGTAGAACAGGACTTTCAATTTTCAGTAAACTTTGAAAAATATTTTTTTTTAAAGTAAGCGTGGCAAATGCTACTTTTCAGTGACGTTTAAATTTATTTTTTTCAGAGTGCTGAGTGAGTTTTATCGAGTCGCGTAAATTTTTCTCGATATCAATAAGTTTTCGAAAATAAACAAATAGAACTGATTTGCATCTTTAGAGCCGCGGTCCGCTTTTAGATCCGGTGCACCAGCCGCGCGTAGCAACGACGGGAGAGAGAAGGCGGTGTGTACCAAGCAGTGCCATGCAGTGCCAGCAGTGTGCCATGCAGCACCCGGCAAGCGAGGCACGGGGCGTCGCATGTTTGTCCGGGATGCTCCCGTCCCGTTGATCCGACGCGTGACACTGGTGACACTGTGACACGCTAGACCCGCTAGGCACTCCACGTGCGCGACTTGCGCGGGGATCGCGGGGGCCCAGTCCCAAGGCGCGGGGCGCGGCTGGCTGGCGGTCGCCGGGGCGCAAGTGCATCTCTTTGTCACGGCCACAGACGTTATGCAAAGGAGGGGCGTTATGCCGAACAGTGCTTTCGTCGCTCCGTCTCTCTCGCACTCACGCGGCGCGGCGCAGCGAAGCGAGGGAGACAGAGCGACCAAGTTTATCGGAGTCAGACTTTGCAGAGCCGCGCTGCCGCCCAGTGGAGCGGAGTCCGAAGGACCGTTTCTGTCGCACTCGTGGGGCGTGCCCGCAGCCCGCAGGCACGCGACGCGGATCGGTGTTTAGCGGGACTCTGTTTCAGCGCGAAAGTCCACCGCCACCTTTTTCTTTATTGGGGGCGATTGCCGAAAGTGGAGCGATCGAGCGACCCAACGGAATGAGCGCACGTGAGTGTACACTGCACAGTGTGCACGACACCGTGACCCCAAATCCAGTCCGCGACGCCCCAGACTCCACCTGCGCAAACGCGGGACGCCCCCGATCCACGACGCACTTTCTCGATGAAAAGGGGTCATTGTACAAAACCCGAGGAGCGCTTTCGTCGCTCTGTCTCTCTCGCACGCACGGGGCGCCTGAATACGTGCGAGAGAGAGAGAGAGAGAGAGAGAGAGAGAGAGAGAGAGAGAGAGAGAGAGAGAGAGAGAGAGAGCGAGCGTCGTTCCGGAGTCAGCCCGACGGCACGCGCCGCGCGGCTCGCGACCTTGAGCTCCCTATTTGATCCGCTCTCCCATTACTCCAAATGGGCATCGGGCAGCGAGAGGCGATACGCGGTGGGATCGGCTCGGCAGTGTCGCAGATAAGAAGAAGCGAGAACAGCGGCACAGTTTGCCCGGCGGCAAACACCGGAAGCGCCCAAAAGCAGATACGTCGCCCGGCGGCTAGCGGTGTGGGAGGTGTCAAGGAGTCGAGCGCCGTATCGATACATCGATAGCAGGATCGAGTAGAGGTCGAGGAGGCACATGACTGGAGAGATACGAGCCGCCCGGAGGCTTCGACACGGGAACGAAAAAAAAAGAAACAACAACTGAAGCGATATAGGCTAATTATGTATTATTATTCATCTTTCTCATTTAATTTTTTGAAATTGCTTTGACTCATCGCCAGATGACCGGGGCGTGACCTCTTCGTCCGCCCGTCCCGTCCGCACGCAAAGTCAGGGAGTCCCGAGAGAGAGGCGGGGCGCGGGGCGTGGCGGGGGTCCGGCAGGAATGCGTAACAGTCGCGCGTCGGGTCCGAGATAAAAAAAAAGCGTTTGACAGCGGCCGGGCTGGACTGATAGTTGCGGGGTCAGTCCAGTCAGACTGCAGTCAGCCGGCCCCGGCGTGCATGGCCCGGCGTGGCCGACGTCCCGGACCGTCGGTGCCTGCACTGCAGCGTCCCGGACTCGGCTGGACTCGACGCCCTTCGACCTTTGGTTGCCTTTGGTGCGGCGCAGCAGCCCCGTTACGCGGCAATGCAAACCCGCTTCAAAAATGGCGACCGCCCACTACACTCGCCAATCCACTCTTGCTCCCTCTCCGGCTCCAGCGCGAGGACGCCGTCGTGGGTGCCCCTCGACGGCGACCTGGTGCATCCGGGTCAACGGACACGCGCCGCGGCCGCGTCGTCACCACCGCCGTGACGGAGTGACTGACGCCAGAGGCAGCCAGAGGCGTCTGTCGGCACAAAGTGCGGCGGCCTGGCCAGCCGTCCGGCCGGGGGTCAGTGGCAAGGGTACTGGCACGACGGCCGCCAGTTGGTTTCTTTCTTTTCCGCGTCGCCGGGAGTCGAACCCGGGCCGACCGGTGCCATGCGAATGCACGGCGGCGGCCGCCGAATGCAGCAGAATGCGATTCACAAAGCTTATCGGTGGCTTCCCACGACTGGCAAGACCGGCACGACGCAAGGGGCATCCGCAGACTGCGTGCAACTCCCCCCCCCCCCCCCCCCCCCCCCCGCCCCACACGTGCCGCGGCAGGCTGGAGATACCAACCTCCAAGGCCCCGATGCCACGGCGGCCACGGCCCGATGCCGATGACAGGCAGACCAATGCAGACTAATGTAATTGCCCTGGCGGCTATTTTTAGCCTGGGACCATGTGCAGTTTGGGGGCGCGGCCCGCCGCCCGCTCCCACCGCAGCTCCGCAGTGCTCCGCAGTGCTCCGCAGTGCTCCGCAGCCAGCGGACAAAGACTGCACGACTGTGTGCGTGTGTGTGGCGCCCTTCAGAAGTGGCTGACCGCCCGGTCGGGGGCTCGGAGCACACTGGACTGGACAGTGGCCCTTGACGGCATCATCACACTTCACACTGTCTGTCCGGTCCCCAGGCCCAAGTCTCACTCGCGACGACTCAGTTACTAACCAGAAAGTGCCTTTATAGCGCAAATCGTCATTGATTAATTCCGGAAACAGGTCTGGATCAACAAAATAAAAATTGCCCGTGCGGGTGTTTGAATCAACGTCACGCCAGCTCCGCACGCGTTCCGCCAAGCCAAGTGGCCCAAAGGCCGAAAGGCGTGGCTTCCTCGGTCACCTACACTGGCAGGGCCCGTCAGCGAGACAAGGCCGGTGTCGGCCGGCACTACTAGTGTAGCCCGGCCCGGCCTGCCCGGCCTGCCTGGCCGAATCACCGCCGTGTCCCCCGAGGGTCAATATTTGCCCAGCGCCGCCCAGAGGTCCGGCGAACCGAAGCGAGCCGGGCCGCGGAGAGTCAGGCTATTCCTACCAGCGTCTGTCTCTCTCCCTCCCTCCCTCCGGACGGCCCGCGAGTGCGAGAGAGACACTGCGAGGGATTCGCCGCCCCGTGAGCGAGCCAGGCCGCGGCCGCGGGGTAGTGCCCCTGGTGCTGCGTGCCGCTCAGCGCGCCGCGTGCTGCCGGGGACTGACCCCACTTACAGCGAGTGCAGGGTGCAGGTCGTATTATCGGGCAATAAACGTGGAGTTGTCCAGCCGCCGCGGCCGAACCCACGCCGCGCCACGCCGTCTCGCGTGAGGAACCAGTCTCCCTACAATGTACCGCGCAGAAAAACCTGCTCCCGCCAGGCTTGCCCCCCGCACTTCTCGCGACTTGCAACCAAAATGAAATTCAACAGGCCGCGTCGTAAAATTGCAGCAGTCATGGGAAGCTTAGCGCGAAAAGGGGGTGGTCTCTTTGGGATTTTTTTTGCGGGGTCGTTTCACGACGCGGCAGGACCACCCTCTCCGCCGGGGAAGTCCATGTTTTCCCCAGATTCCTTTCGCTGAGAGGGGCTCCTCAGGACGGGCACTCCAAAGCGCGCTCGAGAGCGCCCGGCCCGCCACGGCAGGTGCGCGTCCGGACCGCCTATCTCGCTCTGATTATGGGACGGACGCCTCACGTCGCGAAGCGCGAAGCCCCGACACGGAGATTAACAGCCCACCACACCGTCGAGTGGACCGCCCTCAATTTAATTCGGGGCTCCGTGTGACCGGCTCGACCGCGGGTCGTCCGCACGAGACGTAACGCCTTCTGCTCCTCTCTCTCGCACTCGTTGAGCGACAAGGACAGGGCACTGGCGTTACGTCATTCGTGGATGACCGCAGATAGTGTGCCGGCTCAGCCGGCGAGGCGGCACGGCGGCGGCCTCCGAGCACGATGGGTTGCCTAGCCGCGGCCGCCAGGCGCTGGCGGCGAGCGCCTGCAGTGTAGGCAACCTCCCGCACGCGGCGCAGCGGTGCGTCGCCGCGGTCTACCCGCCAGGCGCTCGGTCCCCTTAAACTCCCAGCTCGTACTTACACAGCAGCGGGTCCAGGCGGTCCTTGAAGCTCTTGTTCCTGCCGATGCTGGCCAGGCTGGCGCCGCGCGAGGCCTGCTGGCGCATCAGCGCGGCGCTGGGGATGCCGGGGTGGCGGGGCGGCTCGTCGAGGCCGCCGTGCGTCGCCGCGTTGTCGTCGTCGTCCTCGGGCGCGCAGCTCGACAGCCGCGACGTGTCCGGCGTCTCCGACCGCCGCAGCAGGCTGTCCCACCTCGACGTGTCCCACGGCTCCGAGAACTCGGTCTGAGGAACGCCAAAGCTCGAGTGAACACTCCAATTTTGATGCGGACGCCGGCACACTGGGTGTGAACGGACACTTACGAGGGCGTCCTCGTTGTCCGAGGCGTGGTGCGACCCGTGGTGAGATCCGTGGTGCGAGCCATGGTGCCGCGACTGCCCCTCCACGTTGTCGTACGACGACATCCTGGTGCTGGTGACGGTGGCCGCGGACACGGCGCTGCCCTCCCGGTCGCCCAGCACCAGGCCGTTGCCGTTGCGGTCCTTGGGCACCACCTCGGGCAGCGCGCGCAGCTCGGGTATCCTGCGGCACGACATGCTACGCGTCAGTACAGTGCGAGAGAGCGCGGCGATACTCCGCGCCGGGACGACTCTCGGTCGCGGGGTAGAGACACCCGGCTGCGGCCGTATTGTACCTCTGCAGGATGATGTCCTGCACGGTGACGACGGGCGCGTCCTGGCCGCCCTGGTCGCCGTCCAGCCTGGTGACCTGCTGCTCCAGCGAGGGGAAGCGGCGTTCGTTGTCGTCGGCGTCCCTGCTCTGCTCACGGGGGCCCTCGTTCTCGTCGTCGTTGCCTGGCCAAGGAAGCGAGTCAGACAACATCCGACTTGGAAAAATGAGAGCAATCGTCTCCAGTGCATGAACTTACCGATAAACTCCCAGCTGGAGTCCACGGCCCACGAGTTATCACTGAGCTTCCCGGAGCGCACCCTGGGGGGCTGTACGGGCTTGGCCCTCGGCCGGTTGTTGTTGACACTATTGCTGTTGTTGATGTTGTTGTTCACTAGGATGCTGGCGATGCTGCCGCTGCTCCGCGAGTTGCGCAGCATGGCCAGGTTGTCCGCGGAGGACGACATGTTGGTCAGCTCCTCCGAGGAGTCTATCCTCTCCAGGATGCGGCCGCCGGTGACGGAGGGCCACTGCTGGAAGGGCGCGGGGTCGGAGTGCCTCTGCGCGACCCTGGACGCCGCCGGGTAGCCCTGCGGCACGGCGAACGAGAGAGGGTTAGCGACCTGCTCGGGGGCGAGCCCTTGGACACCGCCAGGACGTCGCGGAGTACTCACCGGCGGCCTGGGTCTCCTGCGCGCCACGAGGCCGGTCTGCTTGATGGCGTCCGCGGGCTCGGCGTAGAACGGGCTGCCCTGCTTGGCGGGCGGCGCGTTGCCGTTTGGTGTGTGCGGTGTGTGCGGCGCGCCCGTGTCCAGGGGCGGCGACCGGTTGGCGGGGGTCACGGGGCTGCCGTTGGTGGGCGTCAGGTTGCCGCAGGACTGCGACACGGTGAGCGCCAGGCCCAGGCGGTTGCGTTGGTGGAACAGGTTCTGGGTCGGTTCTGCGGACACAATAAGGGTGTTGTTGTAGAGGACGACGTCCCGGAGGCTGCTGGCGGTGCGCTGCGTACTCACCTGGTACGATCGGCGTGCCCACCCGCTCCAGCAGGTCGGGCTGCCGCTGGTGGCCGGAGCCGACGCTCATGTCCTCAGGCGAGGAGAACGGCGACGACCTGGACGGCGCCCTGGAGCCCTGCGGCTTGAACGTGCTCATCTCCTGCTGCCAGATGTCCTCGTAGTCGCTCTGCTTGTCGGCCAGCGAGCTGTGGTAGTACACCGTGGGCGACTCCAGGATGTCGGACTCCTGGTAGTGGTTCGACTCCTTCCTGGCGCGGTGCCGGCGGCTGCCGCGCCCGATGGACTTGCTGAGGGACTCGCTGGGCGTCGACGGCGACGTCACCTGGCTGGGGCCGTGGCTGCGGGGCTGCTGGGGCTGCGCCTGCTGCCCGAGCGACAGCGACTGCGACTGGGAGAGGGAGAGGGACAGCGACTGCGACTCGGTCAGGTTGCTCACACTGCTGTGCGACGACAGCGTGTGCAGCCCGTCCGACTCCAGCGACGGCCTCTTGGACTGCAAGGAGAGAACAGAGCTTTAAGCATCGCGGCTACACTGTCATGGCAAGGCCGGGGCTTATCGTCAGGACTTTCAAACTCACCTCGAGATTGGGGGGCGGGGTCAGGTCGTGGCCTTCTGAAGCGGTGGGGGTTTGACTTAGAGCTAGAGAAGGCTTGGCCCAGCGGGGAGGGGGCGGGGGCGGGGTCTTGCCCCCGAGGGTGCTCGGCGTCAGCACACCCTGCGCCGGGCTGGCGGACGCGGACCGCGGACCTGGTGCAAAACAACGCGTTAGCCCGTTGCGAATCCGGGACATCCATCAAGCGAATCAAATCTAAACGCAATTCAGTGAGCAATCCAATGTGTCGCGTGTGGTGGTATACAGCACACACATAGCAAGAAGTCGCACAGATGAGTGGTTGCAAAACGAACTCGAAAGCGTCACACAGAGGAAAGCAAATAATAACGATAGATTTGTGATAGTAGCTAGAGAGGTGTACAGCAGAGAAAAAAGTCAATGAGGTGTCGATGAGTACAATGAGCCAAAATCGTTTCTGATTTGAAAAGTTACCGGAAAATTAAAAATGACTGAAAACTTAACATGAATAACAAAGAAATTATGCCAATACAATAAAATTAATAATAAGATAATGATAACAATAAACAACGAAGCTGGCAAACGTTAAAATAAAAATGAAATCGAAAATGATGAAAAAGATATATACTGGCTCCGACATCACCGGACTACCCCATTGCAGCGGGGGACAAGTACCTTGCGCAGTGGCCGAGGCCGAGGCCGGGCCCGTGGCCGAGGCCGTGGCCGTGGCGGGCACAAGGTTCAGGGTGTTGGGAGGTGTGGGGCGCTGTGCACGACAGAAAGCGGCGGCAGTAGTTGTCGTGGAGGAACACGTGATGGAGGAGCAGGTCGACGTCTGCCCCGTACCTGTCGGCGGGCCTGTCGGCGAGGTGGGGCCCAGGCCGCCGAGCCCCAGGGCGAGCGCGCTCGCGCCCAGGCCCATGGTGGGGCTTGCGATACCTTCGCTGGGGGCGGCAGAGCTGGGGGTGGAACCGCCCTTGAACGTGCTCATCAGACTAGGGGGCTGCGAGTCGGGGGAGTACGCCAGCGGGGCCAGGTTCAGGACGATGGAGTCGCCGTGGCCGTCGGCGTCCAGCCCGGCAGCGGCGGGATGGTTGTGGCCTGCGCGGAGATAGAATGTCTTAGGGCGAAACGCCAACTTTGAAAATAAGAAACGGAACCCAAAAGGTGGGCGCCGTACCGCTGCCGAGGCTGCTGAGGCTGCTGGCCTGGCTGTTGCTGCCGCTGCTGCGGATCGTGACGCCCTGGCTGTCGGCGGCCGCGTCGTTGGACGCGTCCGGGGGCCGGGGGTTCGCCATGGGGTACCGCCAAAACTCTGCCGAGCGAAAAATCAGAAACACGTTAGTTTTTAACTCGAGCCACACGAGCACTAGAGCACTAGAAAGACTACCTTGCCCGAGTAGAGCCAGTGAAGTGAGCTGTTGTCTGTTCCTCGCCTCGCGAACGGCGCGAGGCAGCGTCAGTTGAACGGGTAGCTCGTCGCTGAAAACAAAAACAGAAAGAACACCGCGTTTAGAAAACGGCTGTCACGCTGAGGAAGCAGGACACGGCTGGAGGGACTCACCAGCACTGGCAGTAGTGGGCGATGAGCTGGGGAATGGAGTCGAAGCGGTTGTCGGAGCTCTCCAGGCTGAGCTGGCCGTTCTCGTTGGCCTGCACCAGGTAGTGCTCGATGTAGGGCCCCTTGAGGGGCGGCAGGCGCACCGAGATGGCCATGGTGGCGGCCTGGCTGGACTGCCGCACCACGAAGTTGCCCTCCTCCTTGGCCTGCAGCAGGTGCACGGCGCCGGCGCGCTGGATGCCGGGCAGGAACCAGACGGGGTGCGAGCGGATGAGGCGCTCCACCAGGCTGATGTCGCACACCGAGTCCACCGCGTCCCAGCCGCTGCACGAGTCCGCCGACGAGCCCGCGCTCGACTCGGGGCCCTGGAACGACAGAGAGGACGCGTTCAGCACACTTGGAGACGGCGGCGGCGGCGCCGGGGAGGCAGGCAACCCAACGGGCGGCGCGGGGCAACGCCCTGCCACGCCATGCCACGCCATGCCACGCCATGCCACGCCCGTGAATCGTCTCCAGCCGGAAAGGCCGGGAGGGGAGGGGGAAGGGGCTGTGTAACGTAACTGTGTAAAGATGGAGTCGCCCCGCACCGCCCGAACGCGCCTTAATTTTTTATTTACTGCGCGCTTCACCGTGCTTCGCCGTGCTCGGCTCGGCGCCCTGCCTCGGCGGAACGAGTCCTTTTTATACTCCTCTGGCGGCGGGCAGGAGCAAGGCAGGAGCTTCCTCCAAGCGCCCCAGCCCCCCTAAGCCGAATGACAATTAATCGACACCGGTTGCTTAGCAAGGACGGGGGCCGCGACGCTGCGACGCGATGAGTCATCCCCCTCCCCCCTCCCCCTTTCCAAGGCGGCAACGAGGGTTATTCTTACGCGGCCCGAAAAAAAGAGGGGAGGGGGAGTGCCCATGACCGCGACAGGCGGGCGCCACCGCGTGCGTCCTCGACGTCGTCGAGAGGACCGCATCGAGGAGGCGCAAGGAAGCACACGGAAAGTGAGCAATTTTTTCCAGTTCTCCCCTGCAATGAAACCGGCGGCGGGAGGACACACACACACACGCACACACACTGCACCAGATGCAATAGACACTCGGCCGATTGCAGTGCCGTGCCGCCTAGTGCCGCCAAGGCACACAACACGGTCCCCTGCCTCCCTCCCTGACGCCCTGCAGGACCTGCAGGACCTTACAGGGGACCGGGGAGCACACGCCAGGCGCACTAAACGGAGGATACGGCGCAGTCATTCCGTAGTTTCCGCCTGCAGCCTCCTTGCCTTGGCTCGCCTTGGCTTTCCCTGGCTACACGCAGCGCGATGACGGCGCTCTATCCGCAGGCATCTCAGCCAGTCCTTAAGGGCGAGCTTGTGTGTGTGAGAGAGAGAGCCTGGTGTCGGTGGCGAAGGGCGGCAAGGAGAGCGCGAGTACGAACAGTGATCCTTGAAGCACCTACAGGGTAATGGGTCCCCCCCCCCTTTCCCCCACCCCGCCAGGCTCCACGACACTTGAAAACAGACTCCCCCTTTTCCTCCTCCAGCCCGAGGGTCTGTTCCGGGCAGGCAAGGCAGGCAGGACACAGACATCCGTAATGAGGACGGACTATGCAGGGCTGTGGCCCTGCCTGCGACCCCTTTCAAGGCGTTATCAAAGAGACCCTCTTTGTGGGCGGGGAGGGAGGCGATACGCCGTACCCGTCGGCCCCTTTGTGGCGGCCGTCAGTCACAAAAGAAGGTGACCGCGAGAGAGACTTGGGTTGACACCCCGCGAGGGGTATCGACACCGCTTTTCGTGATAACCCGTGTGGACAAGAGGCACGCGGGTCGTCGCTACCCCGCGCTCGAGGGCCTCTCGGCACTGGCGTCACAGACAGTAAACCGACAGACAGCCTCACGGGGGAAACCGATGTGACACACGCCTCGCCGGCCGGTGTGTGGCACACTGTGTGGTCGCGGTGGCGGGCGTCCCGGTGTCCGTGCGGCTCGCTACCGGCGAGGGGGTAAACACTTCAAGAAATCGTGTACAGACTACTCGGTATTACGCTGTATTACGGGTGTATTACACGTGTATTACGGCCCTAAAATGCCCAAATTTGGCACATTTGACCCAAAAATGGTATTACGATCACGTGTATTACGCGTAATACACGGTTTTTGTGTACAGGGTATTACGGGAGTGGTTACCCCCTCGGCTACCGGCTGCCTCCACCCACGCCAACGAATCGAAGAGAATTGGCGGCCGCTCAAAAGGCGAAAGTTGGATGGGGACCAAATTAGGAAAGCGGCCTCAGGGGACCGCCGGGGCGGGGCGGGGCGTCCCCAGGTCATAGAGTCCGCGGCGGTCCGCGCCACCAGTTCCACTGACGCGTGGCAGGGCAATCGGTCGGGCCGTGACTCCGTGACCGCACAGATCCCGATCAGGACGACCTGCCGGCTGATCCCCAGCGCCGCCGCTGTCTCTGTCTCCCTCGCACTCATGGAGCGCCCCGCGGAGAGCGAGAGAGAGTGAGAGGGACAGAGCGACGAGGCGCCGCTGTCGGGCCGCGTGCTAAACGCTAAGCGCGACGCAGTGCACGTAATTGAGCTGTTGTTGCATAACGGCCAAACGAGCCTCTAGATCCAGATCTGGAAACAGGGCCCGTGCCTGCCGGCCTGCCGGCCAGACGGACGGCCAGACAGACAGACAGACAGACGGACAGACAGACAGACAGGGCGTGGTGCACTTCCTCTCCGGTCTAATCCTTTGCCTCCATTCCATTCGGATGGGGAACACTAGCCAGAAGCCTTTCCCCTGGAAGCGCCGGCCGAGCAGGGGGTATTTGTCAAGAAGGAAGAAGGGAGAAAAAATTTGAGAGAGTGGTGGGGGTGGGGGTGGGAGGGGGATGGAACGGGGGGCGAGCGTCACGCGGGGGTGCGTGAGCACAACACACAACCACAGTGTACCAGTGAGACACACACACTCACACACTGGCACACACGGCACGTGGCGCTCCGCATTGTTCGACCGAAAGCATCCTAATCAGACATGTCGCGTACACGAGTGGATTGTGGATCTCCAGAGCGGCGGGCGGGGGCTGCGGGGGCTGTGCGGAGCCCCACTGGGGCCCCGCTCGTCGTCTTCCACCCCCGCCACGCACGCTACACTGCCAACCGGGTGAAACAACGCCCCCAATAACAACCCCTTACACTGGGAAATCTCTCCCCGCTCCGCAGCTCCGCACTCCGCCCCGGGCAGCCTTCATTGCGCGGCTCTGTTTTTTATTGTCACACGTGGCAGCAGGGGGCTCGGCGACGCGTACGTTACCCTCCGCCACTCGCACCCCTTAGCTTCTGGTCTGGAGAGAGAGGGAATCTCCGCCCCACTCTGGCACGCCGCCAATGCGATACAGCGGCGCCCCCTGCCGGCGGCCGGGCCAGCAGGCCTGTCTCTCTCGCACCCGCGCGGGGCGCCCCATGAGTGCGAGAGAGACCTGCAGCCTGCCGGCCCGGCCGCGCGCGTGAACTAATCACACATTCTGTGCGGTTCGCGCGGTCGCCGGCCGGTCCGCCTCCGTGCATCGCAGTCAGCGTGGCCAGCGTAGCCAGTGTAGCCGCATTGCACTCGGCTGCATGCAGACAGGATGGAGAGAGACGGAGATAGGGCGAGAGAGGCGTCGGATGAGAGGCTAAAAGCAGCACTTTGGAGAGGCCAGTGGGAGCACTAGAGCGTCTAGGGTGGAGAAAGGGGTTCTCGCGGCCACTTGCACCCCGTCGCCGCCGCTGCAAGCCGCCTCTCTCTCTCTCTGTCGCACTCACGGGGTGCTCCGGAGGGGTGCGAGAGAGAGAGAGACCGTCGCCACTCCGCCATCATGGCACCGGATAAAAATGAACACAATGGCGTCGCAGCGACGGCGACAAGAGCCATTCAAGTCCAATTTGGCGCGGGTCGGCGCAGGGCGGACAGGCAGGCAGGCGGCAGGCAGGCAGGGCCGGGGGCACTGCGGTGAGATGAGAGATACGGTGGGTCCGTCCCGCCCGGTCCCGCCCCGTCAGTGCAAGGCGCTGCGGTGGCCGTCTCGACTTGAACTTGAACACTGTTCCAGCTCGTAGAGCCAAATCCTCCAGCAAGGGGGCCGGGCAGGCCAGCAAATACAGCTCTTCTCTCTCTCTCTCTCTCCCTCCCTCTCGGTCCCGGTCCACTCCCGGCTGGCATGGCATCACAGTCCAGCGAGCAGAGCCTTCCATTTGGCGAAAACCGCAACGCCCTCGAGGTGCTCCGAGGCCGCCGCCCGCCGCACTTCTCCGTGGCGGTGCGAGAGAGACAGAGCGCCGGTCGGAATCCGCCTCTGCCGCCCTCCGCGGGCCCGGGGCGCTCGGCGTGCTCCGCGCTGACACTGACGCGCGGCGCTGAGCGACGCAGCCGTCAGCGTCGTCAACCCTTATCGCGTGTCGTCGTCGCCGTCGCCCCGGAATGCATTTTTCGATAACGCGCGTCGCGCCGCGGGGGCCGCGAGCTCCAGGAATCCGTCAAAGTGATGTAACGCCGCGGCAGTCACGGCCGCGCGGCCCGGCGCCACGCCACGCACACAGATGCGGCGATAAGTTGCACGTCGCCGTCGACGACGCCCTGCACGCCGATTCCGAGCGGAGCGTCTGTCTCTCTCGCACCCCTGCGGGCCGCGCCGCGAGTGCGAGAGAGGCAGAACGTTGCTGGCGCTCCGCCCTCAATGGAACACGCGTTGCCCGCGGCATGCTAATGGCTAGTGATGCGACACACTCGCAAAGGTCGCGGCAGACATCCACGCTGTCCACCAGACGCCTTGCCAGGACGCACCACTCGCCATGCGCTGCTACACTGGCAGGGGAACTCTTTTCTCCACGTCGTGGGAACTTTTCCGCGCCACACCACTGGCAAAACTGCAATAAGCGAAGTTTCGCCTCGAGAGTAAACCGCTTGTAGCCGAGAGGAAAAATTGTGATCACCGCGTCGCCACCCCTAGGCGAGCCCCATAGCGGTGGCAAGGCACCCCTCCGGGAGCCCCGCGCTGACAGCGTCATTTCCTGGGAACCTTTTCTTCTCGAATTTGGAGAGCAAAACAGCGCGAGATGGCGGATGGCGGCTTCGAGGGGAACGGGCCGACGGGCCAGGGGAACCCACACACAATGCCGGCGAAATCACGCCAAAGTCCCTCCCCCTCCTCCCCGCGTCCCGCCCCGCCCCGCGAGCGTGTGGGCGAGGAGGCGGGAAGGGGCAGCGTGCCCGGGGCGGAACGTTAAAAACGGTGAAAAGATTGTTCGATATTCTCACCTGCGACTGACCATCCATCCATTCATTCTTTCATCATTTATTCATTCTCTCATCGGTTCATTTTTGATGATTCATTGCTTCATTCGTTCATTCATTCGTTATCGGCGCATAAAAACAACTTTGATCATTTTTTCACACGATTTCGGTCACACCCACTCGTTAATCCGTCCGCTAATCCATTCATGCATTCATTCATCGGTGCATTCATTGGCTCGCCGTTGGTGTGTCCCAGCCATTCATTCATCGCTGCGGTGCCTGGCGGTGCCGCACACTGCATAGTTCAGCGCCCCGCACCACAAAGGACAGCCCCGGCGGCGCCGCGGCCCGCAAATGAAGACATAAATATTTGACGCGTCCGCCCCGCCCCGCCCCGCCCCGGCCGCGCGTGGGACCCGACTCGCAGTGTGGTGGGCAGCCCGCTGCACCGCGTTGCTGGTGTTGCTGGCGTTGCGCTCGGCTTGGCCAGCCCGACCAGCAGGCAATCAGGCCGACCGCAGGGCGACAACAACACGGCCAACGACCAGAGCTCCGTCTCTCTCGCACTCGCGGGGCGGCCCGTCCCGGTGCGAGAGAGACGGAGCGAATCTGGGAGTCAGTCTGCAGTGTAACGGGGAACAGACCAACGGGGCTGGGCCGAGGAGAAGGGTGCGGACTTGGAGATAGCGGCCTGCCCGGCACGTACGCACAAAGTATTGATAAGAAATCGGTAAAGCCGCCGAACCCAAACTAAGTACACGGTTGGGGGTTGCGACCCCCACCCTCCTCCTTTCTTCCGCGAGCAGCCAGCGTCTTCTCTAGGAACGCCCCGTGAAGCTGGCGCAAACTTTTTCAACGCAATTAGCCCCAACAGCCTGGAGCTGAGAGAGGGGGGGGGGGGGGCGTCCGCGTGATCAGCGACGAGCGAAACACGCGCCCAAATCTCTGCGCCCAGCAACAGACTCGAAGCGCTTCTTCGAGAGCGTTATCGTCAGACAAGGCCCCCCGAAACTTGCCCCTCGCGGCTCATCTCTGGTCGAGTGTGTGCTCCTCCACAAGGCGGTAGGAAAAGCGAGAGCAAACGTGAGGTCCTTTGAGCCCTGAAGCGGGCCATCCAGGGTGATATAGATTCCAGAGCGAGAGCTCTAGGCTCTAAGGGGCCCGCGTTAGGGGCGCTTTGCGCGCGCTGTGCTGCCGCGCGTTCTGCGCATAGCGCCGCGTGCGCGGGGCGTGCGTGCCGCGTGCACATTCAAGCCGTCCCACGTGGGGTGCACGTGCGAATAGAGATCACAGGCGCAGCCACGGCGCAGCCTGCCCACAGTGCCGCGCCCGAACATTCGCAATCTTCCGATGGGACCAGGCAGGCCAGGCCGGGCTCTCTCCCTTTCCCACCTCCCCCCGGCCGCCCCCGAGCCCATCCCTCTCCCTCTCCCTCCCCTTCTATCATTTTTCGAGCTCTTTTCTGAGATGAATAAGAATACGGTCGGCATAATTTTGCTGCTTTTGCGGGCCGCGGGGCCGGGCCGTGTTCGGGACGTGCTCCGCATAAGCCCGACCAGCTCGTCGCGGCTCTTGTTCTGCCCAGCGCCGCGCCTCCAACTGCTCGTACCTCTGTCTCTCTCGCACTCGTGTGGCGTCCCGCAGGAGTGCGAGAGAGACAGAGCGACGCCCCGCCCGGCTGGATTCGACACAAAGGGGAGCGCGCGCAGCGTCAATTTTCAATCCCGGTCCCCGCTAAAGCAAACGCCGCGCGAGGACGTCGCCGCGCTCGCGGCTCGAGGCGGTGAATCACGCAACGATTTCGGGCCGAAATTAAACCGAGTCGAGTTATTCCCAGTGGTGCGACGGCCCCGCCGCCAGACTCCGGGATCTCACGACCCCGAGGACTTCTGGAACGGCCTTTCAACACGTCGTCATCGCCTGCGTGAAGGGGGCCGACGTCGTGGTGGTGGTGTCACCCGAGCCCCTCTCCGACCTCCCTCAACGCGGCGCTGGCGCCGAGCACGCCGTCGTGGGTTGCGCCGCCACCCCGCGTCGTCGCCGCATCGCAGATCACAGCGGCTGATACGCGTCTAAAAATAACCCAGCTTCGACGACGCGACACGAGTGCGCCGCGTCTCCCCCGGGCGCCCTGCCTGCCCTGCCCGCCGTAGCGTGCCCCCCCCCCCCAAGTCTAATTCCGAAATGTTTTGAATCGCGCTTTCCCACGACCGCCACCAGGACGACGACGGCGGCGAGGAGGACGCGGCGCGACGCGGCGCGTGGCGGTCAAGGTGCGCGCCGACGACACGGCGTTTTATTTTAAAACGGCGGCAAAGCAAACCGCCCGGCCGGCCTGGCGGGCCGCCATGCTCAATTAACGCGCCAATAAAAAGGCGCCCTTGGAGGGACGGGCCGCTGTCTCTCTCGCACTCGCGGCGCGTCGCGGAGGGCGCGACGGAGACAGAGCGACGGAAGCCTAGTTCGGGCCGACCGAAACGGAGCACCGCCGCCAATCTGAAAGCCACGCCCGCGGGCCCGGGAAGTCAAGCAGGAAGTCGACTCCAAGTCGACTGTCTTGGCCTGGCCGCCCGGCCGCGGTGACCGTTCCAACTGCGGGCTGCGTCCGAAGCGGCGCTCCGTTTTTCTCGCACCGCCCTATGAGTGCGAAAGAGACGGAGCAAGAGGAGGCCCTTGGTGGTGGTGCCTCCGAGACCGCCGCAGTGACATCAAAGACCAGGGCGGCGATACAGGACGGAAAGGAAGAAGAGGGGGGGGGGAAGCATTGGATCGGAGGACCAACGACCCGGAACACGAAATCGGCGCGTTTACCGCGCGGATAAGACGCAGAAGAAGAAGAGGCCTTGACGGTGGCGTGGCGCGGCGGGGGAGCGATCCCTGCACGTAAAACAAGACAGCCCTCTCTCTTTATGACGGCGGCGCCTCGCTGCTTCGCCTCATCGAAGACGAGACCCCCGCGATAGTACAACGAGACGAGGCACGGAAACGGGCGCCGATTTGCAGCCAGCACCGCGCCGTCGCCACTCCGAGGGTGGAGGGGACGGCGTCGTCGTCGTCCACGTCGTGGAGGCAGCCCCACCGCACGCATGGAGATAGCGCTCCAACCGCCGGCACCGCCAGCACTGCAGTACCCACGCCGGCAGTACGACCAGCACGCCGTGGGGTATCATCACGCCCCCGCAGCCACGCCGTCGAACCGCGCCACAAAAGGGGCTTCGCGGAATAACCAACCGCCAGGCCGCCAGGCCGCCAGGACAAAAGATCGCGCGCCGAGCGAAGCGCGAAGCGGGGCCTGCTCGATAAAAGTCAACAACACTGCTGTGTGTGTGTGTGTGTGTGTGTCAGTGAGACGGGGGACGCCCCATCATCGTCGTCATCATCAAGTTCCAGATAAACCGGACGGACGGGCCGTGCGCCGTACATAATCTAATGGAGCAGCAGCGTGGCAGCGCCACTCCGAGCCGGACAGCCGAGCGGCCAGCCGAGCAGCCGGCCAGGCCAGCGACTTCTGAGCACGCGGGTGAGTCATCCACCGCGACCGGCCGCGGACGGGACGGGACGGGAAGGTCGCGGCCTCTTCGCGTCGCAATGTGTGTGTCTGGGATTCTGGGATCGCGAACCCAGTAACGGGGTAGCCACACTCACCTGGCTGAGGCTGCCCTGGCTGCCGTTGATCTCCAGGATCCGGAAGTGGTTCGTCAGGCGGTTGTGTCCGACGGCGTCCTCGCCGTCCGTCAGCGACGTGAGGCTCCTGGAGCGGCTTCGGCTGCGGGGCGCGCGTCGACGCCGCCCGGAGGCCGGCCGCCGCGTGGACGCCGGCACGGCCTTCTCCGGGGCGCTCTCGTCGTCCTCCTCGTCGTCCACCAGGTCGTCGTCGATGTCGTTGTCGTCGTCCGTGTCGGACGTGAGGATGGTGCGGGGCCGCGGCCGGGGCCGGGGCAGTGGCCGCTTGGCGCGCAGCACCTCGGCGTCGGCCTCGGCGCCGTGCGGGCCCAGCCCCGCCATGTAGGGCTCGAGGAAGCCATCACCCCTGCGGAGGCAGAGAAAAGGGCACTGTCAGCACAGAAACCGGGCAAAAACAGCTCTTTTAAAAACAAAGCCCACGCCGCACTCCCACCAAACCCAACCAAACCACAAAGCACGCGGCCCTGTTTCGGACAGCGCTAGACCCTGCTCATTAAGCCGTCCACTGCGACACCTACACCATCATCCAGCCCTTCCACTGCACTCCAGCCTAACGGATGGACGCGACACGGTGCGTCCCGCAGGCAAAACGGGGAGAGGGGGGGGATATAAACCACAATTAGCGACGTACGGGCCGCTAAGCCGGTGCTAAAGCAAACCCGGCAGCATCACTGCGCCGCGCCACGCCACGCCACGCACCGCCACCCCGGGGATCAAAGCTGACGCTCCACCGCCACCCCTTGCGGCCCGGCCGGCCCGGCGCGGCCCCGCACTGCGAAAGGTGCGCGGGGCGTTAACGGCCGGATTATCGGCCCAAAACTGGCAAAGCCGGAAGGGCCCCGCCAAACAACGCGCCGCTCGCAACGACGCCGAGATTGGGTCGTGCGGCGGAGTTATTCGCACGCAGAGGCACGCCGTCGACGAGGCGTCATCGTGCGTATAATGGCCGGCGCACTGGAAGTAACGGCGGGGACGGCATTTCGGTCCTGCATGGCGCCCGGCGGGTAGGCAGCCCAGACGCAGCCGTGCGCGGCGGGACGGACAGCGAGTCTAGCTGCACGGCGGACCGCCAACAACAACATCCTTCCATTAATACTGCGTCCGCGTGGGCCAGGACGGCCAGCCTTGCGCACGCGGTGCGGCCGGACCACGCACCGGGCGGCGGGGCGGCGGGGCGCGCTCCAGGTTGCCGCCACTGCCGTCCGCCCCGGAGGCCCCGGAGGCCCCGGAGGGCTAAACGACCACGGAACGACCGCCGCGGTGAATAACGCGCGCAATCCTGGAGAGTTATGCGTCGATGGACGGCGCCGCGATAATCTGGACCCTCATGGGGGCGGCCGGCACGGCGAGGCAACGGCGAGGCAACCCTTCGGGAACGGCTTTCATTTATGTGGCCGCGGCGGTGACCGGCACCAGCCCGCTTACTGGACGTTACCGCCGAAACACGGCCCACGCCGCCGGAATGTCAACGAGGCTGCGCGAGGCGAGGAGGAGGGGGGAGGGGCGGTCGGGGTTAACACCACCTGCGATGTCCCACCGTGCGCCAAGCACGCACTGGAGCGGAAAGTACGGTACGGGCCGGGCCGGGCCGGCGACGTGACGGAGGGAAAACAGAATGACAAGAGGTGACAGGATCTACCGCAAATATCATTACTGCGCGGTGATGTTGTCGTAATCGCTGAGACTGCACTGTAAACGGCGGCACTGCGGGACACCGTCGCCGCCGCCCGCCGACGAGCGGGTAGGCAACCCCGTGGGCGCGGCCGCCATCCACCTCGCGTTCGACGAGTTCCACGCACTTTCTTTCGGCGCAGACGGTGCAAAAATACAGCCGCGCTGCACAGACAGGAAGCTGTTCCCCAAAACCCTCTTCCCCCAAAGCGCGACAAGCTCACACACACAGACACACACACATCGCGCCGTGATTCCCCGGTCTAGACGAACCGCTGCGGCAGCGGCATGAATAAACCCGGCCGGCAAAAAGAACGACGGCGTAGTGGCGCAGACAGGAGCGAGGACCTCCCCGACGTACCCCGACGGGCCAGCTAAGCCGGCCAGCTGGTGCGCCACGCCTCACCTCTCGGACCTCTCGCTCTCGTTGGAGGACTCGAGGAGGCGACGACGCCCCGCCCCGCCAAGCACATGACCGTCTTCGTGGACTAGCGGCGCGTTTTCAAACGCAGTTATGTGGGTCGGTCGTCGCCGGCCGTAACTACGTGCACAACAATGTTGCTTGTCGAAGCCACCCAGCGTAACCGCAGAAGTTTCTTACAGTGTGGGCCGAGTCGGCGACCGCGCCGCACACACGGCGGCCAGGTCGGGCCAGCCAGGTGCAGCTGCGGCCATGCAGGCGTGTCGGGCACCGCGCATAGCGCAGCACGCCCCCACCTGGCGGCACGCCGCGGACGCACGCGCGCGCGCTCGCTCCGTCTCTCTCGCACTCGTGGGGCGGCCCTGGGCGTGCGAGAGAGACAGAGCGACGCCGTGATAACAGCTCGTCGGAAATGCAGGCGACTGCAGGCGCTGCAGCATTACTCAGTGAGACACACACATCCGGCCGCCGCGACGCGACGCGTGCCGTCTAGCAGCCCCGTCGCGGCACCGCCAAAAACCCGCGCCAAAAGGCCATTCACAGCGACCCGTCTCTCTCGCACTCGCGGGGCGGCCCGTAGGCCCGCAGGGGTGCGAGAGGGACGGCGCGAGCCACTGTTTGTCGGGAGGGCCAGGCTGCGGCGCGTCTCCGCGGAAGCCTGCCCAGCATTCAAGGCCGGGACAACCAAAATAAGCGGCGCTTTCTGGCAGCCAGTCTGTTTACTACAATTGCACGCGGGGTGGGAAGGGAAGGCCGCCACTGCACTGCAAGCCACAATGGGCCGCGACAGACATTCAGTGATCAGCACACTGCGGGATTCGCGGGGTGCGAGAGAGACGGAGCGACGCGACCCCCCTCCGCAAACGACCGGCTCGTCGGCTCGTCGTAGGTGCCGTGCCGCAGTATTTTGCATATTTATTTGACTGTTGCTTCGCCGCGTCGCTGCGTCGCCGCCGTCTTCTTTTTACGCGGGCATAACCGCCCGCCGTTAGAGGGCTCTCGACGCGCCGAGCCTCACACACCGTTTTGATTTTTATTCCGGCCTTTTTCACACGTGTGTGCGTGTGTGTGTGTGTGTGAGCGTGTGTGTGCGCGTGGAAAAGAGAGAGGGGCAAAAAGGCGACGCGCACGGGCACACCGTAAGTGCGCGACGGATCTGGAGGCGCCGATGCGATGCGGCCGGAGAGAGAGAGAGAGAGAGAGAGAGAGAGAGAGAGAGAGAGGAGAGAGAGAGAGAGAGAGAGAGAGAGAGAGAGAGAGAGAGAGGGGGGGGGGGGGGAGAGAGACTCGCACGGTAAATACTGGGAATTGTGTTTGCGGCGCCTCGTCGCCGCCGTCATGTCCCCTCTCAGCGTTATTGCTGGCCGTGGACGCCCCCTCCCCTCCCCTCCCCCCTCCACGGCCTGTAATTGCCCCGCCGGACACTCATCGAGGGTAGGGTGCTTCGAAAGGCGGCCAACTCGGCCTAGTTAAAACCATTTAGGTCGAGGAGCGCTTCGCCACGGCCACGAATGCCAGTGCGACAAAGTTGCGATCGAAACGGAGACGAGTGTGTGGGAATCGTGTTTCAGGCTGATTTTTTGGCGGCCACTGAGTCTAATTCTAAGGCGGGGAATCGTACGCCCTTAACGAAATGTGTTTCGTACAAGTGCGATTTCCCGCCTTGGTTTGGAACAGTGTTGAAAGAGAGAGAGAGAGACAGACGAAACAGAAAGAAATGACAGCACACGCACCGCCTACACAGCAAAGAAAGAAAGAGACAACGCGCAAGCCAAACACACACACACACACACACACACACGGAGGAAAAAGTGAACGTGAGGCCGAAGCCCACCACCACCAGGAGCTGCAGCAAACTCGCCCCTGGTCCGTGTCACATGCACCACACCGCAACGGAAAAGGGGGTGGGGTGAGAGGAACAACGCACACGCACATGCACTCCCTCTCGCCCACACACACACACACACACACACACACACGAGCACCCCTGACAGCTCCCACCCACTCGGCGTCCCTGGCTGCCCTGGCCGCCCTGGCCCTCGGGCTTGTTTGCGGTTGTATTCGTGAACGTGCCACGCGCCACCCCTTCCCCCACCCCTCGGCGCTCTTCTCTCTCTCTCTCTCTCTCTCTCTCTCTCTCTCTCTCTCCTCTCTCTCTCTCCAGGCGCGTTTTGTCTGGACCGCATGAAATCAATGTGCTCCTTGAACGTGCCGCCACCGCCGCGCTCAAATTCTTCCTTCGCGAGGAATTTTCTTATTTCTCGATCTCCAATAAGCAGTATTTCACGGTTCACGCGCGGCGAGCCGAAGACCCCCCGACCCCAGAAGGGGAGGGGGGGTCTTTTGCAAGGTTCTGTTTTCCTCCGGTCGGTTCGGGGGCTGAAGCGGCAAGCGACGGACCCAGGGTGGACGACCCCGTCGCCAGCAGCAAGGCATGCAGCAGGGGGCCGAGTGCCAGCCCGCCGGCAGGGGGCACCCTTTGGGGCACCCCTCGGGGCACCCCGACGCCCAGCCCCGCGCCCCTCCGAGGACAACCCCCTGCCCCTCTTCACAAGTTTTATTTGCCGATTCGTTACTTATTCATTTGCAGTGTACCGCCGCCCCTCCCACGCCGCCGCGCCCAGAGACAGAGATGCGGGCCATCAGGGCGACAGAGCCGCCAGGGCACCGCCAGGAGACTCATTTCGAAGCGCTCTGTCTCTCTCGCACCCTAACGGGGCGCCCCACGAGTGCGAGAGAGAGAGAGCGAACGCGTCCGGAACCAGCCTGCCGGACACACGGCGATCGCGACGACAATTGAATTAAGGCCGCGCGGGTTCACGACCCCCGCCGGGGGTGGGAGAGAGACAGAGAGATAGAGAGACCCACTTCCGGTGTAGCCGTGCCGCTCGCTAATAAAGCGAATCGCCCATTTAAATAAAGTGGTATTAACAGCTGAGCGGTGGGAAAGGGCGCACGGGCCTGTACAGTGGCGCCACCGTCCTCGAGTCCTTCGAGGGGGCGTC